GCGGGAAATAGTGAATAATATATATTCTAAAAAGTAATAAATAGTATCAACAAAAACATATCTAAAAGTTGTCAAACTTACGTCCAAGTTATTATATTTATAGCTCGGAAACAATGTTTAACGCCACAATATATGCATGAAAAATCCTACCGCAAAGTTCTATATTTTTAATAAAGATTGTGATATCCTGCTAAAAACTTTCAGAATAAGACGATTTAACAAAAACCTTTCATCAAAATCTGAAATTCATCATGCACCAGGACGGTACCATTGCTGTAATTTGATTGACTGCCTTAGATCATGTGCTCAAATTTGACAAATCACGAACCTTGTAGCAAATTTCGGCAAGAAAGCATCGTTAGAAACCAATTTTTTCTTATAGAATTGCAAGTTACAGCTGCGGCAATACTCAAGGCCAGGTTACTTTCATGCAGATGACAGAAGAAGCTTTCTAATGGTGTCACATGGCAGTCTTCCACGCACATGTTATTCATAAGAAGCTTAAAAAACAGAGGCATTTCTTCATGTTACTAAGTGGACAGCCACTGTTATCGGGGAAAATGATAATGACAGATGTTATTTATAATTCTTTTTAAACAAATTTTCCAATTACTTAAACAATGAAAATAAAAAAGAAATAGGTAAGTGGATTTTATGAATTTTTATATTGGCCGAAAATCATCAAATTTTGGCTTCCTTGGTTCTTAATCTGGACGTTATGCATGTGTTTGCTGAAAATTTTTTTATTGACATTGAACTAAATTAAGTTGTAAATGCATTATCTAATTGTGATAAACATAACTTTCATATGTATAAACAGTGGGATTAGTCCTTTCAAAAGTTGTATAACATGTGGTAGCAAAGATGTTTTATAAGCAGACATTTTGCTTGTAAATGATGGCTTCATCCATCACACAAGAGTTTCGGGGGAACTCAGTGTCACAGGTAAAAGCTGCTGGTTGACTGGTGTTGAAAGTGTTAATAGAGCTATTCACGGTCACTACATGTGGATATTCTGCTAATGTGCTCCATGGCAGCAGATCTTGTACTTACCCTCGGATTCGGATAACAAATGCAAGCCTTGGCTCATCTGGAACATAGAAGTTCTCACATTTCCTTGCCTGGCGTTGAAGGCGAATGGAATCACGCTCCTTAGCCCGATATTCTTTTACATATTTTTCAGCACGCTTGAAGATGATGCCCCTCTTCTTCTTCAAACTCTGTAACAGAATTGGGCACATCTCATTTCCCACATTTAGTAAACTGAATCAAGTCAGGCCCTATGACCTACTGAAAACCAAAACCAAACAGGATTGAAATGTTCTGGTTGTTGTTATGCAGTTCTGGTGGTTGTTATGCAGTTCTGGTGGCTGTTATGCAGTTCTGGTAATGTCCTCAACATAGCCAGCAACCCCAAGTATCAAATTTTCATAACATTAACAGTTAATTTATCCTCTCCACTGGAATCCTGGGTCAGAATAGGTCCCCAGTAACCCATGATTGTGAGTGAGTATGGTTTTACGCCGCTTTTAGCAATATTCCAGCAATATCACGGCAGGGGACACCAGAAATGGGCTTCACACATTGTACCCATGTCGGGAATCGTGAGTGAGTGAGTATGGTTTTACGCCGCTTTTAGCAATATTCCAGCAATATCACGGCGGGGGACACCAGAAATGGGCTTCACACATTGTACCCATGTCGGGAATCGTGAGTGAGTGAGTGAGTATGGTTTTACGCCGCTTTTAGCAATATTCCAGCAATATCACGGCGGGGGACACCAGAAATGGGCTTCACACATTGTACCCATGTGGGGAATCGAGCCCGGGTCTTCAGCGTGACGAGCGAACACTTTAACAAATAGTCTACCTGACCTCCCAAACCCATGCTTGTCATAACGAAATGGATCGATGGTCAGGGTCTTGGTGACATATGTGTGTCATCATACGCCGACGATGCAGGACGTTACTCATATACCAATCAGTGACTTGTCTAATCCAGACGTAATTATTTACAGGCTGCAAAGATGCAGCATAAATATTGTTGACTGTGGCGTTAAAATGTTGTCAGATCTGGTGAAGCAGGATGACAATTTTATGTGGAAGATGAAACCATCATAGTCAAAAATGAATGAATCCATGTTTAAATGCACAACTATCATGAGCACATTCCCATACACACAACTTATGATTTCCATCAGCATATTGGGGGAGGCATATTATGTGTTCAGCTGGAGTGGAGTTTGCGATCAATTCGCCTTTAGGGTTAGGGGTGGGACGATACAGGACGGTGCAGGAGAAAAAGGCCCCAGACAATTAGGAGAAAATGGCCTTCAGTTTTATTAACAATTTGGGAATACTGACTGACACTGGCTAGAGACTTGGGGCCGACTACAGACAAACTCCTTGATCATGTTGGATCGTTCCTGCTTAGGTCTACTTAGCTTCGAAGCTGGCAACATTAGTGCAACCCTCCATGCTGCAACAATTTAATTCCGAAAATGTACAGGATTCTAGGGCACTCTATTGATATAGAACATAGGTCTATCATCGCTAACTAAATCGATATAGATAAATATCAAAGAAGGAACTTTAAGCAAATATGCTAGAAAGTAGCAAAGGAAATCAACAGATTTCACAACACTGGTGAGCAGTGACACATTTATGCATAGATGCGCATTTGCGATATTATAAAAACACTTGCTTTCCATCTTTGACAATTGCCATTATTGACAATCATAAGTCTGTTTTGGTAAATCTAAATCTCTAAAATCTCTATTTCATCATAATAGTTCCCGTGAGTATCGATAATCGTTAATATTTCTTGCCATAGACAATGATTCTGACTATCAATCTTTTTAGCCAGTCCTGGGAGTAGCGCACTTTTTCATATCCAATTAGCGCTGTGGGGGCTTGAAAGCGCTTCGCCGGCTCACCGGCTTGGCTAATTAACGCGTTAATTAGCCGACACTCTCCCATGAGCGCTATCACATGTAATCAGTGCTCATTTAACGGGTCATTAGCACCTTATTAACAAGCATGCATAATTAAGAAAACAATGAATTACGCATATGTGTGACGTCGCTGTCCGCTCTCCCATTAATCTTTTCTTGAAACCACACCTGCCATTGTTTATGTCAACATGACCGACCTATCGGATTAACTGGAAAACACTTGAAAAGTTAAGAAATTATGGCTAACCCTTGCCAAAAGCAAGCTAACCCTAAGGACCGAAAAGGGGTTTTGGATTGTAAAGACATATAAGTTTCCCTAAGACCGAAAAGGGGTGTTGGATCATAAAGCGAGAGTCACCAGAGTATGAGGCACGGTACCAGTATAGCGAGACAGCGGGAGCACTTAAGCGCGGTAATTGACTGGATGGTAGAGCCTGGGCTGCGCCCAATAAACTGCATTGTTGCCTACAAATTCAATGCAGAATTAATGATCATTATTCTAGCAAGTACCTTTTTGCTTCATTTATTTCAAAACTAGATTCAGGTCTTGCACGTAATAATATTCCATACAACTGATACCATTTCTGATAGTTCATGCAACCTTATTTGTGTTGTACTTTGGGATTTAATCAAAACGTCACTGGCGTCAAACTATAAATTCAAAAAATGAATGCACAGGGAATACAAATACACCGAAATTAAGTTCCTCGGCAAAATGAGCTCACCTTCTTCGCGTCGACTGCTGATCTGGCCCGCTTGGCTTTCAGTTCCTGGAACTGTTTTCGTTTTTTCAACAGGGATTCGGGCACCTTGGGCTTCTTCTTGCTGTAAACATATCAAAATGATGCATTTAACCGCTGACAAACCACTACAATGTCTGGGTAGCATGGTGTCAGAAAGGAAACACATGCATTTTCGAAATGTTCAGCATTACACCCTATTTCTCAAAATCTCACAGGGTCTGAATGACACAACTTATTCATAAAATAAAACTTTCAAACGAACAATCAATATTTAAATAAATGATATTTATGGCCGATAGTTATTTATGACACATGTTCATAGAGATTCAAAGAGATTTAACAACGGCAATGGTTCAAACACGTACGTGTCCGCCATGTTGTATTATGGAAAAAGGCCGGAAGTGAAGAAGATTCTACTCACCATACAACTATACGTACATAATAGCCTAACATTAAACAAACAGAATATTTAAGATTTACCAAATGTTTTGGAATTTAAATGCTTTTGCAGTAATATATGTAATTGTAAGTAACTGACACAGTCCTGACGTTTTAAATGTTCAATTTACCAACACATTACATGTCAAGCACCTACTAGCAGTGATAGAAACTAACAGTTTCAGTCCACTAGTCCTTATATTATCCCTATATAATGATTACAAATACCTATAGCAAAACCCATAAATATGGCAAATTTCTACAATCCTTATGATACCTTATCTATTGGACAGTTTGGCCAGGACTACAGGACTAGTGCCAATTTCTAACACTGCTACTAGCCTTGCTCCAAGTCTCTACTGAGTTTTAAGTCCATGAATGTGAGTAAGTTGATACGAGAGCAGTCTATCTAAAGGACAAGTCATATACGATGCGGGGGGAATGAGGTTTAAGTGGGGTGGGGGAATGAAAACGAAACATTTCTAATTACAGTCGCTATTCCTATTGGTTATCAATATTATTTGTGTTATGTCATGTTCATTACTTCCAAGTTGTGAAGGCATATTGCTACACACAGGGCCATTATTATAAATAGACAAACTCGCAAAAAAATCGTTTTGGTATCAATATTAGTTACATGCTACTGTGCGCTACACAACACAGTCATGTTATAAAATAAAAGTTGTCCTGAAGTAGTAGTGTGTTCCCGCAGTAGCGTTTACGACATTCTTATAAATCCCTGAGAGCAAATATTGGAAATGGTTTAATGCCCTTAATATTGGTAAAATATGCCACAATGATTACAAAGACAATGTTTCTCTATTTTTATTTTACGACAAATGATACCACTTTTGGTAGGGATGAAAGATCAATGGGAGCCGCGCGCACCTGCCTGTTGCAGACGACAAAGTTCGATCAGTCATGTCTACGGTTCCAAACGCTAGATCTAGAGAAAACATGAGCCTTTTACACGAAATTTTAGTAACGGTCAAAAATGTGTGTGTTGCATATTTTGTATCTTTTTATCGCTTCTTTATTCCGCGATCGCCAAAATCAGTTGTCGGCGACATTGTTTTGATAACGGGATCGGGCAGTGGAATGGGTCGCCAGCTCGCGGTGGAGTTTGCAAAGCGTGGAGCGGCGATTGTTCTGTGGGATATTGATAAAGAAAGAAATAACGAGTCCCTTACAATAATTGAGGACATCGGAGGGACAGCGCATTCCTTCATCGTTGATGTCAGGTGAGTTAAAAACTTGGTTAAGACACCATACAACAAATAAACCTGTCAAAATTTCGCGATGTTGTCACTTGGCCTACAAAAGTAGAAGTTGACAGAAAGAGATCTAGATCTACAGCCAATTTGACAGTCACATTAAATGAAAGAATTTTTTAAGTTTTAATTTTGGGTCATTCCATGAATAAGCGCAAGACGCTGTAGAGGAATCATATTTCTTTTTAAGTTTTAGTAGTGATTGTGAAGGTTTAGCCTACCTCAAACTAAAGGATTTATCTGATACTCTATAGGTATCATTGCAAACCCACAGTACAGTGTATAAGCTGGTATACAGGGGATAGCTTACTAGCTCAAGTGTTGAAGTGATATAGCGTACATTTGGTTTCTTCAACTAATCGTAATATTATGCGAACTGTCACATTACGAGCAATCTCATTAAAATCAAATCATAGTAAATAAACAAAGTTTATTAAGCAGTTATTAAGCAGTTGAGAGAACTAAGGTCTGATTTTAGTGAAGCTGTGAGTCGCGATGGGGTCATAGTACTCCTACAGTCAAGACAATTAAGACCCTACTGACCTCACGGTCAATTTTAGTGAAATTAGTTAAATGACCAAAATTATTTTAATTCTGAATTTCAAAATAAATTTGAGATGTCCATGCTTATCTGTCTCTCAGCAAAAAATCTTTAAGCCTAAAAAAGCAAGTGCATGGCCTGTCACTGCAAGCATTTACTAGAAGGGAGGGATGCAAATGTTGGATAACATGTCTTTGCCCAGGAATTTACAGAATACAAAATAGTTCATCCTAAAGACTCTTATTAAATGGGGGGGCACAGGTGGCCCAGTCATCTAAGGTGCCACGGTTTGCTGTGCAGAGCTGCGTCCCTTGGGCACGCCAGAAACCTATGATTGTGGGTTTGAATCCTGGTTCGCCCGGATTATGTTTCTAGGTTTGTCAGCACCATTCCCGTGCTTGTGGGTTTCACTGAAGTGGTAAACGTCTGAGACCTGCATCACTTCGGGCTTTCCTCCCACATTAAGCTGACACGCCATGATATAATTGGAATAATGTTAAAAGCGGCGTTAAACCCAACTCACTCACACTCACTCATATTAAAAGTGGAATGGATTCATAAAAAGTTGCATTTGTGATTTTGTTGTGAACATCAATTGTCCCAGAAATATTATGTTAATTCCTGAGAGAAAAAATATAATATTCAAAGAAAGTATTTAAATACCCAAGTGAGGGTGCGGAAATCACATGCCCCATAATCAGATTCAAAACAAAACTTTTTTTGTATAGCAGCACAACAGTGCAGTGATGTGTGACAAATGATTTCATTGGCTGATATGTTGGCTGACTTGTGATGCTTGGTAGCTATGGATACTTTAGGAATCAGTCATTCAAAAACTGTTGCTATTTCTGTTAATCCTACAAAAATAACATTGCATACATTGCTGAGTGTGTGAAACAACCTTTGATTATGACTTTGTGAATAATTAAGATAACAATTAATGTCTAACATCATGTTTGGGAAGAGTGACTTCATACTGTGACTTTTCTATCATGTTTGCTTAAGCAATATACATCCATATACATCTACAGGGTTTTGCGCGATGCACAAATGTGCGTCCAGTATGCTCAAATGTTGAGATTGGGCGCAGAAAAGGAATATACTGCATCCCGAGGGATGCACAATAAGATTCATTGTACCTACAGCGCATCTAGGGAAGTTATGAGCATTGTCACTTCATCATTCATAAATCATGACCACTGTCCACATGATCACTGGCTCTAAAGTAATTATCAAAATGTACAGTACACTACACCATTTCATTACTTTAAAGGACCCTCATACTGCCTGCAAGGACCCTTAACATGAATTCTTTAAAACATAAAATAAACAATTGTTAAAAAAATGAGCACTGTATTAAATATTGTCTTATTTGTCCAATTTCACATTTCACATTTCCATTTACATAATTCACAGTCCAGATGTGAAACAGTATTGTTATAATGGTTCACTGGTTTCTGGTTGGCCATCAGTTGTCTATTCTCCCTCTCAAGAGCAAAGTCTATGTTTTCAATACCATTTCATCTTCTTCTTCTTCTTCCTGGGTGGCATCAAACTACCTGGCTTCTGATTGCAGTATTATCCTGCTCTACCTGCAGTATCTAAATGAATTTGTACATATTTGGTTTCCACCCCTTGAGATGATATGTGTCTTCATCCCACTGCTCAGAGACATATAATTGTGCTTTGTGACAAAGTCACCCCCCTCCCCTCAAGCATCAGTGGATTATATCTAAAGAAAATGTCCTTTGTCAGGTTTACAGGAGAATCCTCACCTTAATCCAATCTTACATTAATCCAATCACACACACCAAATAGCACCGCTTATTATCGCTGATAAAGTACTTAGCTAAAACAATACATGCGTGCTGGCTCGTGTCGGCCTTTGACGCAGTCCCAAAGAACAAAGACACCGAGTTGCGTAGGTGGCGTCTGTCTGGACAAGCAGGTGTGATCAGTGATGACATAAGTGAGTAGAACTCTTGTCTTGACCCCAGCAGTGACAATTCACTGGATGTAATTAGTGTTTGAATGACATTGTTTCTATACTTGTTACCTTGTTACAAGTGCTGCTCAATAAACAGTGATGTAGTGATCTAAGTTGGTATTTCTGCCATCCAAAATGTCTTATTGTTGATATAAATATGATGTTTAATAATGGGAGCAAAGACCACTCGCATTTTTCGCATTTAATTCACGCTCACGTTAATTTTAAGAATTACAGTATTCACCAATTAATTGCCTTACGTCCCTCTTAATCCCCTTTTGTCTTACCCATCACCAAGCTTTGGTGAATTAGTTATATAGTACCCATAACAATAAGTGTTGGACAAGTAGATGACCCTGAATATACCACCAGGCATATCGGGCGGCAACCTGATCTTTGAAATTGCGCAGCGCGTCAAGCAGTAGGAACCCGTTTTCACACCACCAAGGGAATCCCCTTGCTGGCAGAATTTTTCATTTGGGGGACAATTTCGTGAGTTGTTTTTTTATCATCTTTTTTTTTAATGCTATTTTCAAATGTAGTTTTCGTCAAACATTTGTGATTAAGTATGCACTAAAGTATAATCACTTAGTTTCATCAAGACCTGTGAAGATTCTGTGTTAAAACAGATCTTCAGCAACCCATGCTTGTCATAAGAGTCGACTAATGGGACAGGGTGGTCAGGCTCGCTGACATGGTTGATGCATGTCACGAATACAATAACAAGTCAGCAGTTTATGTATTATTTGTCATGTTCAGTGAAACAATAACAACATAGATTATTTGACATCGTTTGTTAATTATTAGTATATTATACATTTATATACTGCTCTTATCCAGGTACTAGTATCTGCTCAAATGCGACAATGACCAGTGACCACAATACTGTTAAATTAGATATCATAAGAGCGTTGTTTTGGAAGAAATCTATGCATATAATATGTTCTTAAGGATATTTTTAGGTACAGGGTTTGTACATAAGTATTCGATTCTTGTGGCCACGAATAATGAATTCAATTCAAGAATGGATACGGTTCCATTCACCACATACGCAAGTGAATCGTATCAGTCCTAATAATCACCCATTATAGACTTGCCTGGGCTGTATTTGATATATTTGTATCAGGGTCTGTAAGACAGACTTCTCAGAAACCAACAGACCAATGAAGCTGAAACTCCACATGCTTGTTTCCTCCAATGATGACGCCTGAATTTTTTTTAAGACATTAAAGTGTTCAGTGATGTCAGTGCAGTGTATTAGACCAGAGAATGATATTTATGTGTTCAGTGATGTCAGTGCAGTGTATTAGACCAGAGAATGATATTTATGTGTTCAGTGATGTTGATGCAGTGTATTAGACCAGAGAATGCTATTCATGTGTTCAGTGATGTCGATGCAGTGTATTAGACCAGAGAATGATATTCATGTGTTCAGTGATGTCGATGCATTGTGTTAGACTAGAGAATGATATTTATGTGTTCAGTGATGTCGATGCTGTGTGTTAGACTAGAGAATGATATTGATAACTTTGTGTGTTCAGTGACCGTGAGGCAGTGTACCGGACAGGAGAGCGGGTCAGACAGGAAGTGGGGGACGTGACCATCTTGATCAACAACGCCGGAGTTGTGACTGGCAAGTCGCTATTGGAGTCTCCAGATAACATGATTGAGAGGACTTTTGATGTCAATCTACTTGCTCACTTCTGGGTATGTGAAAATATGTCCAACATGTCTGAATCTGCATCTGATCACTCAACACATTCAACACTGGCAAAGCTTCTGTTTGTCAATTGACACTCAGTTATTAATAGCCTGTTAAAGAGAGTTAAATGTGATTTTAGAAACACAATCTCACTGATTCAACGTCATCTAATGCTGGCTAAGTGACTGTTGCAGACAGAGCTACAGATAAGCTGCGTATTTGTGTAAAATATTCAAAACCCAATTACTTTCAATTAACTTGCGTACAGAAATGCATGCGTAGAATGAAAAACTCAAAGATATATTAACAGCCTGCGTAAATACCCAATGAAGCTTTTTCAGCATGCGTATGAAGGAGCTAATTTTCCAAACACTATTACGAGGTAATTTACTTTCCGAGTCAAGCCTATATATTAAGAACATTTAAATACATCTAAAACATTATTTCAAATTTTTTTTCAAATCTTAAAATGTTCACAAATTTTGGGAAAAAACAATTAGAGTGATAAATAGATGAGCGAAAAAATATATAAATATATATATGGATATACATCTTTGGGTAATCCATTAAAAAATGTAAAAACTCAATTAAATTAGAACCCCTAGAGTAAAGCCGAGGGCATTTGACAAGGCTATGCTTCAGTCTAGTCGCTAAGGTTATAGACAACATAATTGTTGAACTTTGTGTCTGAGATTCAGCTAATGTTCTTGTCAAAGGTTTCCAATTGGGATCCATACCTGTACAGTTATTTTCCAAGGCCAGCTATTGTGCCAGGAAACACAACTCTTTTCCCACAGAGAACAATGGACGATGGTGACATTTTTATAGAAGGTCGGGTTAACCTCTTGACCGACCTATATTACACAGGTAATTCCATCCAAGGGGCAGCTGCTTAATTTATACTTGACAATCATAGAGGAGGTGTTTGATTGAAAGACTTACTGAGTGGTTTGAGGCTCTATTGTCAGTTTGTTTGTCTGGAAAGCACTAAACTATGTCAAATACTTCTCTTTACTTGCATATTGTTTTCTAAATATGTGCCACATTCTGAGAAATGTTTTTGTGACAGTTTGGGTTGTCCTACGTGTCATAATAGACCAGCATTCAAAATACATGCGAGGCTTAGTATTAAGTTATGCTGATGACAAGTAAAAGACCAATGCTTCGCTTTTGCTACAATTGGAACCGAATAAAACTGCAAGATAATGTAAACATGATAAACATATTTGTCTTGTTCAAGCAGGACTAGTTACCATGGTTACAAACGGAGGACCAGAGAAATAAACTTTTCACTAATCCTCTGGACTGGTCTTAAACAAAATAATTATTTTAAGGCTGTATGTGTACATACAGAGTGATACTATTGCATTAGCAAATTCTAGGTTTCAAATGAATTTGATTTAAGCCAGAAAACTTGAAAAGTGTCTCGACACTCACAAAGCGGTCTTTGAAATTATGGGGGGCACTTCTGGGATCCTTGAGATTTGCTCCTATATGAATGTAGGGACCCCTTATAATTTGATTGTTTAACATCAGGGTTATGACAAGAACCCTTGCCGTTCATGCTTAATTTTGAATACTTGCACAACCTTGATCATACATTAACTACATATTCCACGTTTTCAATTCTAATTTTGATTTGTTTGTTTGTTTGTTGTTTAACGTCACACTCAGCAATATTCCAGTTATATCACAGCAGTCAGTAAATAATCAAGTCTGGACCAGACAATCCAGTGATTTATTTCATGAGCATCAATCCATGTGTGTAATGCACACTTCTCTAATGGGAGTTCAAAATTTGTACTGTCTTGTTTACAATATTACAAGTGAACCCTTTGCTGGACAGTAAAAACATCAACGTAACTACTGTATTTTAGTAATAAACATGATTATTTAAAGGGCAGGTTAAATTAAGTCATCATAGAAACTTTTAAGACTTTTGGGCATACTTAGTCACAAATGCTTGACTCAAATTAAATTTGAAAAATGGAAATAGCCTAAAAACAGACAATAAAAAATGACAGGCAAAATCATCCCCCAAACACAAAAAATTTGCCTCTGGGGGAATTCCCCTTACTGGAGTAAAACGGGTTCCAAGTGTTTGACATGCTACACAATTTCATTGATCACAATGACCAGGCCAACGCCTAGTCTGCCTTTTTCTGCCTTGGATTTTGTAGTACATTATCATTTTTCTGTATTCTCGTCCTTTGATTATCATTCCCACATCTTATGTCACCGTAGCGCCTTACAACAATGAAGGAGCCTTCAGCTTTTACTCAGGGGATTAATCCCTGAATTTATTGTGTGGAATAGGGCCGAGGGCAGCTGGCGTTTTTTTACCCAAACAGGATGTTAGTAATTAAACACTAGTTACCAATTATTAATTGTTATTATTTTTATTCACAATAAAGGATCAAAGTCAAAGGTTGTTTCACAGTCTAGTAAAATTTCTTTTGGTCTAGCAAGCTTTGCTAATAAAGGTTTATGCATTAACACGAAGATCCACTGAAATGATGTCAAGTGACATGTTGGGGCTACTACACTCAAATCGTCATAGTAAAGTTTGGATGTGCCGAACTCAACACAATTAACAATTCTTGGTGCTGACAGTTACTTTCAGTTGTGGTTAAGAGTTCATTTCGGAGCTAGTGATGGTAGTTACCTATCGATTTACCTGCAGCATATATATATATATAACTATTCCGAGAAGCACTTCAAGAGATGAGTCTCAGATTAACAGACTTGTGGTTCCACTGATAAATGGAAGGGAAATCCCGGGCCGGCTGCCGGCTGGAACTGGATTCATTAGAACATATCATGGCAGGAACTATCATAATAAAAATTTGAGCCATTGCTACCAATATTTTCAGTCAACTCCTTTCATTTCAGACGGTGAAGTGTTTTTTACCAGCCATGCTTCGGAAGAACCATGGCCATGTTGTCAACATAGCCAGCTCAGTGGGACTTATTGGTGTCAACAAGTTGACAGACTACTCAGCTTCCAAATTTGGCGTGGTGGGTTTCACTGAGGTGTTGAACTATGAGATAGTCTTTGCTGGATACGATCAAGTTCATACCACCGTCGTGTGCCCATCTTATACAAAGACAGGCATGTTTGAGGGCTGTGAGATGAGGTGAGACTTCTGCTTGATGTTCCTCTGAAGACATTGTGACAGCTATAACCTAAGTTCTTTGTCTCCAATTTCAGTGTAGAAACTATTAGAATTAATCAATTTCTTTAAGTGTGCAAGTGTAGAAATTAACGCTTCCATTTGTAATTTTGTCTTTGAAAGGCATTTGGAAGTGATACACATAAGGGGAAGTAGTATGTTGAGATCCATAAATTTTCTTCCTTAATTGTAATTTTGTTTTACTGCTAATTGTGTCCCGTATGCATGCTGTAGAAGCTGTTTTTTCAGGTTCTTGTCATTTGGGATCATATGTACTTTGGCTAAATGAATATAGCGTTTAAACCAAATGTTATGAAACACAACACTCCCAAGTTTTTCACATTGAAAGTAGCTGTATGTTGATGGAGCTAGTTGTGTCATGTGACTCTACATCTGTACATGTGTTTTCCAGGTCATACCCTATTTTTGAGCATCATAGGTTTGTAACCAGGCACTGAAATCTGCATCATGTTGTTTATTTCTGTTTTGTTTTTTTCATGTGAATCAACGGTTCACGTGACCTAATGTCTTGGTGCACTGTCCATCATCTTTCAGTGGTAAACACACTTGTTTGAATACTTTCCATGTGGACAGGTTGTTCAGGAAGTTTGTTTGTTTGTTGTTTAATGCCTCACTCAGCAATATTCCAGCTATATGACAGCGGTCTGTAAATAATCGAGTCTGGACCAGACAATCCAGTGATTGATATCATGAGCGTCAATCCACACAATTGGGATAAGATGACATGCATCAACCATGTCAGTGAGCCTGACCAACTGATCCCGTTAGTCGCCTCTTACAACAAGCATAATCGCCTTGGTCAGAAAGTAGTAAGGGCGGTAGCCTATTGGTTACAAGTAGTTACAAGTGTTTACTCGTCACACTATAGGCTTTATCAATCTCCCAAATGGGTATTGAGTGTGAAGGTACTAACCAGGTGTGACCCTATCACCCTGAACAGAACCAGCCATAATGATGGTCTTTTGGATATCATCATATTATATGTCCTTTATGTATGCGTTCATGGCCTGTGAGTTGTGTTGTACTGCATCTGCCTGCACCTGTCGCCATTAGTCTAAATCCAGAGGCTCTTTCACTTTATTTCTATCCAGTAATCCGCTGCAAATATTGTCCTTATTTTAGTATTAGGACTAAAAAATATATGTTAGTATTGAGACTAAAATGTACTTAAAATGACAGATTCTGAGGATGCCAGATAAGAATTGTCCCCATCAACCTGTGCTGCGACTTAATGGACCGCAATGTCCAGCTCTGTGACATGGGACCCTTTCTTGCTCTTTGTATCAATCACTGCTTAGCTGGTCCAAACTTGATTATTGACAGGCCAACATCATATAGCTGGAACGCTGCTGTCGGTGGCGTTGAACAAAACACAGTCAAACAGTTTGATAGTATGAAAGTGCCATTACAATATGAGCTACAGAGATCTATGGCTGTATCTATATTTTTTCACACTTTCCCTTTCCCCCAAATGGTGCATGATGTTGTTGCATGACGGTGCCACGCTATTTACAACAGTGGAACCTATATGTATATATACGGTAGTCCTTATGCCAGGTAGACCTGTTTCACGAACAAACAAAACACAACACCATTTTGAGAATAACTGAAATGTATGTATTGAGACACTGATGAAGAGTTTTAAGTTATTTTTCCATTGATATTTAATTGTTGACTGGCCTCTGAAGTTGCCAAGAAAAATCATTGTATTACTTGTAGTATTTTTAACTTCTGATATGATATTTATCAAATCCTGAAGCAAGCTTTATAACATACCTTATTGCATACCTTTTTGCATGCTTAATAGCATACTTTATTACATGATATCAGAGTGATGTTGATCCCATGCGACACACATTATTGACACTTGTTGTTCACTTTTATGTACAGAACAATCTTATCTGATTTCAGATTCTGCCCAAATATACTTTAATTGGAAGGATAATTAAACTAGGTGTTTGAAATCTAATTCTTCCTACAGATTCCCGGCAGTTATACCACCCCTGGAGACAAGGGCCACAGTGGAAAAGATCATTCAGGGAATTCTCACCAATCAACATCAAATCTGTATTCCACGCTTGGTGTATATCATTGCAGTGCTCAAAACGTGAGTATATTACATGAAGCTAGCAGTGATGTACCACATTTTTTGTTTTAGTTTTTTTAAAGTGACAAGAAGGAAAGATTAAGTAAGTATTTGTCCAGTCCCAGCAAATTCTGCGATTCTGTGATTGCAGAAAATGTGACTTAGTGCAGAATTGCAGAAAAATCATGGAATTTGCCTTGTTTTATCAATCAATACCCTCATTTTCATTATTATCACTTGAGTGATGCCCAAACATTTAACATGCAATTCAAACAAACAAATATGAATTCTACAATAAAACAAAGATTTCATTCCCCTTTTAATTGTTTGGCATTATGACAACATAAACTATGTTTACATCTAACAATAAATATATATCAGATATGTATATGTATTTGCAAATTATATGTCTTGAAATGTCTAAATGCAAAACATTACAATTGTTATAGGAAATTTTTTATTTTGTATTAATGTTTGAGGGGGAAACGGTTATTTTTTTACCTCAGACTTTACTGCAGAATTTTGAAATTTTAGAATATTGGTAATTTAACCACAGAAATTTGATAATTTTACGAACGAATTCATCTGGGACTGTTTGTCAGTGATTTCTGTGGAGAAAAGCTAAACACATCTTTATAGGACTTGATAAAACCAAAATAACTTGACATTCTAACACTCAAAGCGTTACCTGCAAGATTATCAAAGCCTGGAAACAGCAGGGTGACATCACAGGGTTATAACTACCAAACTTGGGCCAGACTGGATGTCCCATTCTCCTCAAGAGACTTCAATGTGTACAGGGTCGCATTCTTCTCTAATAAATACAAGGCAAAGTTTTAATCATATAATCAGTTTGAAATTACTTTTTCCATTTTGGCCATGTCTGTTAGTCATACTTTTACATTTTGAGTGATAGAAACATTACAATACATTGTATTGTGCTAATAGATGCTGTCACTCATTACTTCAACTTTTTCTTAGTCTACCACTGGTGATCAGTGAGGACATGATGGCAGTCACAGTAATTACAGCCTGAACCAATTGATTCTTTGGGATTTAATCTGATTACTCCTGAGAAGCACTCGATGCATGGGTATCGTCTGCATGTAATGAAGTATTATGTTTGCTTTCAACTACAATGTCAAAAATCTTCTTACTTGATTGACGTCAACTCATTTTGATATTGGTTGACACTTGTACGACACAACTTCTGTGAGGCGACACTTCAAGTAGGTGGACTGAAGGATTACGTTGTGTAGCGATGGTCTTAGATAGTGAATGTGAAACATGTTTCGGCAATGTGTCGGTGAATCCTTCAGGTTTTATTCAATAAGTCATTCCCACCCATATCCACCCCAACCTATCACCATCCCAACCCATCTCCACCCCCAGCCCTACAAATCCCACCTCAACCCGTCCCCATCCTCACCCCAACAAATCCCCACCTCAACCCATCCCCACCCTAACAATTCCCCACCTCAACCCATCCCCACCCCCACCCCAGCAAATCCCCACCTCAACAAATCCCCACCCCAACATATCCCCACCTCAACCCATCCCCATCCCCATCCCCATCCCCACCCCCACCCCCACCTCAACAAATCCCCACTTCAACCCATCACCACCCCCACCCCAGCAATCACCACTCCCACCCCACCCCAACAAATCCCCACCCAGAATATAAAAAGGTCAGCACCTTACCTAACAGATCACTTAAATGTAGCATCAAGTTTCGTCACTAATTGCAGTTTGTAAAAGTACGAATGAAAGTATCTGGTTTCTGGAGAGGAAAGATTAAATGACAGTTGACATTAAGGCCTGCTGTGTTGGTTGCGTGAGCTGCAACAGTCTCAGGCTGGGACTTACAATCAGAACACATCAGTCAAGGAGACATGAGTGAGACTTGTATTGATTTCTGAGGCAGAACAGTGAAGGCAGATACTGTCTCCTGTATGTGGGCAGCAAAGCACCTGTCTTACAGCCTGAACCAATTGATTCTTTGGGATTTAATCTGATTACTCCTGAGGAGCACTCGATGCATGGGTATCGTTTGCGTGTAATGAAGTATTATGTTGTTTTCAATTTCAATGGCAAAAACCTTCTTACTTGATTGATATCAACTCATTTTGATATTGGTTGTACGACACAACTTCTGTGAGGCGACATTTCAAGTAGGTGGACTGAAGGATTACGTTGTGTAGCGATGGTCTTAGATAGTGAATGTGAAACATGTTTCGGCAATGTGTCAGTGAATCCTTCAGGTTTTATTCAATAAGTCATTCTCAACCCATCACCACCTCTACCCCAACACCCCCACACCCACCCCCACCCCAACAAATTCCACCTCAACCCATCAACACACCCTCCCCACCCCCATCCCATCCTCCATTAAGCATTAGGTACAACCTGAATACAATCTCATTTAAATCAGATTTTAGTTCTCGCTATCGCTAAACAAAGATCTGAGGACATCCCATTACAGGTCACGTCAGAACGACCTTTCATCCGACCAATCAAAGAGTCGCTTACCAGATCATGAAAGTGACAGTCGGAATGTTTTTTCTTATCATACAACCTTGAAAACGTAAACACGGTGTATTCCGAACGACAGTTACGGCCCGTACAACCAATCCCTTCAAAAGTATCTTCCATCTCTCGCTTCCGTGGGATAGACATTTGAACGGAGGAGGCTTTGCACAGTACTTGGGATTCACTGCCATATAATCTCAACCATATATTAGACATTCCGGGATGTTTGTTTGTTCAGTTTTCAAAATTTTAATCGAGAACTGTGTCAACATATTTTTCAAGCTTAGTCTGAAATGGAAGTCACCAGGTTGAAATGAGTGCCGTAAAGCTCGAGAAAACTGCTTTCTAATTGGCTGATGTCGACTTCATGTTAGTCATTTCAGTGGTCGGTCAAAGTTCGCGAAAGGTCGTTCTGACATGACCCGTAATGGGATGTCCTCAGATCTTTGTTTAGTGGCAACGAGAACTTAGATCTGATTTTAATGAGATAGAAGAAATTGTTGTTGCTTGTATTTGATGCTGTGCACATGGTGTGATAAACATGTATTTTTCAAATATGTTTATTACATTGTGTAAATCCTAGTTCAGAGCTCCAGATAACATTTTGAGCAATTGAGTTTTTACTCTAGGGTTTCTATTTTAATTGGGTTATTAATTTTTTTATTGGGTAACCAATACTTTTTTCACTCATCTATTCATCACTCTATTTTTATTTTTTCCAAAATTAGTGAACATTTTAAGATTTGTATGAAATGAAATATTTTAGACAGTATATAACTGTTCTTGATATATAGGCTTGACTCGGAATGTAAATTAGCTCGTAATTGTGTTTCGGAAATTAGTTCCTTTGTATGCATGCTGAAAAAGCTTTATTGGGTATTTACGCGAGCTGTTTTTATACATTTGAGTTTTTCATTTTATGCATGCGTTTCTGTACGCAAGTAACTTGAAAGTAATTGGGTTTTGAATGTTTTTTGGTGGGGTATTTTATGCAAATACGCTGCTTATCTGTAGCTCTGTTGTAGAACATATTTCAAGAATCAAAAAAACGCCGAAGACCCGGGTTCGATTCCCGACATGGGTACAAAGCCCATTTCTGGTGTCCCCCGCTGTGATATTGCTGGAATATTGCTAAAAGCGGCGTAAAACCATACTCACTCACTCACTCAAGAATCTAATTTGCATTATGTCAGGCGCTGTAGATTCAGTCTTTGCTATTTTTCACATTTACAAGACCCGTGGAACTGAAACTGAATCGATCATCCCAGCAATGGTGTCTCACCTGAAACAGATAAGTCCAGTAATGGTGTCTTCACCTGCCATGGGGTCCAGGCCATTGACCTATGAAAATGCAGATGGCACAGCAGACTCAAAATTAATTACATACATTTGTAACATGGACACAAATAACGACGACCTAACTCTGCACAAATAGGTGTGTTCTTTTAACTGCTTTCATTGTTTTATGGATGCTGTGTTTTACCAAATAACGGAACCCCATGAAGATCCAGATCGGAATTGATTTTCAGCATGCTTGTCATAAGAGGCGACTAACAGGATGGGGGTAGTCAGATTCGCTGACTTGGTTGAGTCATGTCATTTTATCTCAATTGCATGGATCAATGCTCAGGATGTCAATCACTGGATTGTATGGTCCAGGCTTGATTATTACAGACTGCTGGCATATAGCTTGAGTATTGCTGAGTGCAGCATTAAACCAGTGGTCCCGTTTACCCGTAATTACAAGCTTTTTACCGGTAAAATTAGGCTTGGACTGGTAATTCGTGTGACAGCCAGTCCCTGTGGACCAGCAAATAAAAAACCTTATAACTCTGTGATATTCATATAAGTATATTTTTCTAACAGCTTGTCGGTTACCATCAGGGTTTCCCCTTGTCGATTTTTTAGTGCAAGGAAATGACATTTTGCTTTGCTTCAAGGTTAAAAATGTGTCTTCACCTTGAAATATTAGCAAAAGAAGAGAAAATTGTGACTGAACTTTGTGTGAATGATGTGTAGATCTAACTAAGTTACTTCAGAGATGACGTCATTGCTTTAAATGTGATTTTGAAAGAATTGTAACCAGGTAATTTTCATATGTTTATTTATTTGTTGAAAGTTGGGACAGCCAAAAATTAGGAGAGACTGGTAATTTTTTGAGTTACCAGTGCAATAGGACTGGCAGTTTCAAGAGCCAGCAGGAACACTGATTTAACGTGATTCAAACAAACAAACCATACAGCGGTGACCTACCACCATCTCAGAGTTATCAATATGATGCACTGGCAAGCATCTGGGGCGAACAAGTCTGTTTCCAGTCACTTGTTGTAAGATAATTTTGAGTCATGCTGATCTATAAACTCTCTGATCCTTCATCTGGTGACACAAATATTTCTACTTAATGACAATTGACTTTTACTTAACAAAAATGGTTGAACGAACCAATAAATACTGAAGCTCTTCCACTAATCCTCCTGACAGGCATGGGGAATGAGAGCTGGACACAATCCTACTTAACCCTGATTAGATTAACTTAATGAGATTAACTGTGGAGGAAAGAGGGTTGAACCCAGTGATGATGGGGACTCTCATCCTCCCTGGAAGAAATAGAAAATCAGTCATAGGGAAACCTGCTTACACTGTTATCATTGAAATTTATGTTTTACACGTTTTGATGTTTTGGACGGTGTGCACAAGACCCTGAATTGACACAAGTTTTCTTGGAGACCACAATAGATGATGTTTTGAAAGCAGAAGGGATTTGAGAGGGATATGGATGACTGTGTACTTTAGTTGATCCAGGGCTAGAAATGCAATTTTGGCCAAGTGTGCCACAAGGCACAAGGTATAAAATTTAGGTGTGCCTTGGGAAATCATGGGGTGCCCAGCCAATTATTTGTTACATTTCAGCATTAAACATGTTTAACAACCATTAAAGTGTTTGTTGTTTATTAATGTCTCTCTGTCAGTAGTTCAATCAAAATGTTAATAAATTCATGTAATTGTAAGTAAGTGAGACATCTGTGATCTTAATAGTAAGTGATTTATTCAAGTTAAAGTGAGTACAAACTTACTTTACTGACTTCCATTTAATGACTGTGACAGACAAGCCCCATCTGAAGTAAAATCCACTTACCTATTTCTGTTTTATTTTCATTGTTTACGTAGACCTTATTGGAAAATCATTTTAAAAAGAATTATAAATAGTTCGGTCATCACCCATTTCCCGATAACAGCGGCAGTCCGCTCAGTAACATGAAGAAATACCCCCGTTTTCGAGGCTTCGTATGAATAACACGTTAGTCGAAGAATGGCATATGACCCATCGCTGGAAAGCTTATTCCATCATCTACACGCTCGTAACATCACCCGTTTTTTTTTCATAGTTAAAACAAGAGATTTCATTGGATTAAAATTGGTTTCTAATGACGCTTTCTTGCCGAAATCTGCTACAAGTTTCGTGATTGGTCAATTTTGAGCACGTGACATAAGGCAGCCATGATACCAAGCTCGTGTTTAAAATTTTTTAGAAGTTGGCGAAAGATTTTTGTTAAATCGTGTTATTCTGAACGTTTAAGCAGGAAATCACGATATATATTAAAAATATGGAACTTCGTGAATGTATCGTGCTAGGTTACGATCTGTGACAAAGATCTCACCGAGTTGACAGTTTTATGAGTCCTTGTGAATCAAGACTTGAAGCTGGAGTTGAACTTATGGAAACATTTGAAATATTACATACCGTATTCGACATAATAAGCGCCCAGGGCGGTCTCAAAACTAGAAATAGGGGGCTCTTATTAGAATAATAAAATGGTGGAAAAAAACAGAGTTGAAAGATAAATTTCGTGGTTTATGCTGACAGCCTTAAATGTTTATATACGACAGAATTTATTTGCCCATAATTAAGGATGCATATAACACAAGAGTGCGTATTATACGAGAATAAATAAGTCTTTTGTACATTGATCAATCGGATTGGGATTGTTCACTAGCCAATATATATAAGAAATACAATGTATATTAGAGCGGGGCGCTTATTACGTCGAATACGGTATGTATATTCTTCAGGCAATTAACTGAAGTTGCAGACTGTTCGCTATACATTCCAGACACATTGAAAGTAATTAATGTCAATTTTTCAATGCTTGTGGGTTATATCTATTCTCAAACCACTTGAAATTTCAAAGAGAAGAAATGTGGTTTTGTTGGCCTAAAAGAAGGAGAGTAGTATAAACTATCACATATTTAATTGTTCTTTATTGTTTGTTGGAGCTATACTGGCAGGAATATATTGGCCAGATTGTTTTAGGTGATTGTGATAACTAATAACTTTATGTTCTTGGACAAAATTCTTTCTTGGAGCTTCCACACCCTGACCCCTTCCTAATGTACCCAGGAAGATTGTGATCGGCCAACTATTCACTGCAAATTCACTTTGATACGGAAAATTGTTAGCCTAGATGATTTCACTGAAAACAGTTCTGTCTGAATTTCTGACATTTTGCTGTACTTTGCTCGATAGAAATCACTTCACTGGTCTCTCTCAAATATGGAACAGTATGCAATTTTGTAATATTACTCACCTGTGAAGAGATCACCTGTTTTATGATAGCATTGTAGAATACCAAAACGGGTGCTTATGTATTGCAGGAACAAGTTTCACCAACAAATATTGAAAACTCCTAACATCCCTGGGCTTATTCATCTACAAGTAGAGATGATAAATCAGTTGGAGTTTATGCACACTTGATGACCTAAGCAACAATGTTGCCAGGCTCACCTCACATGGCATTGTTTTGCAGGTGGATCTTGCAACAAAATTCCACAAATTACATCATAGAGTATTGTGATGTGATTGTAGACTTTGTGTTGCAGGGTCCCTTCCACAAGGTGGTGTAGCACAATTACAGTCGTAAGTCTATGCTATTATAAATAGTATGGGAGTTACGACATAACAGAGCTATGATATCTTTGTGGAACTGACCCAGGAACTCTAAAAGAAGGCCTTTTCGCTCGTCTATATATGTGTATTAATTGTATATTCATGTCAATTAATATAGAGAAACTAATGGGTCTTCTCTGCAGTCTGCTAGCCTTCATTAAGGCTGTAACGGAAACTTTTTGATGGCGTCCATTTTTTGGTGATAGCATTGTATTCCAGTGTGAATTCATGTCTCGCGCACAGTTGTGAGTTATCATAGAAAGAGAGGGGTGTAGTAAATTGTTGATAACCTGTTGTGTATTCTATTATGTTGATAAACATGCTAATATAGTTGGATCCCAAAACACTTTCCAAGCATAGATTACTGCAAAAAATAATTTTGTAAACGTCTTTATATATTTATATTTGATTCTATTCATTTCAGAATGCTGCCAACAGATGCTATGGTAGAAATCGTGAAGTTCTTTGGAGCAGATAAGTTCATGGACACATATACAGGAAGAAAGTGAAATTCCCTCAAAATGGGAAAAAAACAATTCTTGAAATGTTTTCAGAGACATCTGTGTTCTTCTTCAAACCAATTACTGGGGACGTCACATATGATACTTCCTCAACCAATCACTGGAGACTTCACAAATGATACTTCCTCAACCAATCACTGGAGACGTCCCCTGTGGTACTTCCTCAACCAATCAGTGGAGAGGTCCCCTATGGTACTTCTTCAACCAATCACTAGAGGTGTCCCATATGGTACTTCTTCAACCAACCGCTGGAGAAGTGACATAAAATACTTCCCCAACAAATCACAGGAAACGTCCATGCGGTACTTCCTCAACCACTTACTGGAGACGTCCATGCGGTACTTCTTCAACCAATCACTGGAGACGTCACATATGATACTTCCTCAACCAATCACTGGAGACGTGACATACAATACTTCCCCAACCAATCACTGGAAACGTCCATGCGGTACTTCCTCAACCAATCACTGGAGACGACCCATACGGTACTTCTTCAACCAATCACTGGAGACGTGACATACAATACTTCCCCAACAAATCACAGGAAACGTCCATGCGGTACTTCCTCAACCACTTACTGGAGACGTCCATGCGGTACTTTTTCAACCAATCACTGGAGACATCACATATGATACTTCCTCAACCAATCACTGGAGACGAGACATACAATACTTCCCCAACCAATCACTGGAAACGTCCATGCGGTACTTCTTCAACCAATCACTGGAGACGACCCATACGGTACTTCTTCAACCAATCACTGGAGACGTCCCCTACGGTACTTCTTCAACCAATCACTGGTGACGTCCCCTACGGTACTTCTTCAACCAATCACTGGAGACCCCCCCTATGGTACATCTTGGTACATCTTCAACCAATTACTGGTGACGTCCCCTACGGTACTTCTTCAACCTATCACTGGAGACCCCCCCTATGGTACATCTTGGTACATCTTCAACCAATTACTGGTGACGTCCCCTACGGTACTTCTTCAACCTATCACTGGAGACCCCCCCTATGGTACATCTTGGTACATCTTCAACCAATTACTGGTGACGTCCCCTACGGTACTTCTTCAACCTATCACTGGAGACCCCCCCTATGGTACATCTTGGTACATCTTCAACCAATTACTGGTGACGTCCCCTACGGTACTTCTTCAACCTATCACTGGAGACATCACATACGGTTCTTCCTCAACCAATCAATGGAGACATCACATACAGTACTTCTTCAACCTATCACTGGACACATCACATAAGACTATGAAGCAGAGGCTCATGAAGATTGGCATCAAGCATTACAGAAAGATTTCCAGACATGAAGTGACCATTGGAAACCTAGGTCACTCATTCAGCAAGAGACATACCGTAGTAAGGAAACCGGATGGTAATTATTTTCTTGTGAATCCAAGTGTAAGGAGGTGTCCACCACATCAGGCAAAGCGATAGTAGCGCTGAGACGATTGTTACTACCACACTTTAGGATAGACTTACACTTACGTCAATCGTAGCGCTAAGATCGCTTTGTGGAACGGGGCCCAGGACTTGACGAGGATAAGCAGCAGGAAGACTTCAGTGTCGGCTTTCTGGGTTCCTGCCATTCTGGCCTCTGTGCTGGACATGTTTTGGACTGTGATACTTACAGACACTGTAGTGCCTGTGAAATTTGTTTCTCAATTATCTCAGATAAATTGTAATAGTAGCTATTTTGAAACAATACACTGTACCAATATGGTTATTTGTTGAGGTGAGATATTGAGGGTATGTGTTTTCAGTAACCCATGAATACCATATTTACTGTTTTAAGTGGCCTGCTCTGATAAGTGCCCCCTATCCAACTTCTTGACCAATCTGCAAGTCATCTTTACTAAGACCGATTTACATGACAGTCCATATTGTTTCGTGTATATGACAGATTGTTTTACCGAAGAAGGGATAAAGTAACTACAGTATTTAAAAAAAAGTTTAGTTTCTTTTGCTTATACACAACCGCTCAATCTCTGAAAAATACATTTTACTTGACGTTTATGTTTTTAGATGCCCTTGTCAATTTTCTAAGTGCCTGGGGTTCCTGTTATGGCAAATAGGGTATGTATGTAGCCTGTGTGATGCAGTGAAGTGGTGAAGTCAATTTTCAGTTGTGTAAGAAAATTGTATCAAACCCATTCAGGTAATATGGAAAATATATGTGTCAACGATTGCAACCTATTTAAATGATTCCCAATGAGTGAATATTCCTGTATATATATACAGTGTGAATATATATGTCATAACTATCACCCACAAGGTTGCGGGGGGGTATTAAAATGGACACTGTCAGTCCAACTGTGCAAGATGTTGTTTTCCGAGCAGATCTTGAAAACCACACAATATTTCTTCACCAAACTTGGCTCATAGATAGGTCTAGTAGTGAACTGGTGCCTTTTGATAGTTTCAGACTTTTTATCAAAATATGTTTTGAGTTTCCATGGCAACAACTTTGACTTAGTCTGGAAATAGGGGAGGTTCTTGTTTCCGTGAACAAATTTGGCACACAGATAGGTAAAGTGGTGGAACTGGTGCATTTTGATACATGTAGTTTGCTACTTTTGAAAATATTTCTAGTTTCCATGGCAACAAAAACATGTATACATATTGAACTGGTTGACATATTCACAATAAGTATTTACCATTGTGGGGGATATCAATGACTTCGTCCTCTTGTTGTTTTTGTTTTGGGCAACTGATTGTTTTGAAGGAGGCTGATACTGAATCTTCATGTTATGCTTCTTGATGCAAGGTAACATGATTGAAAATGGAGTCTTCTTTAATTGGAGAATGATTTTGTACCACTCAGGGGCAAACAAACAACTGTTGATGTTCTCTTTGTTTCATCTCATCCATCATGACAGTGAAATGTTTGTTTACCCTCACCTTACCTAAAGCATCTCAGGAAATTCACAAACATCACCACCATAATCATGATTTGAGAAGTATTTTGACGAAAAGTTACTTTTATAGGCCAGCAAAGAGAAGAAACATGTAAGCATCTTAGGCTAAGTTCTGTTGGAATCATGTACGAAATCATAAAAGAACAGCATAACGTTGTCATAAGAAATGGCATGACATGTTTTGCAGACCATTGTGATGTCATCCGTTACTATGATGTCACAATCAAATTACATCACAAATCTCTCTGCCACTGTCTACCACTACATCCTTTATCGTCAGTATAACACTCAGTGGAGCAAATGTTACATTTTGAATCACTCGTAATTCATAGTGTCTGTATGAATAATGTTCACGATGAAATGTGTTTCTGTAAATGTCTACATGTAATTGTTATGAAGCATTTAGGGAATTGTGCAAATGGTTGTCTATAGCAACTAAGACTTTACTCACACAGCTATATTGCTGTACATACTTGGCAGTTGATGTTGGTTTAAAACGTTTACTTATTGTTTTCATTGTGATGTGTTAGAGAGGTGCAGAGCTCAGGGAGCAGTTCCCATGCAGGTGTGAGTGAGTGAGTGAGTGAGTGAGTTGGGTTTCCTGCTGTTTTGAGCAGTGGCAGTGGAGGAGGAGGAGCAAGTAATGCAGGATGTTTACCGTAATCTTGGATTTGAACCCATGAACACTCGAACCTTATATTCATGCCTAGATATTGAATTGTCACTGAAACTGACATGACATGAGTAGCTAAGTTCAGATATTTATATGACTCAAGTGTTTACCTCTATTTTGCGGACAGATGGTAAGTTCTAAAAAGTTGAACGCCTGATGATCAGGCTATTATTGTATTCCCTAAATTAACTACCGGTAAGCATTCTTGTTCTAATTCAATGTAAGAGGTAAATGACCTGTATATGTTAAACATATCATTGATGAATAAAATTTAAGTGATTTAAAGTTACTAAGTTGACAATCCATCATTAAACTAACATTAAACAATGCTATTCTTGTTGACCCTGAATTCCTACCTGTATCCTCCCTGGAACTACTGACTGAAGAGCTGCTTGATCATCCACTTTGTCATGGAGTGTTCTTTGAATGACAGTTTCCCCAACCAAGCAGCTCTTTAACTATCTTGACCAAAGGGGGGGCAGTCGGGTAGCCTTGTGGTCAAAGTGTTTGCTCGTCACGCTGAAGACCCGGTTCGATTTCCGACATTGGTACAATGTTTGAAGCCCATTTTTGGCGTCCCCCGCCGTGATATTGCTGGAATATTGCTAAAAGCAGCGTAAAACCATACTCACTCACCCACTCTTTACCAAAGGCTTTAAAAGATTTTGATGTATCGAATATTGTGATTCATTCAGTGCAGAGATAATAGGTCTTTATTAAGGTCAACCATTTTAACCAGTTTTATTTGAGTGACCTTTTTCCTATGTCCCGACTGTTTCACCAAATAGAAAACACAATAACAACAACAGAATCTTGACTTCATTGGTCAATTTGCCTAGAGGCAGAAGGCAAAATGGTATATTTAATAAAATGTAGCTTGAAATAGGATCTGTAATCACGTTGTCAATCACACAGCATTTTTTATATTTTTAGGTCACATGACTAAAAGGCAGATGAGTGTATGTCATTATACGTTTTCTGTCGGCTGTCCAGCCGTTATTAACTTTGCATTTTCAACATCTTCTCTGAAACTGCAAGGCCCACTTCGGAGCTGAAGCGCCACAGCTATAGTGTTGCTAAATAGAGCTCACAGAATTTCAAATAATTTTGAGAACTTTGGCTATAAATCGGACATCTTTTCAAAAATGTGTATTTAAAGTTGGCATAGGTGTTTTAAGTAGTGGGGCCTAAAATGAATCTTCCAGGGTTTTTTTTACCTTCATTCAATTTTTACAGCAAACTAGTTGGTCTCAGCAAAGTGAAAATGCAATAACAATCAAAGAATCGTTTATGCAACATTAGGATTTCGTACCATAGCCATTTGTACTAAAATTAGGTTAAAGTGTCATCAAATTATTAGTTCATAAGTCAGGTGAGCTACAGTCTCGTGGCTCTTTTTTTATTTACTCTTGCAATATGTATGTGCAACATATCCGTTAGACAATAACAGATTGGTCTGGCCCACCATGGTTCAGTACAAGTTATTTTACGAATGATTAAGACACTTGCATGTGTTAATGCTGTAAACTCTGTGATGTCTTTTGTTTCATCCGGAAAAGACTTGACTGTTGTCTAGTCACCTGCGAATGCTCTTGATGAGTAGCTGACGTGAATGGCTCTGTCAGACTCACTCATATTGATGTTGACTTACAACCATGTGAATTACATGTCCAGACAGTAGGGTCAGTCCAATCTGCCTTTACCATTTAGATTGTTTAAGAGTGCCTTTTCATTCTTATGTTTTTTAATGAAAGGTCATTTGTATAAAAATGATTCATTTTATATTTCCTAATTGTTTTTTGTTTTACTCAAGCCTTTCCTTTGTTAATATTGCACTGAAGTGCTCATTGTCTTGTGTGTGTTTCTAGTTGAACAGACTGAATGTTGTGACACTCTGTATGTATAATGATCATTTGTTAGTGGAACATTTTATCAATAAAATACGAAATTTTCATTATTAATTTTATTTACTTATTTTAACTTTGTTTATTATATTTGTTTATTTGAACGGATGTTGATATAAAACTAGGGACTATTGGGATAACCCCTGCTTTCAGTTGGAGTGAAATTGGGTCTTAGGTCACTCATATCCCCTCAACTCCTCAAACATCAACTGCAGCTGTCTAACTACAAGAGTTGTAATGGCCACAGTTAGTCTGAGCCAGTCATTGCCCCATCAGCTGCTTCTTGAACTACCTGGCTTGTGTCAGGTAGATTTGTCTTTATGTACAGCTTACTCAAGGAAGAGAATATATGGATGTCAACTTCTTTATTATGAGGAACACAACGTTTCGGAGTATATGCTTACTCCTTCATCAGGTGAATGATTCACATATTCACCTAGTTGACATCCATATTATCTCTTCCTTATGTGAATCACTTCTAAATGCCTTCCAAAAACCTGATACAGTTTACTCTTTAGTACCTGTCACAAAGCACGGAAAATTAATTGCATTTACCAATACTTGCTAATGAGTACCCCATTCAAACTTGTGATAACTGATTTAGCACTTCCTGGTATAGCCAGATACATTATAGTGTATATATTTTGGAATGTCAGGAGTAAACAAGTATGCTTTACAGGGGTAGAAACTAACACTAGTCCTTATACTGATAATATATAGCAAAACCCTTAAAAATGGCAAATTTCTACTAGTCCTTATGATACCTTAACCATTGGGCAGTTTGGCAAGGACTACAGGACTGGTGCCAATTTCTAACCCTGCTTTATGTTAAAGTAACAGGAATAGCAATAGCAATCAGTTGTACCAAAGCGCATCACTTATGCTTAAATAATAATAATAATAATAATAATAATAATAATAAAAGCAAAAGCTGCAACTAAAATAACACAAAATTGGAATAATATTCATCATTAATGTCAGTTTTAAACAATTTCTTCCGATTCTTTTATCAAAGTTCTTTCAACTTAATATGATATTGGCTATGTTTAAACTGAATCAAGGGTAGACCTAGGAGAAAATGTGAACAACTAATTGCTTTTTCCGGCTTATTTTACAAGACAATGCACCCGGAAATCTTTACCTGTGCATATGAAAGAGTGCCAAGTAGAGCAGGAAATACAAGTTAAATGGTAAATGTAGTTTAGCCTAAATTTAGATTACAGCCAGTGTAAGCTGTAGATCGCGTAATTATTATGGCTACATTTAAGAAGCAAGAACGTTGGCGGGAAGAAAATAGACTTGTATCACGGGACCTCAATACTATGAGCTTTGCCAACTGGACAGTCGCAAAAATCAGGCAATGTTCTTTGCCGTTTCTTCGACATGATGACTAATTTGACTATACGGTGCAGACGGCGGACACGTGACGTGATTTGAACCTGCTAGCCAATCACTATTTGGAGTTGAGAGCGCCATCAAGCTGAGATATATCTATTTTTACAATTGGGAATTCCAAATTTCGATTCATCTTTAACTTGGATGTGTTTCTTATTTCTTTTTGATGTACTGATATTAGCAGACACATGCACTGCGTGCAAAACACGCATGCAACACATCTTGTGCGTGTTTTGATTTTTATTGGCCAGTGACCATATAATCTATTATATGCATGGTCTCTCTGCGCGAAACACGAACATTTCTTCGTGAAGGTGAACACTGCAATGCCACTACGTGTTTCAGTTTCTATCATAAGATGTTGAACGAACAGTTTCGTTTACATGTGTAGGGGTCAAACACCCCATTAATTCAGCCGTCAGCACGAAATGCTCAGTTGTTCACAGTTAGGAATGCTGATGATGTTATTATATTTGTGTGTTATATCTGGTTCACAAACAAAACCATTCCGAATCCTGTAGCGGATGTCTTTTGTATTAAAATAAAATCACTGAAGAACAAGTTACACCATACAGCGTGGTCAATTAGAAAAAAACCCCGCAAAGTTGTGACCTGTAGCCTATTTAGACAGCACACGAGATCAACATAAGAAACAAAATATACAGATAGTTATGTAGAATTATTTAAACTGTTTTTATCAATCACAAAATATAAACAACAAATGATACCACGACTGCGGCTTGAACAAACACCCAAACACCCAAACCCCCAGGAGACACCCCCAGGAGACACGCCCAGGTCCAGTCACATGACAGCTAGGGTATAGACTACGAGGAAATATAGCTGCGAAGCGAAACTGATGACGCCATGTATCTGTTCTACTTTAGAATAGCAATGTCACATAGCGGACATGGGGAATCCCCGATAACTTGTCTCATCTCACATGACTACAAAATACCCACACACTTCCTTAATGAATGTCACACTCTTCCGCGGATTTCCCTTAATTTACGCTCAACTTTACTGTATGTTAAGCAGTTAAAGAAAAAGTTGTTATTACATAATGTGTCGGAATGTGCAACATCATATCCTCCAGTCTTTGTGCGGTGCTCTCGGTGAAGACGAACAGTGAGGGGGATACTCTCTGCTTTCAAGGGTCGGGCACCTGCTCTTGGAGTATACGTTTTGCCAATACACCTTCGGGCACCTTCTCGTGGAGTATACCTGCAGCTCACAAGGGCCAGACATCTGCTCCTTGAGTGTACGTACAGTGAACACGCGTCGGCCACCTGCTGGTGGAGTATACGTCGAGCATATAAGACTTGGAGACCTGCTCCTGAAGCATAAAATGGCCAGACCCCACCTCTGAGAATACGTGCATCATATTGGTCAGCATACTTGGGTACGTACCCTTGAAGTGCACGTGAAGCCATACAAGGGCCAGATACCCCGACCCCACGCCAGCCCACCCCATCCCATCCTTGAGTATACGTGGGGCATCCCGTAGGCTCACCGACCTGCTCCAGGAGTATATGTACATAATAGTGATCAGATTTTCTACATCTTGGAGCCATCATTGTGACACATTGAGGTCGTCCTGATTCCATGGCAACTTGCTTCGTGTCTGTGATGGGCAACGAGTTCTTAGCGTTAGTGTCAGTACTGACGGCGGTATTACATGCGATGGGTCTGTACAGCCGTCACTGGAGCGTCCTTATCCAAGACCACAGACGTTTGGACGGGGGGATGACAGGGGCGTGGCACGACCATCGCCACTTCGGCGGAGAGCAGCGGTTTGAAGGGCTGTGGCGGACATGCGTGAAGAACACAACGGGCATTGTTGACTGTTTGACCATACGTCATGTTCCAGGTACGTCTCGAACTTCATTACATAACATCAACATCACATTCAGAACGTAACATCACATACAGGACATAACATCAACATCACACACAAGACATCAACATCACATTAAGAACGTAACATCACATACCACCAACATCATACACAGAACATAACATCAACATCACACAGAACATGCCATCAACATCACATAGAGAATATAACATAACATCAACATCACAGAACATAACATCAACATCACAATCGGAACATCAACATCACACAGGACATCAACATCACACACAAGACATACCACCAACACCACACACAGAACATAACATAAACATCACACACAGAACATAACATCAACATCACACACAGAACATAGCATCAACATCACACAGAGAACATAACATCACACAGAACTCAACATCAACACCATACACATAACATCAACATCACACAAAAGACATACCACCAACATCACACGTAGAACATAACATCAACATCACACACAGAACATAACATCAACATCACACACAGAACATAACATCAGCATCACACACAGAACATAACATCAACATCACACACAGAGCATAACATCGACATCACACACAGAACATAACATCACACAGAACTCAACATCAACACCATACACATAACATCAACATCACACAAAAGACATACCACCAACGTCACACAGAACATAACTTCAACATCAAACACAGAACATAACATCACACACAGAACTTTCAGGTTATGATAACCCTGTTCGTCATGTTCACATCAAGGATACGAAATGTCTGACCTCAAAGCTCATTCCATGTCTGAATGAGGTAAAGCCTATTCCACCTCTGAAGGAGGTAAAGACAATTCCACAGCTGTAGGAGGTTGACCCTATTCCACCTCTGAAGGAGGTTAACCCTTTTTCACCACTGTAGGAGGTTGACCCTATTCCACCTCTGAAGGAGGTTAACCCTTTTCCACCACTGTAGGAGGTTGACCCTATTCCACCTCTGAAGGAGGTTAACCCTTTTTCACCACTGTAGGAGGTTAACCCCATTCCACCACTGTAGGAGGTTAACCCTATTCCACCTCTGAAGGAGGTTAACCCTATTCCACCTCTGAAGGAGGTGAACCCTATTCCACCTCTGAAGGAGGTTAACCCTATTCCACCACTGTTGGGGGTTAACCCTATTCCACCACTCTAGGAGGTTAACCCTAACCACCTCTGAAGGAGGTTAACCCTATTCCACCACTGTAGGAGGTTAACCCTATTCCACCTCTGAAGGAGGTTAACCCTATTCCACCACTGTTGGGGGTAAACCCTATTCCACCTCTGAAGGAGGTGAACCCTATTCCACCTCTGAAGGAGGTTAACCCTATTCCACCACTGTTGGGGGTAAACCCTATTCCACCTCTGAAGGAGGTTAACCCTATTCCACCTCTGAAGGAGGTTAACCCTATTCCACCACTGGAGGAGGTTGACCCTATTCCACCTCTGTAGGAGGTAAAGACAATTCCGCTACTGTAGGAGGTTAACCCTATTCCACCTCCGAAGGAGGTTACCCCCCTCCGCCACTGTAGGAGGTTAACCCTATTCCACCACTGTAGGAGGTTAACCCTATTCCACCTCTGAAGGAGGTTAACCCTATTCCACCACTGTAGGAGGTTAACCCTATTCCACCTCTGAAGGAGGTTAACCCTATTCCACCACTGTTGGGGGTAAACCCTATTCCACCACTCTAGGAGGTTAACCCTATACCACCTCTGAAGGAGGTTAACCCTATTCCACCTCTGAAGGAGGTTAACCCTATTCCACCTCTGAAGGAGTTTAACCCCATTCCACCACTGTAGGAGGTTAACCCTATTCCACCTCTGAAGGAGGTTAACCCTATTCTACCCCTGAAAGGAGGTTAACCCTATTCCACCACTGTTGGGGGTTAACCCTATTCCACCACTCTAGGAGGTTAACCGTATACCACCTCTAAAGGAGGTTAACCCTATTCCACCTCTGAAGGAGGTTAACCCTATTTCACCACTCTTGGAGGTTAACCCTATTCCACCTCTGAAGGAGGTAAAGACAATTCCACCACTGTAGCAGGTTGACCCTATTCCACCTCCGAAGGAGGTTAACCCTATTCCACCTCTGAAGGAGGTAAAGACAATTCCACCACTGTAGCAGGTTGACCCTATTCCACCTCCGAAGGAGGTTAACCCTTTTCCGCCACTGTAGGAGGTTAACCCTATTCCACCACTGTAGCAGGTTGACCCTATTCCACCTCCGAAGGAGGTTAACCCTTTTCCGCCACTGTAGGAGGTTAACCCTATTCCACCCCTGAAGAAGGTTAACCCTTTTCCACCACTGTAGGAGGTTAACCCTATTCCACCTTTGAAGGAGGTTAACCCTATTCCACCTCTGAAGGAGGTTAACCCTTTTCCGCCACTGTAGGAGGTTAACCCTATTCCACCCCTGAAGGAGGTTAACCCTTTTCCACCACTGTAGGAGGTTAACCCTATTCCACCATTGTAGGAGGTTAACCCTATTCCACCTCTGAAGGAGGTTAACCCCATTCCACCACTGTAGGAGGTTAACCCTATTCCACCTCTGAAGGAGGTTAATCCTATTCCACCACTGTAGGAGGTTAACCCTATTCCACCACTGTAGGAGGTTAACCCTATTCCACATCTTAAGGAGGTTAACCCTATTCCACCACTGTTGGGGGTTAACCATATTCCACCACTGTAGGAGGTTAACCCTATTCCACCTCTTAAGGAGGTTAACCCTATTCCACCACTGTTGGGGGTTAACCATATTCCACCACTCTTGGAGGTTAACCCTATTCCATCTCTGAAGGAGGTAAAACCTATTCCACCACTCTTGGAGGTTAACCCTATTCCATCACTGTTGGAGGTAAAATATATTCCACCTCTGGAGGAGGTTAACCCTATTCCACCACTCTGGGAGGTTAACCCTATTCCACCTTTGAAGGAGGTTAACCCTGTTCCACCTCTGAAGGAGGTAAAACCCTATTCCACCACTGTAGGGTGTTAACCCTATTCCACCTCTGAAGGAGGTTAACCCTATTCCACCCCTGAAGGAGGTTAACCCTATTCCACCACTGTTGGAGGTAAAACCTATTCCACCTCTGTAGGAGGTAAAACCTATTCCACCTCTGAAGGAGGTTAACCCTATTCCACCTCTGAAGGAGGTTAACCCTATTCCACCCCTGAAGGAGGTTAACCCTATTCCACCACTGTTGGAGGTAAAACCTATTCCACCTCTGTAGGAGGTAAAACATATTCCACCACTGTAGGGGGTTAACCATATTCCACCTCTGAAGGAGGTATAGCCAATTCCCCACCCCTGAAGGAGGTATAGGAACGCACCCAAAAGACACTCGACCATCAGGCTTTCAAAGATGACTTCATAATGAGTTCACTTTTCTGCAGTCCCACGGACATCTTCCCGAGGCAAGGGAGTTAACTGACTTTAAAAGTGCAATTTCAAGATCTATATTGTAATACAACGGGTCTTACTTCGGGAAATGCATCAAATCACGTGAGCACCATAATTAAAAACATGAAAAGATTTGGAAAATAACTGTTGACGCAGAGTCGGTACACATGCTTTACAAATCCTGCAAACGATCGAAATATGCACGGCAGTTTACGAACCGGATATCGATTTCGTTTCGCGATTTTGATTGGACTATGCATAGACTCGTTAGTCCAGCCAATATATAACTTCATATTTCAAGCCTAGTTCGGCAAGGGTGGAAATTGGATTTTTATAGTCAGTTAACTCCCTTGCCTCGGGAAGGTGTCCCCCGGATGATGTAAATGAACTCGTCACTGTCTTCTCGATCAACATGCACCACTGAGATGCAAGAAGACCAGACATAACCTGGCCTCGGTGGCCTTGGTACACCCCTGAGGTCAAGGATGCTAATGCCAAGAGGCGAGCACCTGAACGTCTCTTCCGGAAATCCAGATTAGAAATTCAAAGACAAATCTTCAACTCTTCTAGAAACATTGTTAGTGTGATAACAAGATGAAACCTGAATATCTCAATCTAGAGATTACTAGAAATTCCACAAATCAATAGAAACTGTTCTCAATTGTGATCCTTCTGCTGGGTAAAAGATCTGATGTAATACTTCCACATAGGAATGGGTTTAACCTTGATTTTTCACAGATAAAATCACTCCCCTACGTCAAATTTTTGGATCTGTCTGCGATGATCTTTCTTGTCCACAATACGTTGGGACAAAGTTTGACTTGTTTTGACAAGTCGCAGAGGCCGACATCCTCAAACTGGTCAAATATTCTAAACCAGCATTCTGTAAGCTAGACCCTGTCCCAACGAAATTTCGTTTGTCCATCAAGGGACGTCCTGCTTCCAGGAATCACTACAATTGTAAACCTGAGCCTATCTACAGGTACTGATCCCACAAGCTGTACTGTTAGACACTGTTACACCGGGGGCACGGGTGGCCAAGACGTCTAAGGCGCCGCGATTCGCTGTGCAGAGTTGCGTCCCTTGGGCACGCCAGAAACCTATGATTGTGGGTTTGAAACCGGTTCGCCCCGATTATGTTTCTAGGTTTGTCAGCATACCCGTGCTCGTGGGTTTCACCTAAGTGGTTAACGTCTTAGATCTGGATCACTTCGGACTTTCCTCCCACATTGAGCTGACACGCCGTGATATAACTGGAATACTGTTCAAAGCGGCCATAAACCCAACTCACTCACTCGCTCACTATTACTATCTGAGAAACATTGGTGCAATTCGTCATCTGATCACAAAAGACGCATCTGTAACTATGGTACGATCTCTTGTTTTTGTCGAGAATCGACTATTGCAACAGTCTATTGACTGGAATATCAAGTCCACAACTGTACAGGCTGCAGAAAATCAATGAAATCGGAACATGCTTACTATACACACGCACAAAGGTTAAGCGCCACCATATTCATAGTCTCTTGACTTCACGTGTGGGAATCAGAAATAAGAAATATGATGATGTATGACTGAATTGGGCTTCCATAGTTTCATGAACCCAAATTTGTCCAGATACCACAAGGAAAGCGTGCTTTACGTGTTGCTGCAGTTCCCCTACCCTACAAATAGTGAAATTCAAGTTTCAGACACATGGTTGCATTTTGCTCCTGTGTGAGATTCCCCTTCCAATAGAGATTAAATTAAGCCATGGTGAGGAGAAAGTTAACGAACGCTGAAAGATGGCAAGTGATAGGCATGACAAATGCTGGCATGTCATGCAGGGCCATTGCAAGACAAATGGGTCGTCATCACAGTGTTATCACTCGTTTGATTGTCAAACATGGTCAAACCAATGATGTCAATGACAGGCATAAGTCTGGTAGGCCAAGAAAGACCTCTAACAAAAAGGATAGACGTCTTTTCAGGATAGTCAGACGAAATCCATTTGCCACTTCAACAGATTTAAGACTGCAGTGGATTACCCATCAGAGACTCTCGACGATGACCGTAAGGCGTCGCCTCAGAGCGGCTGGTTATAACGCCAGGAGACCAGTAAAACGTCCTCAACTGTCTGAGAGGCACATGCGGAATCGTCTGATATGGTGTCGTGCCCGTAGTCGATGGACAAGACCTGTTTACATGGACGACAATGCTAGACCACACAGATCTCGGGCAGTTTGGGCTTATTTGCGTCAAGAAGCTATTGCCACTCTTCCTTGGCCGGTCTGTAGTCCGGATCTTAATCCGATTGAGCATCTCTGGGACATTCTTGGCCGGAAAATCAGACATTGTGATCCCCCAGTTCAAAATCTCGCTGGACCTGAAGCCGCACTTCATGAAGAATGGATCCGTTTGCCTCAGAGAAGCATTCAACGACTTGTAATGAGTATGAGGCGTAGGGTTGAAGCTGTGGTCAATGTCCGTGGATCATACACACGTTACTGACGTTTCTGTCTTGCAATATACTCTGCACTCCCTATGGTGTCTATGTGACACCTGATATGGTCTGCTGATATGACAGTTACATGACAAAAAAAAGTCTTTTAATGTTGTCTAATCCTTCAATTTCTGCTCTTCGGTAAAATTCCTTTCTGCTCATATTCTTTTGGAACACAAGATAAACTTGCTTTGGGACCACTTTTGCATCACATGATATTTACATATATGACTTATAACAATCGTACATCTCATTATAATAGTCATGATTAAGTGCCAAAAGTAAAAGCTCACAAATATGGTGGGTGGCGCTTAACTTTTGTGCATGTGTATATCTTGCGTGCTTCCACAAGGTTTGCAGAGGCTATTTCTTTACGGACAATTACATCTCAGGGTATTACCAAGGCTTTGGTCATGGTTGGTTTGCCTAGGACTATTGAGTCAGATCAGGGCTCTTATTTCATGTCAGGTGTTTTCCAACAGGCTATGCGCCAGTTTAGCATAGCCCAGATTAAGTCTAGTGCGTATCATCCTGAACCTCAAAGAGCTTTTGAGAGGTTTCGTCAGACTCTTGAGAGTATGATAAGGACTTACTGTTTTGAGACTGAAAAGGATTGGGATGAAGGCATTCATTTGTTGTTTGCTGTGAGGGAGTCAGTTCAAGAGTCCTTAGGATTTTGTCATTTTGCTGTTGTTCGTGGACCTTTAAAGTACTAAAAGGAGTGGGGCGGTCGGGTAGCCTAGAGGTTACAGCGTTCGCTCGTCACGCCGAAGACCCGGGTTCGATCCCTGACATCCCCCGTCGTGATATTGCAGGAATACTGCTAAGATCGGCGTAAAACCATACTCACTCATTACTCACGTAAAGTAGCATTGGCTTAATGATAGGTCTGAAATGAGTTTGTTCGTGGCCCTTTGAAAGCCTTCCCTGAAATGACGAGACATATTACAACAAACACGTTTCAGGCTAGGCTTTCAAAAGCTTGTGAAGTTGCTCAACATAATTTGAAGAAATCACAGGACAAGTCTCAAGAGAGAAATTTCAGTCTTGGCGACAAGGTCTTTGGGTTTTGTATGTGTAGGCTGTTGTCAGTGTCACGTCGTGGGTGATCTACGTTGTCAGTGACACCGTGACGTTCCCATGTTGCAGGATGGCTGTTGTGTGTGCAGATCCTGGTATGCCTGAGTTTCGGGGGAGCCTTGCTGTCGGCGCTGATGAAGCTGCTCTACCACTTCAACCCCTTCTGCAACAGTCGAAGAATTGTTGCCGGCTTCGTCATGATGTCCTTCCTTGATGGTAAGACAAATCACAGGTTTGTGAGTAAGTATCCTCTAAGTCAGAGTGATAGTGACATGTTCTGCAAATAAATGCTTTTATAGCCCAAAGTACTACCTAGGCAATCCTCCAAGACGCGAGTGATTAATGAGTGTATCTGTGCGAGTTCATTTTAATAATCATAACAGATTCTATGGTTTTGTGTATCTGTCATGCCATGACTATAACTAATTATGACATGATACTATAGTTATATGATTGATTGATTGATTGTTGACTAATTATGTCATGATACAAGAGTAATATGATTGATTGATTGTTGTTTAACGCCGCACTCAGCAATATTCCAGCGGTCTGTAAATAATCGAGCCTGGACAATCCAGTGTGATACGATGGATAATTAGGATAGGATGTTACGGCAAGCTTGGGTTGCTGAAGGCCTATTCTACCCCGAATCTTCACGGGTCATAAAACGTCGGGCGATTGTTAATCCTCGCTTTGTGGTATATATCACGACAGTTAGTGGTGGTCTGCAAACACTCCTCAGTAAAGAAATTTCAGAAAAAACGTTTGTCCGTAGTGTAGGTGAAGGAATGCCATGTAATAAAATCTATATTGCTGGTATACACTGACCACTGACTTTCGTGACATCTTGTGCAGCATTCATGCTGCTGTCTGCTGTCAGCATCTACGCCACAAACTACGGGGAACGTTACATGTTGTCGTTGTCGTCGCTGCATCACCTTGTCTGTCGGCTGTCATGGAGCTTTGTCATCGAGACCATCGCAATGGTGTTCAGTGTAGCCTCGGGATCCCTTGCCCTGTGTACTATCAGAAGGTGAGTAGCTTCTGTCAAACCTGTCATCATCGAGAGTACCATCAGAAGGTGAGTCGCATTTGTCAAACCCGTCATCATCCAGAGTACCATCAGAAGGTGAGTAGCTTCTGTCAAACCCATCATCATCCAGAGTACCATCAGAAGGTGAGTAGCTTCTGTCAAACCCATCATCATCCGGAGTACAATCAGAAGGTGAGTAGCTTCTGTCAAACCCGTCATCATCCAGAGTACCATTAGAAGGTGAGTAGCTTCTGTCAAACCCGTCATCATCCGGAGTACCATCAGAAGGTGAGTAGCTTCTGTCAAACCCGTCAAACCCGTCATCATCCAGGGTACCATCAGAAGGTGAGTAGCTTCTGTCAAACCAATCATCATCCAGAGTACCATCAGAAGGTGAGTAGCTTCAGTCAAACCCGTCATCATCCAGAGTACCATAAGAAGATGAGTGTCTTCAGTCAAACACGCCATCATCCAGTGTATACCATCAGAAGGTGAGTTGCTAAAGTCAAACACGTCATCATCCAGAGTACCATAAGAAGATGAGTGTCTTCAGTCAAACACGCCATCATCCAGTGTATACCATCAGAAGGTGAGTTGCTAAAGTCAAACACGTCATCACCCAGAGTACCATCAGTACCATTAGGTTATGGGTAGCAAGTCTTAAAAAGGCATTTAGGAGAGATACACATAAGGATGTTTATGGTGGTCAACTTCTGTATTATGAAGAACACAAGGTTTCGGACTATATACTTACACATTAAAGTGGTGTTTAAATATTACAGAAATTTTCCTTTATGGGTAAGCAGAGGAAACAATCCTCCTTGTCCTTGTGTCCGGCTCCACAGCATTGTGTCAGACGTGTTTCAGGTTTCCAGAGTGTTAAGACTCATTCACATCACCACATAGTGCCACCCACTCGCACAAATGCTAGACTGCAGCCTGCTGTCTCCTTTCTTCCAGGGAATACACAGAAATATGACTCAAGTCCCCGTCCCTGGAGTGTTCTCCCTTTGTACAGAGGACATTACAACACAATGGACGGTCCCGTCACGCACCTGCTGTTCAGAGCATGTAGATTATGTTAATCATTAATAAACACTTGATGTAAATAGACTATATTACCATACTGGCAAGTTGTTCCTACTCTACCTGTATGACTCAGTTGATAGACAGGTAGTAAGATGGAGTGCTGGGGAACTGGGCGCACTTGCACAAAGCAATCGTAGCACTAAGGCTATAGTAAGTCTATATTAAAGTATGGTAGTTACGATCACTAAGATCACTTTGTGCAAGGGGAGGCTTGTCAAACATGTCAGTATTGCAGCAGTTGATGTTAATATCTGTGCAAGATTGATCAATGCTTAGATGCATCATCAGATTCCATGTGGCCCCAAGATGGATAATCGGAATTATCGCTGATGGGAAGAAATATTAACCATTATGATATGAAAATTGTGTCATCTTAATAATATCTCACACAACTTTTGTTATGAAATAAAGTTTTCATTTACCTAAGCAGACTTGTTTTTGACCACTGCCGAAGACAGCAAGCAATTGATTATGTTTTATCTTAAATGTCCACAAATTAATCCATGCAAAAACGTGTCACCACTCACCAGTGATGTGAAATATTTTGTTTTGTCTCTGAGCTTTTTGCATATTTGCTCAAAGTCAAGTTACTTCTGCAATATTTATCTATAATTGATCGTCATTAAGTTAACAACGATTATCAATCTCTAAGATTTATATCAATAGTCAACTGTTGCGAGCAGCAGCCTATGCTGGTTGTAAAAGGTAACCAAACAGATAGATGGTCCGATTCGTTGAGTGTGTCACAGCGTACCCCGACGGTGTGCATTGTAGCTCACCACGTTGATCAATGGATTGTTTTGGACTGTATTGCAGACAAGCATAAAACAAACACACAACTCTTTTTCCAGCTATGTCAATAAATTTTTATTTTGACAAATAGCTGACTATTTAGTGAAGAAGTGTGTTTTCCTATTGCAGAATACTGACAAAATAGTTAGCAAAGGTATTACAACAGCAAAACACACTAAGCCCACGAACTCCTTACCAATGGAAGAATTAGTAACCCTCAACATAACAAGTACCACAAGTACTGGCGGGCATAGGGAAAACCAGATCCGAATACAGGTGCCCTTTCAGCGACGCCCAGCACAGAACATAACATTCAAAGGGAGAGGTCGATTTTACCAAACCAAGGAACAACGTACAGACCCAGAAATGCTTGATCTGCTTCTAAACATTCAGTGTCGTTGGCAACATGGAGTCTATGTTTGCTCCTGTCCGGTAAAGTTATCAAATTCTGACAAGTGAGCATCATCCAAAATATGACAAAATAAAATAACTGCAAATTTTGCTTGACGCTTCATTTCTGGCCTACATCCATTGGTAAGAAAATATAGCTGGTGAATACCCAGTCAGTACAAGGCTGGGAATTACCATAAAACAAGGACACTGAAAATAATAAATGCCTTAACATATATCGACCCAAAACAACTAGATCTCGCGTAAAAAAGTATAACTCAAAACTAATAAAAGAAAACTTTCTTCAGACAACTTGTTTAATTTGATCATATGAATTTAGCTGTTGACAATTTTTGTTCTGTTAAGGTGTTCAACATGAGAGCGACGGGCTGCATCGAAGACATATTGAAAGTCGTTTGATTGATATTCATTATCTTCATACAAGTCAAAACAAGGAAACAATTTGTCTGAATCAAGCAACGAAGGGGGTTTTAGATCTAGGAGTCGATATAGAAATAGAGCATGAAAACATCAGCATTTCGGGCCCTTTGAAGATCACCAGGAAACGATGAGGAACCACTACAACATAATGTTCACGCACAATGATGGGAGTCACGTGGTCATCTGTCAAAGGGCAATGTCGAACAACATGGGCTAAATACCGATTAGAGAACAATGGGCTGTCAACCTTTGATAAGCCTTGCAGTATCCCTCCAAATACTCCCTCCACATAAAGCACCAAATCCTGTTTTTGCCCTCAGTTTCCTGCATGACCTCAACATGTGAGGTTCACTCAGCTTTCTTGCTTTGCACTTTCCTTCCTTTAGAAACACATAAAATAAACTGTGCACTCTCACAAAGGCTGATGAGAAAAGCAGTGTACATTCATGCTGGATAGCAAAGGGAAGACAACAACAGGGGACACAGGGTCGAGACAGCATCACCAAACAATATTAGTGCAACATTAATATTTTCTAAAACTTTTAAAAAACTCATTGTGTCGACATAAAACCACTGGAAGTAGCAATGTTAGAAGCACTGCATTTATCAATGAAACTGAATCGTTTTAGTCAAGAGTTACCCCTCTTTAAACAGTTGTCTCCCCTTTGACCATACCTCCAGGGCAAAATGTCTACTTTGATTAACGTAGCACAGGTCTGTGCAGATTACCATGTAGGTACACTGATCAAGCTCCTATGCATGGAGATAATCCACAATAGAGAGCACAGGGCTACAGATGCATATCTAGAAAAGTACAAAGATTGAAACGACAGCGGCAGGCAGCTTGCAACCTTGTCTTGCACAATTTCTTATTATGCACAATTATTTAGAGAATAGCAATAATTGTCCTTTTTTTGCACCTGGCTAAATAAAGTTTTTAATATGGGATCTTTCCTGAACCCAAGTACACCGATTCCGAGAATGAGCACTTAATTCTTGGTCCAAATATCTGCACTTGAGTACGGAGTTTTGATTGTGATCTCGATGCTTCAGTTTGTACTCCACATGAACACAAGACAAGGCTGCAGCCAGGGACTACTCCTTCATCAGCTGGCTTGTTGCCCCGCCCAGTGTCGGTGGCGGGATGCTGGTGTTGATCTCAGACTTTATCTGCAGGCTGAAACACAATCACCAGATACATGTCACTCAAACTTTCTGTGGAATAAATAGCTGAATAATGCACTGAAATAAGACACATCCCTTTCCCAAGTGACTCAACCCATTCCCACATGACACATCCCCTCACCACGTGACACATCCCCTCCCTACGTGACATCCCCTCACCACGTGACACATCCCCTCACCACGTGACACATCCCCTCACCACGTGACACATCCCCTCCCTACGTGACATCCCCTCACCACGTGACACATCCCCTCACCACGTGACACATCCCCTCCCTACGTGACATCCCCTCACCACGTGACACATCCCCTCCCTATGTGACATCCTCCACCACATGACACATCCCCTCACCACGTGACACATCCCCTCACCACGTGACATCCCCTCCCTATGTGACATCCCCTCACCACGTGACACATCCCCTCCCTACGTGACATCCCCTCACCATGTGACACATCCCCTCACCACGTAACACATCCCCTCCCCACGTGACACATCCCCTCCCCACGTGACACATCCCCTCCCCACGTGACACATCCCCTCACCACGTGACACATCCCCTCCCCACGTGACACATCCCCTCCCCACGTGACACATCCCCTCCCCACATGACTCATCCCCTCACCACGTGACTCATCCCCTCAACACGTGACACAACCCCTCCCCACGTGACACATCCCCTCACCACGTGACTCATCCCCTCCCCACGTGACACATCCCCTCCCCACGTGACACATCCCCTCCCAACGTGACACATCCCCTCCCCACGTGACACATCCCCTCCCCACGTGACACATCCCCTCCCCACGTGACTCATCCCCTCCAAACGTGACACATCCCCTCCCCACGTGACACATCCCCTCCCCACGTGACACATCCCCTCCCCACGTGACATCCCCTCACCACGTGACACATCCCCTCCCCATGACATTCAACCCCTCCCTGCGACATTCAACCCCTCCCTAGGTACACAACCCCACACCACGTGACACCCCCTCACTATGTGACACATCCCCTCACCACGTGACACATCCCCTCCCCACGTGACACATCCCCTCCCTACGTGACATCCCCTCACCACGTGACACATCCCCTCCCCACGTGACTCATCCCCTCACCACGTGACACATCCCCTCCCCACATGACACATCCCCTCACCATGTTACTCATCCCCTCACCACGTGACTCATCCCCTCACCACGTGACACATCCCCTCCCCACGTGACTCAGCCCCTCACCACGTGACACATCCCCTCACCACGTGACACATCCCCTCACCACGTGACTCATCCCCTCCCCACGTGACTCATCCCCTCACCACGTGACACATCCCCTCCCCACGTGACACATCCCCTCCCCACGTGACACATCCCCTCACCACGTGACACATCCCCTCACCACGTGACACATCCCCTCCCCACATGACTCATCCCCTCACCACGTGACACATCCCCTCACCACGTAACTCATCCCCTCCCCACGTGACTCATCCCCTCCCCACGTGACTCATCCCCTCCCCACGTGACTCATCCCCTCCCCACGTGACTCATCCCCTCACCAAGTGACTCATCCCCTCCCCACGTGACTCATCCCCTCACCACGTGACTCATTCCCTCACCACGTGACACATCCCCTCCCCACGTGACACATCCCTTCCCAACGTGATATCCCCTCACCACGTGACTCATCCCCTCCCCACGTGACTCATCCCCTCACCACTTGACTCATCCCCTCACTACGTGACACATCCCCTCCCCACGTGACTCAACCCTCACCACGTGACACATCCCCTCCCCACGAGACACATCCCCTCCCAACGTGACACATCCCCTCCCAACATGATATCCCCTCACCACGTGACTCATCCCCTCCCCACGTGACTCATCCCCTCCCAACGTGACTCATCCCCTCCCCACGTGACTCATCCCCTCCCCACGTGACTCATCCCCTCCCCACGTGACACATCCCCTCCCAACATGATATCCCCTCACCACGTGACTCATCCCCTCACCACGTGACACATCCCCTCACCACGTGACTCATCCCCTCACCACGTGACACATCCCCTCCCCACGTGACTCATCCCCTCCCCACGTGACTCATCCCCTCATCATGTGACTCATCCCCTCACCACGTGACACATCCCCTCCCCACGTGACACATCCCCTCCCCACGTGACACATCCCCTCCCAATATGATATCCCCTCACCACGTGACTCATCCCCTCACCACGTGACTCATCCCCTCCCCATGTGACTCAACCCCTCCCCAATAGACACACCCCAATCCACATGACTCACCCAATCCCCACCTGACTCCCTATCTGTGACTCACCCATCTCCGATGTGCGTCTTGTCCTCGATGTAGTAGCCCATATCAGACAACACTTTGAGAGCATCCATGGAAGCTTTGTCCCGGGAGGATTCAGGGGTGGGTCCGGAGCCGTGGTGAACCTGAGGGGGGGTGGTAGACAGCGACAGGCGGCTCAGGTGCTCCTTACTGTTGTTCTGGAACCAATAACACAACAGTTAGAGCATAGCACTTCATCCTGAACAATACCACATTGAAATATCCCTTCAGCAGCGTAACAGCAACGTCACATCGCTCTGTGGCAAGCAACACCCCGACTGTAGAGTGGTATCAAGACAGACTGTGATTAAGCTGACATTGAGCAAACACTTACACTGTGGACGCAATCATAACTTGTACATCCTATAGCAGAAGTGCACAGACACACACATAACATCAGCTGTGAAATACCAACATGGCGATGGCTAAAATCATGAGATGACACAGTTATAGCAAATTTAATTGACCTAATAATACACTAGTCGAGGAATAAGTCAAATTAGTCAGTGGTGGGGAGTCAAATTAGTCATCTATCGTTAAAGATGGTTGGTGGCTATACATGGGTTGGTTGGTGGCTATACATGGGCTAGGGGCTATACATGGGTTGGTTGGTGGCTATACATGGGCTAGGGGCTATACATGGGCTAGGGGCTATACATGGGTTGGTTGGTGGCTATACATGGGCTATACATGGGTTGGTTGGTGGCTATACATGGGCTAGGGGCTATACATGGGTTGGTTAGTGATGAAAGTGACACAAAACTGAGTACCAGAGGTACCTGGCCTGAGAAATCGTCAAACTGCACTTGGAAGTTGTTGCGTGCGGCCAGCTCACGGAGCTGCTGCTCGGGGCGGATTGGACCCAGAGGGCTGCCCATACCTGCAAACATCGGAATCAATGTCAACATGTTGTGCCATGGTTTAATGATAGTCACCATTTTCTGCATAGAAAGCAATATGCGCCAGTCAGAACTGTTCCAGTTGTATCACTAGGGCTGTCAATAATAAAGTCGGGTCAGAGATTTTCAGTCAGTGGTTGATATTCCGAGCAACATCCCATGCTGTTGAGGTATGATGACACGCAATCAACAAAGTAACCCTTACCATAGCAGGGCTATCAATGAAGTCACAGTCACCGAAGCAGCGAACATTACAACGAAGTAACCGTTACCATAGCAGGGCTATCAATGAAGTCACAGTCACCGCAGCAGCGAACATTACAACGAAGTAACCGTTACCATAGCAGGGCTATCAATGAAGTCACAGTCACCAAAGCAGTGAACATTACAACGGAGTAACCGTTACCATAGCAGGGCTATCAATGAAGTCACCGCAGCAGCGAACATTACAACCTTAATCTATGCCGCTTTTAGCTATATTCCAGCAATATCACCAGAAATGGGCTTCACACACTGTACCTATATGGGGAATCGAACCCAGATCTTTGTTGGTAAGGGAAGTAACTCCGGGCCAGTAAAATCAATGTGAGCAGATCGTAGATAAAGGAAGTTACTCTGGTCCAGTCACATCAATGTGAGCAGATCGTAGATAAAGGAAGTTACTCTGGTCCAGTCACATCAATGTGAGCAGATCGTAGATAAAGGAAGTAACTCTGGTCCAGTCACATCAATGTGAGCAGATCGTAGATAAAGGAAGTTACTCTGGTCCAGTCACATCAATGTGAGCAGATCGTAGATAAAGGAAGTTACTCTGGTCCAGTCACATCAATGTGAGCAGATCGTAGATAAAGGAAGTAACTCTGGTCCAGTCACATCTATGCGAGAAGATCATAGGTAAGGAAAGTTACATCTATGTGAGAAGTTGGAAGGAACTTACCTTGGCCCATGCCGGCTTGGGGAATAAGCAGCAGCCCCGGTACAAGCTGGCGACCTGTCTTCGTGATGCCTCCAAGAGAAGCTGAAAACAGACAAAGATCAGAATGCCACTGACAACTAATACTAAAGTTATTTTGCCTGTTATTTCTATGTTACAAGAAACTAAACCTATTAAAAGAGATATAGGGACACAACATACATTTTTTCTGTGACCATTCTATACATTTGTGTGTACTGGATTCACAAACATCCTTTTCCTCCAGGGATTCGGTCGTGTCACATGACACAAGTGCAGAATTACCATGACCCAGGTGAAGTTCTTCCTCTCGTGTAATGTGAACTCTTATGGCCCTAATAAATTAATTGCTAGATTATCATCCCCTCCTGACTCACAGCCAATCCCCCCCCGACAAATTTATTTTATTTGGCCGAGTGACTGTTTTTATTTAATGTTTAGAGCACTGTAGCAACAGCAGCTGTCAAACGACCATTTCATGTTTACGTAATGACGTAAACCGGTGTACAACTGACTCTCGCAAGCTCCTTCCCAGCGCTTGACGCCTTCGTTACACTCTCGGTAACATACAATAGAGAGCTTACTATGGTCTATAATACGACCCCACTGATGGTATCAGTGTTAATTTTATATACCCTGTCTATTAAAAAGAATCCATACATTTGCAACAAAAACGTGTTTGTATTCCACAGAAACAATATTACATCGTATCCCTTCACCAAACTCAGGTAAACGAACAGCTCGGTGATAATGAAATTTGTTCAATACACTTTGAAATAAACATCACAAGACATGATGATTTACCAATTAAATTGTATTTCCTGTTCTGCTAGTCATTGTTTTATATGCAGAGATTAATATTACTGCCTGTACTGTCTCGTAAACTAAGCCGGAAGCTGCAATCACCTGTTCACACGTTTTCTTGGAATCTACCGATGATTCAGTTTAAAATTACCCAATATTATTACTTGAAAGAATTTTCATACAATGATTGGAAGAATTGTGTCGGAAACTATTATCTTTATCAGGAATAAAACATTACAATATCACATTATTTAAGTTGCAGCTTTACAAAATATCTTTGAAATAAATTAATAACCATGAGCATATAATCTTTGGTACAATTGATCACTATTGACGGATATATTTTTTTCGTATGTAACAATTTGACTGATCACTGTCGATGCTCCCTCGATCGTGATTGTGAAAAATTTATGTTGTCTTATAAAAGGCAAACTACAACAAACTTATCTTTGGGATAAAACTGACGGGGTGTCATACATATCATAAAACCCCTCAGAAGTGCTTTATCCTACACATATACAAGACTTTGAAAGTACGAGAGGGTGAACAAACCATATAATACTGGTATGCCTGTCCTTGGCCAGAGTCTTTGACACTTATGGAAATCTTCAACAAGTTTGCTTGTGAGGAACTTGACAATTTATTGTAAATTGAGGACAAATTCATAAACACAAGCATACAAGATGGGGCAAGAAAGAAATTTAGGCTTGACACAGATAGATCTACATCCAACTGCTACAGTTGAAAGAAATGTTTATTTATTATCTTTGTTATTTCAGTCATCTGTTGTTCATACCAATGTATTCTGTCTTCATCTTAACGACTTTAATAGAAAATAAAAAATAAAAAGCAACCCAACTTTTGATAAAAAGACCGGATGAAAATCTGGCAATTAATTTATTATGGCCTTATTGAGATTGAACAAAGATTCCAAAGCTTCGGAAAAAACTCTCAAGTCAAGCTCTGTATATTGTGTTTCTGCTTTAGGAAGCTGCCAGGAGCCTGGGACATGGTAACAGCAGCCTGGGACATGGTAACAGCAGCCTGGGGCATGGTAACAGCAGCCTGGGGCATGGTAACAGGAGCCTGGGGCATGGTAACAGCAGCCTGGGACATGGTAACAGCAGCCTGGGACATGGTAACAGCAGCCTGGGGCATGGTAACAGCAGCCTGGGACATGGTAACAGCAGCCTGGGGCATGGTAACAGCAGCCTGGGACATGGTAACAGCAGCCTGGGGCATGGTAACAGGAGCCTGGGACATGGTAACAGCAGCCTGGGACATGGTAACAGCAGCCTGGGGCATGGTAACAGGAGCCTGGGGCATGGTAACAGCAGCCTGGGACATGGTAACAGGAGCCTGGGACATGGTAACAGCAGCCTGGGACATGGTAACAGCAGCCTGGGGCATGGTAACAGCAGCCTGGGGCATGGTAACAGGAGCCTGGGGCATGGTAACAGCAGCCTGGGACATGGTAACAGCAGCCTGGGGCATGGTAACAGGAGCCTGGGGCATGGTAACAGCAGCCTGGGACATGGTAACAGCAGCCTGGGGCATGGTAACAGCAGCCTGGGGCATGGTAACAGCAGCCTGGGGCATGGTAACAGGAGCCTGGGACATGGTAACAGCAGCCTGGGACATGGTAACAGCAGCCTGGGACATGGTAACAGCAGCCTGGGGCATGGTAACAGCAGCCTGGGGCATGGTAACAGCAGCCTGGGGCATGGTAACAGCAGCCTGGGGCATGGTAACAGCAGCCTGCAGCAGGGCCAACTGGAGCAGGGGAGTATTCTGTAGGAAGCCTGGATCTGAACAAGCTCTTGGGTTTCCAATCCGTGTTGACACTATCATCTGTCCGAGTGGAATTATACCTGACAATTCTCCTTACATGATTGTCTGATTTAGTCTAGTAGCATCGTTGAAACCGAATGATTGTTTTTCTCAAAGATCTAATTCCTGTTTTTTCCCTCAGGTCTGCATCATTTTGTTCTGGCACATGATATTTTCCAGCATCAGGTACTGGTGGCTGCTACGTTTGAGTCTCAATCAATAAAACAGACTGCCTTGATTCCTTCCCCAAACCTGGCCAGCTAGCTACTAGACAACAAGCATGAAATACTCACATCCCCCGCCAATATGACATGTCGGGTGTGTGCAATGCATTAGCTCCTGTGAACTATGTTCACTGGGCCTTTTAGTAAAGAACGTTTTTCAAGATCTGCTCCGGAAACGAGGACTACCACCATTTTCAGTCTAAATCAAAGTCGTTGCCATGTAATCTCGAAAAATAACTTTAAAAAAAAATCCCAAACTATCAAAAGGCACCAGTTCACCACTAGACCTATCTAGGTGCAAAATATGGTTAAGAAATATGGTACGGTTTTGAAGATCTGCTCCGGAAACGAGGACTACCGCCATTTTCAGTCTAAATCAAAGTCGTTGCAATGGAAACTCGAAAAATAACTTTTTTAAAAATCCCAAACTATCAAAAGGCACCAGTTCACCACTAGACCTATCTATGTGCCAAGTATGGTTAAGAAATATGGTACGGTTTTCAAGATCTGCTCCGGAAACTAGGACTACCGCCATTTTCAGTCTAAATCAAAGTCGTTGCCATGGAAACTCGAAAAATATATTTTTTTTAAATCCCAAACTATCAAAAGGCACCAGTTCACCACTAGATCTATCTATGTGCCAAGTATGAAGAAGAAATATGGTACGGTTTTCAAGATCTGCTCCGGAAACTAGGACCACTGCCATTTTCAGTCTAAATCAAAGTTGTTGCAATGGAAACTCGAAAAATATTATTTTTTTAAATCCCAAACTATCAAAAGGCACCAGTTCACCACTAGATCTATCTATGTGCCAAGTTTGGTGAAGAAATATGGTACGGTTTTCAAGATCTGCTCCGGAAACGAAATGTGACGGACGGACAGACGGAAGGACGGCACCCATTCCTATATCCCCCTTCCACTTCGTGGCGGGGGATAATAATGATGATTCAAGATGGCGTCTGGTCTTCCTCAGGCAACTGGAAGTCACTTAGTCAACACAACGCAAGGCAAGGTGTAAAAGTCCCGTTTCCGCCCTTGCCAAACAAGGCTGGAATTCCTGAGTAACATTTTGACTGGACTAACGAGTCTATGCATTGTCCAATCAAAATCGAGTAATGAACAAGACATGGATTTCGGCATTTTGTTTGAAGCAAATACCAATGATATGAGATATGGAACCTGATTGGTTAATAGGAGGGGACATAGAAGGGACATAACTCATAATAGCCACTGGGGGGGCTTCGATCAAGCTTGAAAATTTTAGTCTAGTTCGGCAAGGGTGGAAACTGGTCTTTTTAACTCCCTTGCATCGGGAAGATGCACTCAAACATGCTTATTCTTGCACAGTCCTCCTTACAGGAGAATAAGGTTGTGTATCCTGGAGGTGGGGCTCATATTAATCGATATTCTTAAACAGACAAAGTTAGGCTAGATCTATCGCAGATGAACTCACTGCCCACAGGGATCAGTTCCAGAGTGGGTCAGTACCTTCATGCATTTCATGTCATGGCATTTATGAAGGGTACATTAGTATAGTTTTGAGTTGCTGCTCATAAAAAACCTACAACATAACAAGGTAGTGCCCATTTCTATCCCTGCACATCCAAAGACAGTAGCTCAATCTTGACCATGCTGCATGAATCCTTACCTCCGTTATCCGGGCTGTTGTCACTAAACGTAACTTTCTTATCGCCAGTCCCGACCTTTGAACAGAAACACATTTTGACTTACTTCTAGGTCTTCTCTAAAATCACATTTAAAGTACTAGTAAAATCCTAGATATTTTGTGTTGAGTTGCTCAAGCTTTCATTGGTGAATGTTATATTTGTATACTTATCCTGCATTACTCCTTAATGCATATTACTGATTGTTCTTGACAGAGAAAAGAGCTGTGTGAAGGTCTTTGCTTGAAGAAGTTGTTCCAACTAGCTGAGAGGCCAACCCTATCACACAGCTCCCACGTGACCAAAGGATCCTCACATTACTCCTGGAGTCCGAGACCTCAGAAGGCATTCGTGGGGAGGCAGCTCTGCGATGGGTGGGGCTCTTTAGACTCAGTAATGGAGGATAAGTATACAAATATTTTACTAGATTTTTTACTTATCCTGCATTACTCCTTAATGCATGTTTATCCGACGGAATCGGTGGAGGGCACACCTTCAGATGTGGCTGATCCTCAGCTGTGTGGTCAGCTTCAAGTGACCACTTCGTGTATGGGAACCTTCTTTTCCCTCATCCCGTCCTTGGCTGTGTGGTCGGCATCAATGACCATTCCATGGATGGGAAGAGTCAGGTATGCGTAATGTCTGGGTACTACGCAGCCATCAATGACCATTACATGGATGGGAAGAGTCAGGTATGGGTTATGTCCAGGTACTCCGCAGCCATCGACAATAACCCTCTGAAGTTAAGGCCTTAGACTGGAGCGCTGTACCGTATCCTAATCCCGGGCGTTACGCCAGGGGAGGTCAAAGGCCGGCTCTGGACGTGAGGCGAGGTCAGTTGCATGTAGTAGTGGTGACCTGTTGGGCCACTACTAACGGACCAAAGCTGTGCGTGCCTTGCACATCCTCCAATGCGACATAGACGGAGCTCTAGTTCGTCTACAGTGACCACAATCAAAGATGGGGGGATAAGGAACGATCTATCTAGCTGTCCTGGGAGTTGATTCTTGGCAATGAAATCCCAGCACAGTCCTAGATGCACGGCTCCGTGTGCTCCTTACTCAAAGTGGACGTGTGTGACGTCCAAGAAGTGTAGCTCACTGACACGGGCTGCTGTAGCGAGTGCCAGGAGGAAGACCTTCTTTTTCGTCAGATTGTAGAATAACGTTGCTTCGAGTGGCTTGAAGGGCGCTTCTCTCAGCAAGGTGAGAATGACATTCAAGTCCCAAGCTGTTGGACAAAATTTCGCCTTTTGGTCTTCCAGCCTGAATAAGCAGAGAAAAGCCTGTAGTTCTGGGATTTTCGTCATGTGCCGATCTTGGAACTGCCAGGTCAGTCGTGATGGTACTACCCTTGAGCTTGCACTTGTGGCAAAGATAGAGCATGAACTCTGCCAGGAATGGAGGCGATGCAGACCTTGGGTTGTTTCCCTTGCAAAAGCTCTCAAAGGATTGCTACTTGTTGTCATAGAGGCTCCTTGTTGTCATAGAGGCTCCTTGTTGTCATAGAGGCTCCTTGTTGTCATAGAGGCTCCTTGTGGTCATAGAGGCTCCTTGTTGTCATAGAGGCTCCTTGTTGTCATAGAGGCTCCTTGTTGTCATAGAGGCTCCTTGTGGTCGGGTGATGCGCCATCCCCAGATGATCCACCAGGTGAAAGAATCGGAACGTCTGTTGAAGGACGATGACGGTTATGTTGTCCGTTGAGATGGAGAGCCGGGTGTGTCTGAGGGTCTGCTTCCAGTGAGCTACGGCCAAGATAAGCATTAGCAGGTGTAAAAAGATGTTATGCACATGTTATCAAACATAGAATGTACAAAATACAAACCGTATGCACAACACAACGACAATAAACATTAACTCAATGAGTTTATGTTACAGGTGAAAAACAGGTCTTCACTCAACAAGTGACAAGAGTAATGTGAGGACTCATGACGTCACTTCCTGCGTGGGAGCTGGATGATTGGGTTGGCCTCTCAGCTAGTTGGAACAACTTCTTCAAGCAAAGACCTTCACACAGCTCTTTTCTCTGTCAAGAACAAGCAGTAACATGCATTAAGGACTGGAGTATAGCAGGGTAATCTAAAAATATAACATTCACCAATGAAAGCTTGAGCTACTCAACACAGATGCCTAGCATGAAGAGGGCGACGGTCGGCGGCACATTTACTACTGCAACAAATAATGTCAACAATCGTCGGCGTGTAACAGCTACCGTATATGACCGTAGATAAGCATTATTTTGAGAACCAGAAAAAAGATTCTGTTGAAGGGGTCGGTTTATGTATGGGTTACACTTTCATCAAAAACTACATGATATCACTTCAGGTGAATGAACAATGCTGTACTAAACTTTGTCAATGAAAATGTGAAATTTGCGATTAAAATTAACTAGACATTATGTTTTACCATTCAGGTAAATGAACGGATGATGAGAAACTTGGTCAGTACAAATTTGAAATTAGAGATAATAAAAATAAAATCAACAGACATGTTAATTTACTGTTTAAATTGTTTTTTTTTGTTCTGCTAGGCATTGTTTTACATCCAGGGATTAAGATTACCTTGTGTATTTCTCGTAAACTAAGCCGGAAACAGCAATCAGCTGTACACAGGTTTTCTTGGAATCTACCGGTGATTTGGTCAAGACACACCCAATGATATAACTTTACAGGATTTTAATGCAAGGATCGGCAAACATTTTCATCTGAAACTATTTTTTATCAGGAATAATATATTCCAATGTTATTTTAGTTGCAGCTTTTACTAAATATATTTAAAATAATTACAACCCTAAGCGAAGCAGCCGATCGCTATTGCCAGTTCTTATATTTCTTCCAATTGCTTCACAAACGATTTCACCAAAATTAATTAAAACAACAGTAAAAAGGAATTTTTAATAAATTTTATGAAATAAGTTACAAACATAAGTCCAGATATACAAAGAACACTTCTTATAGCCAGACTGTGTAATGACATGATTACTTTGCGTACTTCAGTATGGATTTGTTGATAATGACATGGTATTTTTGGTGTTACGTGCTCACAGTAATGTCTTTCCGTTGGGGTAAAAAAACATCAAAACTCATTGTTGCGTGCATAATGCATACCCCCTTCTACACATCTGTGTTTTTTGGAAAAAAAAGTGTGCAGTATACTCAAGAAAATACGGTAGATTTAGGTTGGGGGTTTGACTCATCTACCGCACATAACATTTTGATACAGATTTCAAGGACCAAGTTAAACCCTTGGCTTTCTATGAGATCTGCTTATCTAACATGGAATATTGCCGACACAGAACAAAACAAACAAACAGGTGCTCCCCGTGATGGGACTCACATCAGGCCCCGTGGATGTCTTGATGGACGACTTAGCTGGTTGTGGAGATGGTCGACTGTAACCTAGCAACTGGAGCATGGCCTCGGCTGCGTTCCGCTTTGCCAACTTTTTGTTAGGTCCGACACCAGTACATGTGTGGTCTTCCACTTGGACCTGTACACACAAGAAACACAAGTCACATCTAGAAACTATACCTAAGGTTTCGAAAATAAAATCAAGGCATATCAATAATATTTGTAAAATCTAAATATTTTTTACATTTGTATACTTATCCTGCATTAAACCTTAATGCATTTACCACTTTTTTTTTGACAAGGGTCAAAGCAAAAATATCATTTATACTTATTCTGACTCATACTTACTGATCTCATCTCATTTCCGAAAAGGTATTGAAAACCTCAACAGTGATCCCAGGAAACAGAGTGAGTGAGTGAGTGGGAGAGTTTGATTTTACGCCGCTTTTAGCAATATTCCAGCAATATCACGGCGGGGGACACCAGAAATGAGCTTCACACATTGTACCCATGTCGGGAATCGAACCCGGGTGTTCGGCGTGGCGAGCGAATGCTTTCACCACTAGGCTAGCCGACCGCCCCCCCCCCCCAGGGAACAGAAAAACAGCTCACACAAATGCATCCCTTAGCCGTGCATGTGCACCTGTAGCGTGTGCAAATGGGTGGTTTTTTAATTTTTTTTACATATTTTACCTCATAAATGATACATACTTATTGCTTGAATCCCTAAGTAGGTGGTGGGTAGTAGGTGGGTGGTGGGTGGGTTCCACCAAGTGTGTGATTCCGACTCTGATCTGGGACGAGTCAACCTCTTGGATTTTGTGGTTTCGTAAAGTGCGCTAAGGAAACATATCCCACTTAGTTCAAACAAATAGTGTTTGGAGAGGGTGGTAAAAACACAATCGTTGTCACACATTCTGTGTGTGTGTGTGTGTGTGTGTGTGTGTGTGTGTGTGTGTGTGTGTGTGTGAGAGTGAGTGAGTGAGTGAGTGAGTGAGTGAGTGAGTGAGTGAGTGAGTGAGTGAGTGAGAGAGAGAGAGAGAGAGAGAGAGAGAGAGAGAGAGAGAGAGAGAGAGAGAGTCCATCTCCTAGTATGCATTGTCAGTTGAGGTGCGACTACTAATAGCCCAAAGTGACAAATTCCAAAGTCATCCTCTGTAGGAATATCTCGGACTTTGTGTAGGTTGGATGCTGAAGGTGGATCTAAACCTGCTGCCTTGTAGGGTCTGAGGACTGGGGATTCCCATAGTTAGGCCCAAGCTTAATTACGCACATGGGCCTAAAACGGCAATAATTCCCTATTTAGGCCAAATGAACTTAAATTTGGATACTTATTTTGGAGTGATCTTCCTAAAATTAATAACTTACTGCTTTTGAAAGTTAATTTGTGGCAATGCACTACACGAGGCAAATCCTATTGTACATTCAACAGTAAGTCCGGTTCAAAGCTAAAATTCATATCTTATATTTTCTCAGTTAAAGCAACTTAACAGTTTCTGATTTTTCCCATGCTGGGGCTCTTAGAAGCGGTATCGATTCTGTAACTTTTCAAGAGTTTGTCCAACTACTCAGCAGGAACATGAGAGAGTGATGAGTCTACCGGATTAGTCATATGCTTCTGGTGTGCACGGCTTAGAGGTGGGTACGGCTGAGCTGTATTTCTATTCTCCGGGAACACTGATCAAGGCCCACTGGCACAAAACGATCTTGGCGCAAAGACTATTGTAAGCCTATGTTTAAGTATGGGAGTTACAATCATCTTAGCGCTAAGATCGCTTTGTGCAAGTGGGCCCAGGAAGTTTTGACTACCTTTTTGAAAATGAGATGAGACAAGCAATAAGTATAAGTCAGCACAAGATAAAAAAAATGGACTCTTCCATCGTGTATGCTGCAGGATCCAGACACTGTGTGGCTACAAGGATGAACTGAACAATGGCTGATCCAGAACACTGTGTGGCTACAAACATGAACTGAACAATGGCCGATCCAGACACTGTGTGGCTACAAGGATGAACTGAACAATGGCCGATCCAGACACTGTGTGGCTACAAACATGAACTGAACAATGGCCGATCCAGACACTGTGTGGCTAAAAGGATGAACTGAACAATGGCCGATCCAGAACACTGTGTGGCTACAAGGATAAACTGAACAATGGCCGATCCAGAACACTGTGTGGCTACAAACATGAACTGAACAATGGACGATCCAGACACTGTGTTGCTACAAGGATAAACTGAACAATGGCCGATCCAGAACACTGTGTGGCTACAAGGATAAACTGAACAATGGCCGATCCAGAACACTGTGTGGTTACAAGGACAAACTGAACAATGGCCGATCCAGACACTGTGTGGCTACAAGGATAAACTGAACAATGGCCGATCCAGATCACTGTGTTGCTACAAGGATGAACTGAACAATGGCCGATCCAGACACTGTGTTGCTACAAGGATAAACTGAACAATGGCGGATCCAGACACTGTGTGGCTACAAGGACAAACTGAACAATGGCCGATCCAGACACTGTGTGGCTACAAGGATAAACTGAACAATGGCCGATCCAGAACACTGTGTTGCTACAAGGATGAACTGAACAATGGCCGATCCAGACACTGTGTGGCTACAAGGATAAACTGAACAATGGCCGATCCAGACACTGTGTGGCTACAAGGATAAACTGAACAATGGCCGATCCAGACACTGTGTTGCTACAAGGATAAACTGAACAATGGCGGATCCAGACACTGTGTGGCTACAAACATGAACTGAACAATGGCCGATCCAGAACACTGTGTGGCTACAAGGATAAACTGAACAATGGCCGATCCAGAACACTGTGTGGCTACAAGGATAAACTGAACAATGGCCAATCCAGAACACTGTGTGGCTACAAACATGAACTGAACAATGGCCGATCCAGACACTGTGTTGCTACAAGGATGAACTGAACAAGGGCCGATCCAGAACACTGTGTGGCTACAAGGACAAACTGAACAATGGCCGATCCAGACACTGTGTGGCTACAAGGATAAACTGAACAATGGCCGATCCAGAACACTGTGTGGCTACAAGGACAAACTGAACAATGGCCGATCCAGAACACTGTGTGGCTACAAGGACAAACTGAACAATGGCCAATCCAGAACACTGTGTGGCTACAAGGATGAACTGAACAATGGCCGATCCAGACACTGTGTTGCTACAAGGATACACTGAACAATGGCCGATCCAGAACACTGTGTTGCTACAAGGATGAACTGAACAAGGGCTGATCCAGACACTGTGTGGCTACAAGGATAAACTGAACAATGGCCGATCCAGACACTGTGTGGCTACAAGGATAAACTGAACAATGGCCGATCCAGACACTGTGTGGCTACAAGGATAAACTGAACAATGGCCGATCCAGACACTGACTACCTGGATCAATGACAGAGGCATTGTGTGACTACATCAGCATGAGATTGGAGTAGGGGGCGGACCTGCATGACGAACTCTCTGCGTCGAGGGAGCCCCCGCTCGGCTACCAGGGAGTACACGGGTTCCTTCTTCTTCTGAGCCTGCATGATCTGGATGAGGCGGCTGATGGGGTTGATGCCACTGCCATAGCTTGGGTCCGCCTTCTGAACCTGGGAATCAAACAACGTGCAGGCAGACATGGGTTACCTGAGGCAGACATGGTTTCACTGTTCACATTGTCTCAGGATTTTAATTCATTGAGGAAGGTTTAGCCATCCTGTCAGCCAAAGACTTGATAACATTAAATATTCTTCAGTTGTCCTGAACAGGAACAATTCAAGCTCTTACCAGAACAAGTGGGAATATTGTTCCACATTTATCTGAAATCTTTCTCCCATTTAGGCTGGTTTCTTTTATCGTTAAACTAAAATTTTGAACACCAAAATCAGCAGTATTTGAGCTATATGATTGATGGCGGTCTGTAAATAATCAAGTCTTGATATATCAGACGATCCAGTGTTTGACAACACAAGCACTGATCTACACAACTGGGATATGAGTGCGAGTCTGACTACCTAATTTAGTTGCCTCTTACGGCAAGCATGGGTTACTGGAAAGCAGTTCTAACCCAGATGTTCATGGAGGAATATTTGCGATGAGTTAATGGGGTGTTACACTACTTGAAGCAAACCATACCAGGACAGCAAGAGCCACCGATGGTGTGAGCTCCATACATACAAGCATGGACGCTGATTGGCCTCAGCTGGTGTGAGCTCCATACATACAAGCATGGACACTGATTGGCCTCAGCTGGTGTGAGCTCCATACATACAAGCATGGACACTGATTGGCCTCAGCTGGTGTGAGCTCCATACATACAAGCATGGACACTGATTGGCCTCAGCTGGTGTGAGCTCCATACATACAAGCATGGACACTGATTGGTCTCAGCTGCCAGGCTGTTCCAACATGTTGCTAAGATGAAGGGTTCTGTGTACTTGTGTACAACAAAGAATAGCATCTTTTACAAACAAACATCCATCCATCCATCCATCCATCCATCTATCCATCCATCCGTCCGTAAGGTTGGCCTGTGCAGGCACAGCCCCATGTCCAGCTCTCAATGACCGTGTTAGTACTACATTAGTGGCAACAAATCAAAACAAAGGCCCAAGGACCAGACAACCACCGTCCTACAAACTAAGGAGTCTTATGTTACATACTTTGCTGCAGTGAGATCAATTTTGCATTTGTGGTCACACTTCACTTTGAACCAAAGTTTTTCTTACATTATCAGTTTTAGAAAATTCATGGTTCAAAATCTTGTAAAACAAGTTTTAATTGATACTGGATAAATGAATGAGTGTTTCCCTCGGGTCACCATAATCCAGGCCAATGGTCAGGCCATCGCCTTCACGCGCACAACAGTTTGTGTGGACCAATCAGCAGGGTTCTCTCTACCTGGCCAGCATGCAGGCCGTCTGTCCTCTCCACGGCCGCACCGTACGCACTCCCACCGCTCGGCACCAAGCTGTCCGATAACTGAGGAGACACACAAGCAGCTTGGAGTTATCTCCCTTTCAAGTATGACACAAAAGACCTAAGATGGCTACAATCACTAGATCAACAAGATATCTATAACACATCATCTAGATCTGAGTCGAACTCATGCAACACATGGTGGTAAGTACTAGCGCACATAGTTAATTGTTACAGGAAATGATTATGATGAACATAACTTTGTTTATTACTTTGAACACCAGCATGTGGGTATTTAAGTTATTTTTACTCCTGTCTATTGGATATTTTCAAACCATTGAGTAGACATATTCAAAATAATTCTGCCTAAAATGCTGAATACTACATGTCCACTTTGAACAGTATTTCATCGCGTCATGTTGGCAAAATGTGACTTGAAAGGTGGGTTACAAGATTGGTGAAGGTTGATGAGTATATTGCTGTCTGGTGATCTGCAGTCAGAGTCACACGACACTCGTGGGTAAGTAAATAATCCACTGCGGTTGTTTTGAAGTGAACAGCTAGTAATGGAGGACAATGAGAGGCTAAAGAGGCTAAATTTAATGCAGCCCTCTCATGGAAAAAACATTGATGATGGTGATGGAGATTTTATGAGTGCTTCTGGTGAATCTGTTTCAACACTCGTGTAACAAGGTATCCTATGTATCCTATGCACTGCAATATGTCGGCCACTAGCAGTGTTAGTGAGTTGGTTTTAATGTTGCTTTTAACAGTATTCCAGTTTTATAACTGCGTGTCAGCTTAAAGTGGGTGGGAAGCCGGGAGTGGTGCAGGTCTTAGACGTTTAGCAGTTCAGTGAAACTCACGAGCACGGGTATGGTGCTGACAAACCTAGAAACATAATCGAGGATTCGAACCCACAATCATAGGTTTCCAATGGCCTGAGGGACGCAACGCTGCACAGCGAATTGCGCACCATAGACGACTAGGCTACCCGTGCCCCCCACTAGCAGTGTGGGAACACAGAGTCGATAATCACCTTGATGAGGTTTCTGTTCTTCTTCTTGTTGACAGCATTCTTCACCTTGGGCCTCATGGTCGTCGCGGGCAACGCCGGCAGCTTCTTCAGCTCCTCCAGCATCAGCTCAGCAGCTCTCTTCTTGGACAGCTTCTTGCTGTTGCCCTCCGCCTCCGTCAGAAACTCCCCCACCGTGCACTTGGTGACGAACGTCTTCATGTGGGGCGGCCCGGACTCACGTATCACCTGCACAGGACACCACTGGACTAAACCGCAGCAATACATTTGTAACAAACTACAGTAAACTAGGGTTATAATGAACTCAAAGGGACCACTAAGTTTAGTTTGTGAGAACCGTTGTTCGTTATAAGCATATATACGCAACATATATACAGCAAATGGATGGGACCAAAAAGAGTTTGTTATATCCGCCAGTTTGTTATAAGCGTGTTCCTATAAACGTAGTGTACTGTACTGTCAAGCCACAATGCTACCACCCTAACTCCAATTGTGCCATGAAGATAATGGCTTCACACACCACACATCACTGTCTAGCTGATCATGATGGCCATGGTGAAAGAATGAGTGTTTGTTTCTTTGTTGGCTGATGCCAAACAAGGCATTATTTCAGCTCCAGTAAACTATGCTCGTAGCGAACTGATAGGGACCACTAAATATAGATCTTTATAACCGTAGTTCATTATAAACATATATACAGGATATATACAGTAAATGCCCAGGACCAAAATAACAGTATGTTATAACCGTCAGTTCATTTTCAGGTGAAAGAGGTGAGGTGAAATTGGATTTAATGTCATGTGCAAGATTATTGCACTTACATAGTGATGAGCATGCGTTTGTCTCTGCTTGTACTAGTTCGGACTAATGCCGATTTTATAGCGCTAGCGGCCCCTTAATACAGAGCACAAGGCAGGGTAACAAAAAGTACCATCTTGTAACATTTTTTGGTCTGTTTTTCACTGGTCCGCCCTGCAGCTATCATAGGAGAAGGCCTTGTAGGTGTGTCACTTGTGTCTAATCCATAGAGGTTATCACGCGAGTGTGTTTGGGGATGGTAAATATCCTGCATTAGGAATAAACATTGTATTTAGCGAGCCTTGGCGAGCTAAATACATAGTGTTTATTCCTAATACAGGATATTTACCATCTCCAAACACACAAGCGTGATAACCTCTTTATCATATAATGTCATTCTTTAATTCTGTGCTTCAAAATCGCTTTCCCTCTCTCACAAACATTACCGAAACATTGTGAGTTTTCCTGGAATGCGCGCATTAATATTTATTACGTCACAGGGTAAGTGATGTGTCGGTCGGACAGTGACAGTAGCCAATATAGTTCCAACTGAAATCTGTTTCTTATACAGTGACGAAGCAACATATACGCAAAACAACAATAGTTTTTAATTGCCTTTCACGGCAATCCATCGGTCTGTCCGCTAGAGTAACTCCCCTTTGTCAAAGGGAAGCTACTCTAACCCTAGTCTATGAGACGTCACGGCCACGGTCAGACGTTATTGACAGTCGGTTTGTCGTGTCATAACGTAAGAAGTGTAGTCAGATGTACACAGAGCGACAAAACGAAACAAGGTAACAATTCAAACATGTTCCGGCCAAATCCAACTATTTCATTTTGTGGAGAAGGTTTCAAGCCGCAGAGGTCTACCAGTCATGGCTACTGATCCCGCTTGGCTAGGCCTCGTGCCCTCGCAAAATTGTTTCGAAATTTATATCTCCAAAGTTGCCAAAACTTATAAAATACCTTAGCTACGTCACAGTTAGACACTGATTTTCAGTATATTAGACTGTTCTTTTGATAATGATAGCAATTATCTCTGTAGTTTATCCAGATTCCCGATGGTTAATTCGATCGCCGAATGACGAGGGCGACGCCATGTTTTTTTATAAACACTGAAAGTAGTCCCTACTTGACCTTTGATATTTGCATCTCTATCCGCATACGACCCTAACGGATATTGTTTTTATCCGTTGGCTTTATCCTGCCGAGAATCCCACCCATTATATGTTAAATTTGGTTTTCCGCAATAAAATATGTTTAACTCTTTCAACACCGTAGGCTGGTTATCCGGCTAAGAAGCATCGAGTCCCCAGACACCGTAGGCCGGTTATCCGGTTAAGCCGTAGTCACGTCAAAATAGTATATATTTTTATGGACCTACCTGTAATATCATTCATTTATTAAATCTATCACATTTCACAATGTCTGATATACATATTCCATTTCAATTTATCATTTTTTATGAATAAATTAAAAAAAATTATTCACTATTTCCCGCGATGTTATTGAAATTTCGACAACGGGTCCACATCGAACATGTCAAAGAGCAAAATAAAGACGTTTTAAACAAATCTTTAAATATATTATACAAAGTAATAAATAAAATCGACAAAAATAAATCTAAAAGTAATCAAACTTACATCTAAGTTATTATTTCCATCTTTTCGTGCGATCGCGTGTAATGTAAGTCAAATGACATCTCGGCTTTCGGCGCCTTGAATTCTCGGCTCGGACACGAAGTTTAATGCAAATGTATATGCATGAAAAATCTTTGTCACAGCTCGTAACCTAGCACGATACATTCACAAAGTTCCATATTTTTAATATATATCGTGATTTCCTGCTCAAAACGTTCAGAATAACACGATTTAACAAAAATATTTCGCCAACTTCTGTAATTTATCGAACACGAGCTTGGTATCACAGCTGTAATTTGATTGGCTGCCTTAGGTCACGTGCTCAAAATTGACCAATCACGAAACTTGTAGCAGATTTCGGCAAGAAAGCGTCGTTAGAAACCAATTTTAATCCAATGAAATCGCTTGTTATAACTACGGAAAAAAAACAGGCGATGTTACGTGCGTGTAGATGAAGGAATAAGCTTTCCAGCGATGTGTCATGTGCCATTCTTCGACGAACGTGTTATTCATACGAAGCCTCGAAAACGGGGGTATTTCTTCATTTTACTGAGCGGACAGTCGCTGTTATCAGGAAGTGGGTGATGACAGAAACTATTTATGATTCTTTTTAAAATGATTTTCCAATTACGTAAACAATGAAAATAAAACAGAAATAGATACGTGGATATTATGAAATCATATATTTGCTGAAAATCGTCAAGTTTTCGCTTCCTTGGTCCTTAATCTGGATGTTAACAACGTGTTAGCGTACATTTTTTTATTTACAACGAATTTAATTAAGTTGTAAATGCATTATTTTAAATAATGTGAAAAACATAACTTTCATATTTATAAACCATAGGATCAGACCTTTCAAATGGTGTATAACATGTAGTAGCAAATATATTTTACAAGCAGGTATTTTCTTTGATAAATGTTGGCTTCATCTATCACTAAAGAGTCTCTGGGAACTCGGTGTCCCAGCAGTAAACACTTCTGGTTGACTGGTGTTGAAAGAGTTAAATCAAATCAGCTATCATAGAAGGGAGACATAGGAGAAAATGAAAATGTTTTCAGATAATAACAGATGATCACATAACCATATTAGGAACACAAATGTGTTCATGTGCTTGTTCCATCAGGACTCCCCCGGACTCACTGCTATGTTTTCAATACTCTGTGTTAGCAGAGCCTGGTACTGTGAAGCTAGGAGTGAGTGAATTTGGTTTTATGCCACTTTAAGCAATATTCCAGCAATATTCCAGCAATATCACGGCGGAGGATACCAGACTGTGAAGCTAGGACCGTGACCTTTTACACTGACAAAGCAGCACATACCTCAAAGTCCACAGGGAGATTTCTCTTGAGTGCTATTTCATGTACCAGACTGATCTCAGACTTCAACTGATCTTGATCTGAAGACAAACAAAGATTCAGTTCTGTTGGCAGAATGAACATTTTTAAAATGTACCATAAAGGAAAGCAACCATATAACCTCCCCCAATGTCCAACACATCCAGCAACCTCTCCGCACATCCAGCAACCTCCCCAGACATCCAGCAACCTCCCAAGACATCCAGCAACGTCCATTCACATCCAGGAACCTCCCCACACATCCAGCAACCTCCCCACACATCCAGCAGCCTCTCCCCACATCCAGCAACCTCCCCGCACATCCAGCAACCTCCCTACACATCCGGCAACCTCCCCACACATCCGGCAACCTCCCCACACATACGGCAACCTCCCTACACATCCAGCAACATTCCACTATTTCAACAGCCTCCCCACACATCCAGCAACCTCTCCACACATTCAGCAACCTCCCCACACATCCAGCAACCACCCCACACATCCAGCAGCAACCTCCCCACACATCCAGCAACCACCCCACACATCCAGCAGCAACCTCCCCACACATCCGGCAACCTCCCCACACATACAGCAACCTCCCTACACATCCAGCAACATTCCACTATTTCAACAGCCTCCCCACACATCCAGCAACCTCCCAACACATCCAGCAACCTCCCCACACATCCAGCAACCTCCCTACAGATCCAGCAACCTCCCGACACATCCAGCAACCTCCCTACACATCCAGCAACCTCCCCACACATCCAGCAACCTCCCCACACATCCAGCAACCTCCCTACACATCCAGCAACCTCCCTACACACACAGCAACCTCCCTTGACACCCAGCAACATTCCACTATTTCAACAGCCTCCCTACACATCCAGCAACCTCCCTACACACACAGCAACCTCCCTACACATCCAGCAACCTCCCCCCACACCCAGCAACCTCCCTACACATCCAGCAACCTCCCTACATATCCAGCAACATTCCACTATTTCAACAACCTCCCCACACACCCAGCAACCTCCCCACACATTCTGCAACCTCCCCACCCATTCAGCAACCTCCCCACACATCCAGCAACCTCCCCACACTTCCAGCAACCTCCCCAGACTACCAGCAACCTCCCCAGACTACCAGCAACCTCCCCACACACCCAGCAACCTCCCCACACATTCAGCAACCTCCCCACACATCCAGCAACCTCCCCACACATCCAGCAACCTCCCCAGACTACCAGCAACCTCCCCAGACTACCAGCAACCTCCCCACACAACCAGCAACCTCCCCAGACTACCAGTAACCTCCCCATACACCCAGCAACCTCCCCAGACTACCAGTAACCTCCCCATATATCCAGGTACTCACCGTCCTCCTCAATCTCCTCCTTGTTGTCTCCCTTGTTGTCGGCCGGCATGCTCATATTGCGGAGGATGCGCAGCGCTTTTGTTGCAGCATTGTGGCGTGCAGCCTGCCTAGTAGGGCCATCGCCAATAAACTCTTTCTGACCAACCTTGAGAGACACATAGAAGGTGCGAGGCATTCGACCACAATGGTATCTGAAATAAATAACAATACAAATCAGGGACAATGAACCAGATTGCCCCACCTCAGACTAAAAAATGGATTGTCAGTGAGACCATGACTCGCAGTGGAAACAATGGTTTGGCTGAGAACATTAACGAAGACTTGTCTGTTAGTTCTGAATGTACTACATCATCTGCTTACTTCCACTCTTGGTACTACTGGTGCGTGGGTGCGTGGGTGCGTGGGTGCATGCGTGAGTCTGTGTGTGAGAGAGCTATGCCCGACTTTATAAAATTAATGATTGAACTATGAATTTTTACGGCAGTACCCACCCTGACGGATGCACAGAAGCTATCTTAATTTTAACATGCTGTTTGAACATGCAGCAATTTTATGTAGTCTTGCATGCTTCATTTTTTTTTTTCATGTTTACAGGTGTCACATTTACTACCTGCCCCACAGTGTTAATGAAAAGGCCACATTTGTCAAGGTCTCACACCCTGAAAAGACATTTCATAAAAACCATTGACTTACAGTTTGCTGTTGATTAATTGAGATAATCTAAAAAAAAATTTTTTAAATTAAAACATTGCTGATAAAGGAACACATTCCACAACTGATACAGATACGCATGGCAAATGATACAGACACACATGGCAACTGACACATACATGTGACAACTGACACATACACGTGACAACTGATACACACATGGCAACTGACACATACACACATAGCAGACAAGCAACAACTGACACATACACGTGACAACTGATACAGACACACATGGCAACTGACACATACATGTGACAACTGATACACACATGGCAACTGACACATACATGTGACAACTGATACAGACACACATGGCAACTGACACATACATGTGACAACTGACACATACATGTGACAACTGATACAGACACACATGGCAACTGACACATACATGTGACAACTGATACACACATGGCAACTGACACATACATGTGACAACTGACACATACACGTGACAACTGATACACACATGGCAACTGACACATACATGTGACAACTGACACATACACGTGACAACTGATACACACATGGCAACTGACACATACACACATAGCAGAAAAGCAACAACTGACACATACACGTGACAACTGATACACACATGGCAACTGACACATACACGTGACAACTAATACAGACACACATGGCAACTTACACATACTTGTGACAACTGACACATACACATGGCAAATGATACAGACACACATGGCAACTGACACATACATGTGACAACTGATACTGACACACGTGATAGCTGATACAGACACGCGACAACTGATACAGACACGCGACAACTGATACAGACACGCGACAACTGATACAGACACGCCACAACTGATACAGACACGCATGGCAACTTATACAGAGACACATGGCAACTGATACAGACACGAGACAACTGATACTGACACGTGACAGCTGACACATACACATGACAACTGACATTTACACGTAACAACTGATACAGACACGCATGGCAAATGATACAGACACGTAACAAATGATACTGACACACGTGATAGCTGACACATACATGTGACAACTGACACATACACGTGACAACTGACACATACACGTGACAACTGATACATACATGTGACAACTGACACATACACGTGACAACTGACACATACATGTGACAACTGACACATACATGTGACAACTGACAGACACGTGACAACTGATACAGACACGTGACAACTGATACAGACACGTGACAACTGATACAGACATGCGACAACTGATACAGACATGCGACAACTGATACAGACACGTGACAACTGATACAGACATGTGACAACTGATACAGACATGCGACAACTGATACAGACACGTGAAAACTGATACAGACACGTGACAACTGATACAAACATTCAACAACTGATACAGACACATATGGCAACTGACACATACACGTGACAACTGATACAGACACGCATGGCAACTGACACATACATGTGACAACTGACACATACACGTAACAACTGATACAGACATGCATGGCAACTGCCACATACACACATAGCAGACAAGCAACAACTGATACTGACACACGTGACAGCTGATACAGACACGCGACAACTGATACAGACATGTGACAACTGATACAGACATGTGACAACTGACAGACATGTGACAACTGATACAGACATGTGACAACTGATACAGACATGTGACAACTGATACAGACATGTGACAACTGACAGACACGTGACAACTGATACAGACACGTGACAACTGATACAGACATGTGACAACTGATACAGACATGTGACAACTGACAGACACGTGACAACTGATACAGACATGTGACAACTGATACAGACATGTGACAACTGACAGACACGTGACAACTGATACAGACATGTGACAACTGATACAGACACGTGACAACTGATACAGACATGTGACAACTGATACAGACATGCGACAACTGATACAGACACGTGAAAACTGATACAGACACGTGACAACTGATACAGACATGTGACAATTGGCACAGACATTTAACAACTGATACAGACATGTGACAACTGGCACAGACATTCGACAACTGAAACAGACACGTGACAACTGATACAGACATTCAACAACTGATACAGACATGTGACAACTGGCACAGACATTCGACAACTGATAGACACGTAACAAATGATACAGAGAAACATGGCAACTGATACAGACACGTGACAACTGATACAGACATGTGACAACTGATACAGACATGTGACAACTGATACAGACATGTGACAACTGATACAGACATGTGACAACTGATACAGACATGCGACAACTGATACAGACACGTGAAAACTGATACAGACACGCGACAACTGATACAGAGATGTGACAATTGGCACAGACATTCAACAACTGATACAGACACGTGACAACTGATACAGACACGTGACAACTGATACAGACATGTGACAACTGGCACAGACATTGGACAACTGAAACAGACACGTGACAACTGATACAGACACAAGACAACTGATACAGACATGTGACAACTGGCACAGACATTCGACAACTGATAGACACGTAACAAATGATACAGACAAACATGGCAACTGATACAGACACGTGACAACTGATACAGACATGTGACAACTGATACAGACATGTGACAACTGGCACAGACATTCGACAACTGATAGACACGTAACAAATGATACAGACAAACATGGCAACTGATACAGACACGTGACAACTGATACAGACATGTGACAACTGATACAGACATGTGACAACTGATACAGACATGCGACAACTGATACAGACACGTGAAAACTGATACAGACACGCGACAACTGATACAGAGATGTGACAATTGGCACAGACACGTGACAACTGATACAGACACAAGACAACTGATACAGACATGTGACAACTGGCACAGACATTCGACAACTGAGACACGTAACAAATGATACAGACAAACATGGCAACTGATACAGACACGTGACAATTGATACAGACATGTGACAACTGATACAGACATGTGACAACTGATACAGACATGCGACAACTGATACAGACACGTGAAAACTGATACAGACACGTGACAACTGATACAGACATGTGACAATTGGCACAGACATTCAACAACTGATACAGACACGTGACAACTGATACAGACATGTGACAACTGATACAGACACGCGGCAACTGACAGACACGTGACAACTGACAGACACGTGACAACTGACAGACCCGTAACAAATGATACAGACAAACATGGCAACTGATACAGACACGTGACAACTGATACAGACATGTGACAACTGATACAGACACGTGAAAACTGATACAGACACGTGACAACTGATACAGACATGTGACAATTGGCACAGACATTCAACAACTGATACAGACACGTGACAACTGATACAGACATGTGACAACTGATACAGACACGCGACAACTGACAGACACGTGACAACTGACAGACACGTGACAACTGACAGACACGTGACAACTGACACAGACACGTGACAACTGACAGACACGTGACAACTGACACAGACACGTGACAACTGACACACACACGCAACTAGTTGCAAGAGACTCACCGCTGGTTGTACATGCCTCTGTAGTCAAAGTTTGGTGGAGAGTAGAACTGTGGGTGTCGTGGTTCGATTGGTTTGTAGACGGCTGGTTCTCCTCGCTTCATAGCCAGAGCATTCAGTTCCACTGTTGGAGTGATGTTATTAGCTGTAAAAACAGTGGACTCTCGACTAGCTTCCACAGTATGGTGGACACGACTTTCTCACCATTCAAACAGCAGCTGCTAGGTTTTCCCACAAACAGGGGGCGATTTAACTGCCGACCCCTTGGCCAGTAAAAAGTACAAAGGGCTTGCTGAAACGTAAAGTAGATGGCCCGCCCGGCTAGACAAAATTGCACCCCTTCTCCGTGTATGTATAATTTTTTTAATTGGATCATATCCGTACAATAAAACAATGACAACCGGATGACAGTTTGTAATGTTGTGTAAAACAACATTTGTACTTTTTAAAGTATAATATCTTTACTTGCTAAAAAATCACAACAAAATGAGGCATATGATAGAAGTTTTAAACTCCAAGTGCAGAAAAAAATGTTTTAGGTGTGAGCAGTTCTAAAATTTTCAGAGCCCAGCTAGGTGACTATGTGATCTCAGGTTCGGCCACTTCACAAAGGTCAGTTAGTTTGGAGACGGGCCAGTAACTTTAAAAGTAGCAAGCCCTGCTGGCTTACCCTGGCAATCCACTCCTCCACAGGGGAGGTTAATTACGATATTTGCTACAAAAACCAACATTTCAAAAGTGGTCAGTTAAGCATGTAATTAATGAACTAGCTGCAGAACATGAGAAAACCTTTCCAGCTGTCAGGCAAACAGACACACACAAAGAAAATCTCATAAAAAAAGAAGAATTTGGTTTGGTTATGACATATCTGGAAGTCACTATGTCTCTTCTTCATGTCTGTACTGCTTGAGCAAGTCTCAACACAAACATAGATAGTCCAACAGCAGAGAAACAATTTTGGTGCAAATTAAACTTCAGCCCAACAAACTTGAAGAGCATGAGAGAGACTGACTTCCAGAGTGGCAGAGACTGGGGAATACACACATTCATACTGAAAGTCCTGAGGTAATCGAGAGTCAACTGAGTGCATATATCACACATTAGCTTCTGCTCATCATGGAAATCTTCAAATTATCTTTGTAATCATGGTCAAGGCGGACAATGGTTTCGGCAGCTGACCATCATAATACTACATGATGAATGTGTATAATGAACTACAAAGGGGATCTGACACTCCACACACAAACAGCAACATTGAGTATGCACCGATCAGGACAGCGATTACAGGGGAGTCACATGATCAAAAACCAAATTACAAAAACAAAATTAGTGTGAATTTTTGCTTTAAATCTCATTGGGCTGAAACATTTGATATGTTGTCTTTTTTCTCATCAACTTATAGTCCTTGCTAGAAAGGACATTCATTCTACAAAAGGAGCCATGTGTTGGTGAACATGTGAACCAGGGCTGCTCCTGCATGGCACATAGCCAACGTTCTGCCGATAAATGACACTATACTTGTTGTACCCTCCACCAATGCTTGACCATCTAGTACCACGTTACCACGACTTATCAGAAGAATATTTCATATGCATAGTCAACATCTGCTTTCTTGCTTGTTCGTTAAGGCTGCACTCTGCAACATTTCAGCTACATAATGGCGGCCTGCAAATAATCCGAGTCTGGACCAGACTATCAAGTGATTGATATTGTGAGCAACGATCCACGCTGTCGGGGCATAGGTAGTCACTGTGCCTGACCACCTGATCCATTTGGTCGCCACTTACGACCAGCACAGGTTACTGGGGACCTATTACAACCAGATTCCCCACTGGGGTAATCAAAGTCTGAAACATGACAGTAGAATTAGATCCCACTCTATGGACAGTAGAATTAGATCCCACTCTATGGACAGTAGAATTAGATCCCACTCTATGGACAGTAGAATTAGATCCCACTCTATGGACAGTGTCCAAACCTGTAGGCGAGACCAGCAAGTATCGTAATGCATTGAAAGAGCAAGTCTGGCGAAACAGTTCTCAGGTCAAACATTTCTCAGGAGGTACAATCAAATAACAATAATACTCCATGCACATGCTCAAAAAATATTTCAGTGAGCTCTAAGCAATAGTTTAATGCAAAAAGATAGCAACACATCATGAAAACATGTGTATCGAACTTAAGAGGACCCATGCCCTACAGTGCTCAATTCCAGTTGTGCAGAGTTGTGTCCCTTTAACGTCCCAGAAACCTTGGACCGTGAGTTTGAATCCCAGATTAGACCTGATTCTTGATTTGTCTGCACCATAAATATGTTGTGGTGAACATCTCAGGCTTCCTTCACTTTCCTCCCACATCAATCTGACACACGATGATGTGTCAGATTGATCATTGACTTGGTCGATGACAATCATTGTCTCCCAATTGCGTGGATAGATGCTCATGACATCAGTCACTGGATTGTCTGGTCAAGACTCAATTATTTACCTACCCCATCATATAGCTGGAATATTGCTGAGTGAGTGAGTGAGTGAGTGAGTGAGTGAGTGAGTGAGTGAGTATGGTTTTACACCGCTTTCAGCAATATTCCAGCAATATCACGGCGGGGGGACACCAGAAATGGGCCTCACACATTGTACCCATGTCGGGAATCGAACCTGGGTCTTCTGCGTGACGATCGAACGCTTTAACCACTAGGTTACCCGACCGCCCTGGAATATTGCTGAGTAGAGGTGGGCCGATTCACATACAATGCTACAAGGTTCGACCTAAGGCGGCCAATCAAATTACTGCTATACAGCAAATTTCAGATTTTGACGAAACATTTTTGTTAAACCATGCTATTCTGAACGTTTTAAGCAAGAAATCGCGATCTATATTAAAAATATGGAGCTTCATGGATGTATCGATCTAGGTTACAAACTGTGACAAAGATTGTTCATGCATATATTTTGGCATTAAACATCGTGTCCGAGCCGAGAATGTCATTTGATTTACATTACACGCGATCGCACGAAAAGATGGAAATAATAGCTTAGCTGTAAGTTTGACAACTTTAAGATATATTTTTGTTGATTTGATTTATTACTTTGTGTACTATATTTGAAAATTTGCTTGAACCGTCTTAATTTTGCTCTTTGACATGTTCTATGTGGACCCGTTGTGGAAGTGTGTGTTCGAGAATTCTATTTTCAATAACATTGCGGGAAATAGTAAATTATGTTTTAATCTATCAATCAAAAATGATAAATTGAAATGGAACATGTAAACGGTAAAATACTAACATCATTAACATTGAAATATTTTAAGCATGTTAAACTTGATAAGCATGAATCATTTTACCGAATCGCTATGTAAGGATTTTGAATCGATTCAAGAATCGGAAATTAAGAAAGATTGATGTATTTGGAGATCGATTAATCGTCCCACCTCTATTGCTGAGGGCGACATTAAACAACAAACAAACAAACTAATGCTAAAGTTTCCTGACTTACTGTTTAGTGCAGCTCCTCATTTATACCAGTGAGTGAGTGAGTGAGTACGTAGGGTTTAGCGCCGCTTTTAACAGTATTCCAGTTATATCACAGCTTGTCACCTTAATGTGGGAGTAAAGCCTGAAGTGATGCAGGTCTCAGACGTTTAACACTTCGGTGAAACCCACAAGCACGAATATGGTGCTGACAAACCTAGAAACATAATCAGGGCAAACCGGGATTCGAACCCACAATCATAGGTTCCTTGTGTGTCCAAGGGACGTAACTCTACACAGTGAATCGTGGTGCCTTAGACGCCTGGGCCACCGTTGCCCCCTCTTTCATACCAAACATTGTGGGAGTGAAACTGGCCAGGCCTCTCTTTAAACCCCCCGACAAGTTGACCGTGGTAGATGAAGATGCTTACTTTCTGTCATACTTCCCATGTTCGGAGTCCGGTTGGGTTTGGGCGGAGGGTGGGTGAAGCTTGTCTTCTCCAGGGCAATGGCGGCTGCGGAGTGTTGCGCCTTCTTGATGCTCGGACCGGATGCCGAGTACTCCTCCTCCCCCAACTTGAGTTTCACAAAGAAAGTCTTCTTGTGAGCTGGTCCTTGCTCATCGACGAGCGTGTACTGGTGCAAGATCTGGAGACATAATGAAGACACTGTTACCGGCAGATACACTGCTTCCCCAATCCTACAAGTACAAAACACTGAGATTCTTTTCAAATCTTTATCCTTTGATTGCATATGTGAATATTTAGACCAATGAATTACATTTCTAAGAACTACACACACTGGTTAACCAATGAAAGCTTTAACCTGCAACTTGAACTTGTAACATAAATGACGAGACGAGACGAGACGAGATTATCTGGGTCATTTACCTTATTATATCTGGCAAGCTCATTAATAAGACACATGGGGGTTTTCTCTTTTGTGTTTGCCAAGGCGGACTGTCCTTCCTGCTGCTGCGACGGGGCGAGAGACTGGGGTTCCTCCAGGGTCAGGGGCTCCATCTGGGGGGCGGGGCCACTCTGGGGGTCCACCAGCGTCACACCACCCTGCATACATGATATCACTGTTATACAAGTCTTTACTGGAGAATATTTACAGGACTAAACCTACACACATCTGATAACACTGTCATAAGAAACCATTACTGGAGAATATTTAAAGGACCCCATGTAACTCACGTCATAACACTGTAATAACAAACCTTAAATGGAGAACACTTACAGGATACCACCTGCACACATGTGATGACACTGTTATAACAAGCTTCTACTGGAGAATATTTACAGACACCACCCAGCACACATGTGATAACACTGTTATACAACATAAATATAGAAATATTCTAGAGAAAGCCACTCACCCCCACACCACTCTGTCCTACTCGCAAAGTGCCATTCTGGTTACTGAGAGGCACATTAGCAAGGGGGTTTGGTGGAATCGGGGGCGACGCCATCTGTTGCTGGGAGTACCCAGACATGAGGGTCTGGTTGGAGGCAAAGGAGGTGGTGGGGCCTCCATGAGGGGTCATTTCAGGGCGACGTTGTTGGATGTAGGGGCCTTTAGGGGCAGGACCTGAAAACAAGCAGGCACATCTACACATACATTCCTGCTGGGTTACAGACATATGTGCACATTCCTATATGCAAGGCTCAGTGTACGGTAGGAAATGACAACATCATGTCGGTACCTTGCAGTCGTGCAAGGTCAGCACATAGTGGTCGTGGTGGTGACCCAGAGCACCTCGCCTTACCCTTACTTTTTCATCAAGTAAAGCAACATTTTGTTTGGTTTACAATACACGACTTGTACACTCAGCTCATACAATGTAGTCCATACATCATAAACACTAAATTATACTGAAAATGATGCCTAGCGACACTAGCGGTCATGAAGACTCGGTTTGGCAGACTATGGACTCATGGCCAACAATGTGCCAAGGCAGGCAAGTTTGACTACAGCTGGGACCAAGTATTGTCACCTGAGAACAGAAAGATAATCCCTAGCAATGAATGATACTAAGTGGCACCTACCTGTTTGTTGAAGGGGGATCGCATGGACAGTAGCAGCAGCAGCAGCAGCAGGATTCATACTAGTGTTTGTAGCTTTCAGCATCTGGGACATTAAGACTTGGTTCTACTGTTACTGAAACAAATCACAGATCTGTCAGTGAGCATGGGCAACAAGTGGGGGCATCATCACAACTGCCTGGTGGGATGACATGGCAATGCAGTATATGATGGCCATATGACAAGGAATATTATGGATAACTTCACCAACCAGTATTTCTGTCCATGGAAAAAGTTTTCTTAGATTTCTATTATAACGTGATGATAGGGACTAAAAACAGTGGAAATAGAAGTACCAGTTTTACAAATTACATTTTCTATTTTCTACTGTATCGCACTCCATTTTTATATATTTATTACAATTAATCAGATATGCTACGATCAATTTGTCTTCTGCAAACTGACACATGCTTATTCTTACACTGTCTATTGATTTTGCGATATAGACAGGGTCAAGCATTTTTGGAAAAATAGCTCAAATAGTTTTTAAAATTGTAATTTTGGGAAAGAAATGACAGACAGATTGTAGGCAATGACAGAAATGAATGTGCATAATCGTATTGTTGGATTTGTGTTTATGCATGAACTAGTCAATGACACATTCCGCGTGAGTTTTCAAAAGTTGTATTTGAGCAAGGTTATCATATGGTGTATTTTTTAATATTTCCTCACCAGAGTCAGTGTTTTTCATTTTTATAAACATTTCCCTTCTAATGAAAATGAGAAAAAAGTAAACTAGATGCGATCACATGAAGCGTTTTAGATGGCTGTCGGTCACCGGTCATAGACCAATAAAATTTCAGTTTGAGTGATGGTTTGTTTAAGTTGTCAGACTTTTGACCAATAGAAATGCTGAGCAAGGGGTCACAATGTCATAATTTCACAATTGAAAAGTAAATAGTAAAGATTATTCCTACTTTCGTTATTGATCTTAATGACCAATGAAATGCTCTCAAAGTTTTGTGTCAATCGAGAGAATGTATAGTACACATATTGTCCTGTTTTCGATCAGAGCTTTCAGTATCATATATGCCTTTATCATTATTTATGACAATACTATCATCATCAAATCACAAGTTTTTCGGAAATCATGTTTTCTATCACAAATACTTGCACTATAACAAGGGGTGTGGCGTCACACAGAAATTGTAAATACTCAAATGATGGCTTGTTTTTAGGATAAAGTTGTCCTTCATAAGTGAATGAGGTGTTTTACAGTTGTTGATGTGATTAGCGAGAAAACTGTGAATGTATCTTCAGCGTCCGAAAACCCTTAACATGGGGATATATGTTGTATAAATGTCTTATGTTGTTTTGGTTTTTTTTCAACAAAAGATGGTTGGTTTGTTGTTTAATGTTGCACTCAGCAATATTCCAGCTATATGACGGCGGTCTGTAAATATTCAAGTCTGGACCAGACAATCCTGTGACGAGGATTTGACAATAACTGGTCCTCTGCGAAAACTGGTCGCTAGCCAGTATGTATCAGGGCATGTCACATTGTGTACTTGCAAGTTATAACAAAAGATAACATTATTTCTCAGACATAAAGGCCTTCTCTTTTACCGGACTAGGTCATGTCAGTGAATGATCGTAAATCACAACCATCAATCAAACGTTTTTAAACCAAAATATCCCATCTGCATTGTTATTTGGTTATTGCTATTGAGACAGATCTATATACTGTCATCATCTCTTGTAAACATATCTTGAAGCTAAAGTGAATTTGAAGGTCAGGGTCATGTTCTACAATACAAAGCTATCTGGATTCTACAACACCATCAGTTTATCAACATGAATATGGTGGTTGTAACATCAACAGTGTTTCTCAAATTAGGGAAGGACGTTTTGAAATGGACTTGTGAAAGTGAACTACAGACAATGGTAGAACACTTCGGTGTACAATACCCATGATACCAACAGAACCAAATTGCTGCTTCCCACTTCATTGACATTTTCAGTGCACATGCATACATGGTCACAAAAGTGTCAGTGCATTGGCATGAGATGCATGTCGTAACAATGTGCATATGCACAAAAACGTGACGTATGCACCAGTCTTTGCACTTTATGCATCTTGCACTGGATTTATCAACTTATATCAAGCAAATGCGTGATCATGCATTGTTGACAAACGTATCTTTAAATTGAATGCAAAAACAAAGTATAAACATTACCTTGACGTTTACGTTTCTGAAATAACAACTATGTTAATTATGTTTGAATTTTGAATAGTTTAGCACAATATCCCAGACAAAAAGAGCATTAAAACGTTGGCAAACAGTAAAGAAAATGCCAGACTAACATGCGGCCATGTTGGTCTGCACCCAAGTGGTCCTAACGGCGCATGACCGGGGAAATGACGCCGGTAATTTTGTGTCTTATGTTTAATATATATTTAAAACCATACATTTTTGGCATTCTGCTTTATTTAAACGTGGCTCTGTGTTTGCTCAGTTTTTAAAAAAAATGTGAAAATATTTGCCCCAGCAACCCAACTCGCTTCAAAATGGCCGACGTGTTTTGATAGAATGGATGCGGATGGCGTAGGATTTACGTGTTTTTGTAATTTTTCATATCAATTATCATACTTTTAACTTTGCAAACATGTCGATGATAGCTAAGAACAGGACGAAAAGCACTTGGACTCCATTGAGCAACGATGAAACAAATAACAAGGTATTTTCCATCTCAAAGTTTAAGTCAGGACATGACTGAGCAGGTGCTCGTTTTAGAGGGTGCACATTCAATGGCAGTAATCTTAATGTATTCCCCCGAAGACTGTAGTGTGCAATGCATTAACATCATTGAAATGTGCAGTGGTTTATTGTAAAGGGTAAAGCTCGGTTCCGACCAGCTGGCAGTCCTAGATACGTAGATTGAAATAATTAAAAAACATTTCGTTTGCATGGTTTGCCTGCTATAACCACAATGTTTCAAGCGACATGCCCAAAACGATCTTTACTAGGCAAGAGGAAGGGAGGTACTGTCACAGGCACCCAGGTTCTACCCCTAGGATTTCTGTCTGCGAATAACATCCAGAAGCAATAACTACAAGATAGTAATATAAGACTTTTTGCCGATGACACATCTTTGTATGTGATCATAGAAGATCCTGATATAGCTGCTCCTGATCTCAGCTAGTTAAATTTAGTCCCCCTGAAAAAGAATCTATTCAATTTACCCGTAGAGTAAACCCTAGTCGCAAACCTAACTTATATATGAATGGTACAGAAATCAAAGATGTACAAAGTCATAAGCACTTAGGTATTACTTTACAAAGTAATTGTACATGGAAAATGCACATTGATGATTTTGTAAGGAAATGTTGTCCTCTGGTTAATTGTTTAAGAAGTTATTAATATTATCTATCCCGAACTACCTTAGAAACTACAGTCCGTTTGACACCAAATGAGAACGATGAATTGCAAAATAACTCGAAATCCAGAAAAGTGTATGAAACATCAATACGGTACTTGACCATGAATACCCTGTACCCAACAAAGTCTGAATTTTGTTTATTTTAAGACCCATGACGGATGAAGTTCTTTAAGAAACTATCGTGTAATTTTGTATAGAAATGTGTACATGACACGCAGGGGGACAAACCGTGGAAGGAACAGTGCAAGCACGGTCTGTTTTACAAAATGAACAACCATTTATCCCCGGAATATCTCTGTAGGCTTATTCCGAATACAGTTTCGGAAAACACAGATTATGACTTAAGGGATAAAAATAATCTTCAAACAGTGAAGTGTAAAACAAAAGCTTATGCAGATTCATTTATACCAGCTACAACACAACTTTGGAATATGTTACCGGAAAACCTAATGGGGGCAGAGACCGTTACACAATTTAAGAATTTGCTTCACGTAAAGGGACATTATGGTATATGCTTGGATTTAAATTATGGAAGCAGATGTCAAATTATTCACAGTCACCTCAGGCTTGGCTGCAGCGATCTTAACGCAGATCAGTATGATAGATATATCTTGGATACAAAAACTTGTTCCTGTGGATATCATACCGAAGATGCTTTACACTTCTTTTTTTGTGTGTACAAATTACTATGTTCTTCGAAATTGAATGTATTTTTACCAACAAGGTTGTTCTTTACAAACGATGCTTTGTGGAAGTTTGTATTTGAGTAAGCATGGTAAGGAAGAGCAAAGCCTAATATTAGATTCTATTCAAAACTTCATATCAAAAACTGGCATATTTTCAGTAAATGAATTGTTTAATATAAACTGCAAATAGATTTATTATCCCCTGCCCCAACGAAGCGTGCGTGCGTGTGTGCGTCCCGAAATCGTTTCCGGAGCATAACTCAGAAACCGTCAAATATTTCTCTACGAATTTTTTGCTTGTCTATCAGACTCATGCTGAACTGGTGCCTTTTGCTATTTAGGAATTTTATATATTTTTATTTTTTACGTTTCCATGGCAACAAGTTGGACTTAGGTTCTATAAGGGTGCTGTTCGTTTCCAGAGCGTAACTCAAAAACCGTTAAATAATTTCTTACAAAACTTTGCATGTTTACCAGACACATACTGAACTGGTGCCTTTTGCTATTTAGGAGTTTTATAAATTTTTATGTTTTACGTTTCCATGGCAACAAGTTGGACTTAGGTTCCATAAGGGTGGTGTTCGTTTCCGGAGCATAACTCAAAAACTGTTAAATACTCTCTTACAAAACTTTGCATGTCTACTAGGCACATACTGAACTGGTGCCTTTTGCTATTTAGGAATTTATGAATTTTTATTTTTAACGTTTCCATTGCAACAAGTTGGACTTAGGTTCTATAGGGTAGAGTTTGTTTCCGGAGCAGAACTCAAAACCCATTCAATACTTTCCAACAAAAACTTTGCATGTTTACCAGACACATACTGGACTGGTGCCTCTTGCTATTTAGGCATTTTAGAAATTTTTATTTTTCACGTTTCCATGGCAATAAGTTGGACTTAGGTTCTACAGGGGTGCTGTTCGTTTCCAGAGTGTAACTCAAAAACCATTAAATACTTTCTTACAAAACTTTGCATGTCTACCAGGCACATACTGAACTGGTGCCTTTTGATATATAGCACTTTTAGAAATTGTTATTGTTTATGTTTCCATGACAACAAGTTGGATTTAAGTTTTAATATAGGATTGGTTTACTTAAGGAGTATAACAAATAAACTGTTAAATATTTCCTTGCCAAACATTGCATGTCTATATATAAAGCGCATACTGAACTAGTGCCATTTGATATTAAGGAGTTTTAGAAATGTTTATTTTAGAATTTTCATTGCAGCTATTTTGACATGGGCTAAGAGAAATGTTGGGTCAGTTACCATGTTTGTGACCATAACGTGTTAAAATGTGCGGGGGATAGAGATGTCTTTGTCAACTATACACTTGTTATATATACACATCCAGCTTGGCATGTTCAATTCATCTGTTACATCTAACCTTCATTGATGTATTTATTGTAATATGTCCTATGTGTAATGGAGCGGTATTACATAAGCGCTTGTTTACCAATCCATTTTCACACTTTTGTGAAAATTAATATGTTTAAACCATAACTACAAGAAGATCCTTCCAAAAGTATCACAAACTGCTCTAATTTGTTGTTTTCATGTATCAATCGATTGCCAAGCCAGCACTTTGACAATTCACCGATGTATGATGTCATTTTCTTTCAGTTAAATTCACAAAGATTGGATCATTTCTTGACTACCAAAACTATTTCATTGCATGATTAACTGACATTCATTTAAAGGGAAACAGCACTCCAAGTTTTTGAAAGTATTGAAAGATGGATCAGCTTTTTCTTTGCGGATTCCAAAGTTGCTTATTGTTGCTGAAAATGGTCTGGCTGGCTAGACAACCGGGAGTTGGACTGTAGTTTTCCGTTAAGAAAGACTCCTGGTCCTTGTTTATTGTACACTAAAACACTGCAGGAAGACAAAACTATGAGGGGCTTCAGCGTTTCAGTGTACAATAAACATGATAAACAAGGACCACAAGTTGTTTATTTCTTATTTTGGGATACTGTAAATCTTGAAATTAATGAGAGCGTGAATAAAATGCAATAATGCAAACAGTCTTTGTTCTCATTAATTAACTTCGCATTTATGTCTCCAAATGACTGCCAACAATGAGACGTCCCCACAGCACACTTTGGATAGCGGAAATACCAACTTGAATATAAACACAAACACTTTTTATTGAGCAGCAGTTGTAACAAGTATATAACAATGTCATTCAAAGAATAGCAATTACACAATGGGCATGGGGTGAGTTATCACTGCTGGGGTCAATAGTTCTACCCACTCGTGTCAAGCTTGTTGACACCTTCTCAGCATACCAATCAGTGAACTGTTGTTGGTTCAATTATTTTATTGCCTTTGAACTTCCTCAATGCCAGTCAGCAGAGTAAACATATAAACTGTGTGTTGTGTTTAGGAAAACACTGTTTATTGTTTTTACGTAAGTGCTTTACTCAGTGCTAATAAGCGCTGCTATTTGCTGTTTGATTGGATTAAGGTAAGGATATGTATCCTTCCACTGGGGATGGGGTGGGTGGAGTCACATTGATATTGAGTCACATTTTAGGCCAGAGCTCAGCAGTCGTATTAATTTGGAGATGCATTAATTTCCATATTTACAGTATCAATATCGTGTATAGCCTCATTGAGGATGTTAATATAATGTAAAGCTTTAAAAGAATTAACCATATCTCAATAATGATGCTCCCCTGAATAGATTTCGACCTTGGCAGTGTCAGACAAGTCCATTTAATGAACAGGGGGGTTAGGTTTGGTATTTCCCGCATATTCTCACAATCCTCATGTCGTACCTTATATGTACCTTTTCTCCCAATACTGATTGTCGTTTTTCTATCACTTTTGGATATGATCGACAATTATTATATCTTTGGGTTTCAACCAATCTCAAAATCAGATCTTAGTTCTCGCTATCGCTAAGCAAAGATCTGAGGACATCCCATTACGGGTCACGTCAGAACGACCTTTCAGAACATGAAAGTGACAGTCAGAATGTGTTTTCTAATCATGCCACCTTGAAAACATTAAGACGGTGTATTCCTAACGACAGTTACGGCCCGTACAACTGATTCCGTCAAAATTACCGTCTGTCTCTCGCGTCCGTGGGATAAACATTTGAACGGAAGAGGCGTTGCACAGTACGTGGGAAGCACTGCCATACAATCACAACCATATATTAGATATTGAACGGAAGAGGCGTTGCACAGTACGTGGGATTCACTGCCATACAATCACAACCATATATTAGACATTCCGCAATGTTTGTTCAGTTTTCAAAATTTCAATCGAGAACTGTGTCAACATATTTTTCAAGCGTAGTCTGAAATGGAAGTCGCAAGGTTGAAACGAGTGCCGTATAGCTTGAGAATGCGGCTTTTTAAATGGCTGATGTCGACTTCTTGTAAGTGGTTTCTGTGGTCGGTCAAAGTTCAAAAAAGGTTGACCCGTAATGAGATGTCCTCAGATCTTTGTTTAGCGACATAGAGAACTTAGATCTGATTTTAGTGAGATTGAGTTTCAACCAGTTTAAACTTTGGAGTTTTGTTTTTACATACTGATCACTGCTGATGGTATTTGAATTTAACACATGAATAGTATTTAATCATTCTGCTAATTTTCTTTTCAGATATTTGAAGAGAGAAGAATTCTTGTTGGAAAATGGGTAATTAATTGATTTGATTTGATTTACTCTGGTGGCACAACAATAACACTGTTGAGGAGGCGTCCGCTGAATGAACAGGTCTTCCTCCAATCCGTGGCTTGGATTACTTTAGGGTGTAATGGGCCGTTGAGTTGCTCTCCAAGTCCTTGTTCAAGGGGATGCCATCTTTATCAGCGTCCTTGAGGAATGTTCAGTTCCTCAAAACTGTAGACATCTTGCTCAGAACTCTCCTTCCCCATAATATATGGTATCACATAGAAATCTCTGTCCAGCGTTTTTTGTCCACTGGTCCTTACAATGATAACATATAGCAAACCCTTAATAATGGCACATTTCTACTAGTCCTTATGATACTTTAACTATTGGCCAGTTTGGCAAGGACTACAGGACTCGTGCCAATTTCTACCACTGCTCTGGTTCCTGTTACTGTGGGCAAATCCATTTTGTGTAATCCGACATCAACTCAATGACATCATTGTAAAATCACTTTCTAAATGGCATTGTATGTTCATAGCTTTTGGCAATGGGAACTGCCAATTAACACTCGTCAGAGTGTGCACAAAGAACGTGATCTAGACTACCAGTTGTCGGACTTTCATTTTGTGGAAGCATCGATGGCTGAGTGGGTTAGATTGCTGACCCGGCAGTTAGATGCCTGACTCTGGGAATGTGAGTTCGAATCCCAGATGGGACTCAACCCCAAAAGTACTAGAATCTGTACTTAACTGAGAAAGTGTTATCTACACTGGAAGGCAAAATAAACGTCATGTGGATGTATCATATAAATATCTTTATTTTCAAATGCTTATATATGTAAGTATAGACATCGGAGAAAGTCAGTGTTTGACCCACATGAAATTAACAGTCTGGGGAATGTTTTTGCGAATTGTGAATTTAGGGAGGCACCAGAAGACATCACAGCTGGGGGGTTCAAAATCAGTACCTGGTGTGGCCACCACGGGCGTTGACTACAGCCACACATCTCCTGTACATGGAGTGGACTAGCATGTTGATGAAGGCCATTGGAATATGGACCCATATCCTCAGGAACGCTACATGCAGTTCTGCTGCAGTTGTCGTTGAGTCGGCGTTGGATCTCATCCCACAAGTTTTCAATGGGATTCAAATCTGGACTGAGGGCAGGCCAAGGCATGATTTGGATGTTGTGCTGCTGGAGGAAGTCCCTGGTGACTCTGGCAGTGTGGGGACGGGCGTTGTCTTGCTGAAAGCCGGGTTTTGATGACTGGCAAAAAAAGGCACGATATGGTGTCTGAGGACTTGTAGCGGAGAGCTGTGATGCCACTACCCCTGCCTGGACCAATATTCTGAAAGACCACAGGTCCCACTCTCTGGTTGAGTCCGATTCCACCCCAAACCATGATGCTTGGGCTGCCCCACGGGTCTCGTTCCATAACACAAGCATCAGCATAACGTACGCCCCTCCTTCGCCAGACCCTGACTCTGCCATCCACCGTTGAAACACAGTAGCGACTTTCATCAGTGAAGATGATTCTTCTCCATTGCTGTTGATGCCAATTTTGATGCTGCCTGACCCTTTACAGTTGGGCCTGTCTTGTCTGGGAGTAGTGACTCTTGGACGACCACTATGCGGTCGGTTGTCGGTGGTGTTGTGGCGATGTTGCAAACGATATATCGTTCTGACGTTGACATCGAATGCATTTGCAATGACCTGTGCACTCTGGCCTGCTTGCAGTCTTCTGATCGCTTGTTGTCTCTCATTTCCTGATAATCTTGGCATGGCTGATGAATCGAAATAACGAAAGCCAGCTTAACAGATTTGGGTGTTTTTTATACTCATACCATCCACTATATGCATGTGCATCATGTTTTTGACAAGACTTTTCCGCAACTGAGTCCCATTGCACTTTTGTAGGCTGCGTTTGGGCAAAGCACTCTATTTTAAATCCATTGTTAAATGGACTTTAAGGCAACAAAACGAAGCAGTAGAATGATAAATGAGTTTATTGACCACAGAACATGCAACTGCTAGTGTCTGTAAAGTTTTATCAGTATTTTCAGAAGTGACGTTTCTTTTGTGTATATAACATTTGTTACTGTAACCATGGTAATAAACACTGTAAAAGCTCTAATCTTGCTTCACTGAGTGGGAAATGGCCTGACACCATGGACACTGTAAAAGCTCTAATCTTGCTTCACTGAGTGGGAAATGGCCTGACACCATGGACACTGTAAAAGCTCTAATCTTGCTTCACTGAGTGGGAAATGGCCTGACACCATGGACACTGTTAAAGCTCTAATCTTGCTTCACTGAGTGGGAAATGGCCTGACACCATGGACACTGTTAAAGCTCTAATCTTGCTTCACTGAGTGGGAAATGGCCTGACACCATGGACACTGTTAAAGCTCTAATCTTGCTTCACTGAGTGGGAAATGGCCTGACACCATGGACACTGTTAAAGCTCTAATCTTGCTTCACTGAGTGGGAAATGGCTTGACACCATGGACACTGTAAAAGCTCTAATCTTGCCTCACTGAGTGGGAAATGGCTTGACACCATGGACACTGTGAATCTAATGTGAGGTGATGAGCAGGGCTTGACACCATGGAGACTGTAAAAACTCTAATCTTGCCTCACTGAGTGGGAAATGGCCTGACACCATGGACACTGTAAAAGCTCTAATCTTGCTTCACTGAGTGGGAAATGGCCTGACACCATGGACACTGTTAAAGCTCTAATCTTGCTTCACTGAGTGGGAAATGGCTTGACACCATGGACACTGTAAAAGCTCTAATCTTGCCTCACTGAGTGGGAAATGGCTTGACACCATGGACACTGTGAATCTAATGTGAGGTGATGAGCAGGGCTTGACACCATGGAGACTGTAAAAACTCTAATCTTGCCTCACTGAGTGGGAAATGGCCTGACACCATGGACACTGTAAAAGCTCTAATCTTGCTTCACTGAGTGGGAAATGGCCTGACTTCATGGACACTGTAAAAGCTTTAATCTTGCTTCACTGAGTGGGAAATGGCCTGACACCATGGACACTGTAAAAGCTTTAATCTTGCTTCACTGAGTGGGAAATGGCCTGACACCATGGACACTGTAAAAGCTCTAATCTTGCTTCACTGAGTGGGAAATGGCTTGACACCATGGACACTGTAAAAGCTTTAATCTTGCCTCACTGAGATGGAAATGGCCTGACACCATGGACACTGTAAAAGCTCTAATCTTGCTTCAATGAGTGGGAAATGGCTTGACACCATGGACACTGTAAAAGCTCTAATCTTGCCTCACTGAGATGGAAATGGCCTGACACCATGGACACTGTAAAAGCTCTAATCTTGCTTCACTGAGTGGGAAATGGCTTGACACCATGGACACTGTAAAAGCTCTAATCTTGCTTCACTGAGTGGGAAATGGCCTGACACCATGGACATTGTAAAAGCTTTAATCTTGCTTCACTGAGTGGGAAATGGCCTGACACCATGGACACTGTAAAAGCTCTAATCTTGCCTCACTGAGATGGAAATGGCCTGACACCATGGACACTGTAAAAGCTTAAATCTTGCTTCACTGAGTGGGAAATGGCTTGACACCATGGACACTGTAAAAGCTCTAATCTTGCTTCAATGAGTGGGAAATGGCTTGACACCATGGACACTGTAAAAGCTCTAATCTTGCCTCACTGAGATGGAAATGGCCTGACACCATGGACACTGTAAAAGCTCTAATCTTGCCTCACTGAGTGGGAAATGGCTTGACACCATGGACACTGTAAAAGCTCTAATCTTGCTTCACTGAGTGGGAAATGGCCTGACACCATGGACATTGTAAAAGCTTTAATCTTGCTTCACTGAGTGGGAAATGGCCTGACACCATGGACACTGTAAAAGCTCTAATCTTGCCTCACTGAGTGGGAAATGGCCTGACACCATGGACACTGTAAAATCTTTAATCTTGCTTCACTGAGTGGGAAATGGCTTGACACCATGGACACTGTAAAAGCTCTAATCTTGCTTCACTGAGTGGGAAATGGCCTGACACTGTGGACATTGTGAAAGCTCTAATCTTGCCTCACTGAGTGGGAAATGGCCTGACACCATGGACACTGTAAAAGCGTTAATCTTGCTTCACTGAGTGGGAAATGGCCTGACACCATGGACACTGTAAAAGCTTAAATCTTGCTTCACTGAGTGGGAAATGGCCTGACACCATGGACACTGTAAAAGCTCTAATCTTGCCTCACTGAGTGGGAAATGGCTTGACACCATGGACACTGTAAAAGCTCTAATCTTGCCTCACTGAGTGGGAAATGGCTTGACACCATGGACACTGTAAAAGCTCTAATCTTGCCTCACTGAGTGGGAAATGGCCTGACACCATGGACACTGTAAAAGCTCTAATCTTGCCTCACTGAGTGGGAAATGGCCTGACACCATGGACACTGTGAAAGCTCTAATCTTGCCTCACTGAGTGGGAAATGGCCTGACACCATGGACACTGTGAAAGCTCTAATCTTGCCTCACTGAGTGGGAAATGGCCTGACACCATGGACACTGTAAAAGCTCTAATCTTGCTTCACTGAGTGGGAAATGGCCTGACACCATGGACACTGTAAAAGCTCTAATCTTGCCTCACTGAGTGGGAAATGGCCTGACACCATGGACACTGTAAAAGCTCTAATCTTGCCTCACTGAGTGGGAAATGGCCTGACACCATGGACACTGTAAAAGCTCTAATCTTGCTTCACTGAGTGGGAAATGGCCTGACACCATGGACACTGTAAAAGCTCTAATCTTGCCTCACTGAGTGGGAAATGGCCTGACACCATGGACACTGTAAAAGCTCTAATCTTGCTTCACTGAGTGGGAAATGGCCTGACACCATGGACACTGTAAAAGCTTTAATCTTGCCTCACTGAGTGGGAAATGGCCTGACACCATGGACACTGTAAAAGCTCTAATCTTGCTTCACTGAGTGGGAAATGGCCTGACACCATGGACACTGTGAAAGCTCTAATCTTGCTTCACTGAGTGGGAAATGGCTTGACACCATGGACACTGTAAAAGCTCTAATCTTGCCTCACTGAGTGGGAAATGGCCTGACACCATGGACACTGTAAAAGCTCTAATCTTGCCTCACTGAGTGGGAAATGGCCTGACACCATGGACACTGTAAAAGCTCTAATCTTGCTTCACTGAGTGGGAAATGGCCTGACACCATGGACACTGTGAAAGCTCTAATCTTGCTTCACTGAGTGGGAAATGGCCTGACACCATGGACACTGTAAAAGCTCTAATCTTGCCTCACTGAGTGGGAAATGGCCTGACACCATGGACACTGTAAAAGCTCTAATCTTGCCTCACTGAGTGGGAAATGGCCTGACACCATGGACACCGTAAAAGCTTTAATCTTGCTTCACTGAGTGGGAATGGCCTGACACCATGGACATTGTAAAAGCTTTAATCTTGCCTCACTGAGTGGGAAATGGCCTGACACTGTGGACACTGTAAAAGCTCTAATCTTGCTTCACTGAGTGGGAAATGGCCTGACACCATGGACACTGTGAATCTAATGTGAGGTGATGAGCAGGGCTTGACACTATAAGATACCAATCCAGTTAGCATGCTCTGTGCCCAGCAAAGCCTCAGCCTCCATTGTTTCTGTGCATGGTGAGATGGAATGAATGACCATTTGCAGAGTGAAATATGTCGGTTTACAATAAATAGCATATGAACTTCAAATGTTATTGTTTATCCTTGCTCAGATATCATGGTATGTAATATGGAACCCCCGTGTACAAAATCAAATATTGTAACTATGAGTTGTATGTCGTCCTGACATAGGGGGTACTGTCAAATCACTCCCACACTTGTTCGGTTCCCGAGCAGTGCTGGAGCACACCGAGTCTACTGTATTGTTTGAGAGGCATGTCTACTTTGTCAATTGACACTGAATCAACTGAATATGAAAATTGTCAAAGTTAAACAGTAAACTACGGTTATAACGAATTCAAAGGGACCACTGATTTCAGTTCGATATAACCGTAGTATAACCATTATATACAGCTAATGGCCAAGACAAAAAAATATGTTTGTTGTATCCATCAGTTTGTTATAAGCGTGTTCGTTGCAAACATAGTTTTCTGTACATATAGGTGAAATATCTGTTTGTGTAATTATGAATAAAACACACACACACACACACACACACACACACACACACCATATCCCAATTGTGTGGCTTGATGCTCATGATGTCAGTCACTGGATTGTCTGGTCCAGACTCGATTATTTACAGACCGCCATACTGTAAAGCCATACTCACTCACTCATGGTGATGTGGTGCTGAGTTCAGATGTGACAAACTCAGTACATGAGGATATTATTTTCAAGTTCTTACTATGGTTACTTTCAGTATGACCGATGGAGCGATGACCAGCGCCGGCGCCTGCTGGAAGATTTGGTCATGAAGAGCAAGAACAGGCAGTTAGACTATGCCCGGGACCTCATCAAGGAGAAGGTTCCCGCCCTACGTAAAGACTTCACACGAGTCGTGCCAAGAGTGGTCTCCCTTTATATTATGTCCTACCTTGATCCACGAAGTCTGTGCAGATGTTCGAGGGTGGGTATCTAGATCACTTCTCAAATAAAATGATACAATCTATGAAAATAATGAAAAGTGAAAACTGTCGTGATAAACATTTCAAGTAGAGAGGCTCAATTCAAGCAAGGAATTTTTGAACCAAATGTCAGCGAGTTCTTGTTTTTGTTCCGATGTGATGCTGCTGTGTAGTAATTGTGTTGTAATGCTGTCTCCAGGTGTGCTGGTATTGGAAGTACCTGTCGGAGCTGGATCAGCTGTGGATGATCAAGTGTCTTCGACTGGGCTGGTTCCTATCCTTCACTCCCAGCCCCTTCGAGAATGGAGTCTGGAAGAGGAACTACCTAGAGCACATCAAGAGTCTGCAGGTCCTACGTCCAGCAGTAAGTTTCCATGGCAACTTTGACTTAGACTGAAAATGGCGGTGTTGCTAATTTCCAGAGCAGATCTTGGAAAATGACAATATTTCTTGCCTTGCACACAACTGGACGTGTCATATTGACAGGGAATATGAGTATTTCATGCTTGTTTTCATTTGTTCGGAGGCAGCAACGTTATATCTATTGTTTTCTAATCAGTAAAATAGGACCGCCATGTTTATTCATGCTTAAGTCATCATTTCAGTGCCTGCTGGTGCAGACACTGTATATCGGCTTGCTGGTGCAGACACTATATATCTCTGCCTGCTGGTGCAGACACTATATATCTCTGCCTGCTGGTGCAGACACTGTATATCTGCTTGCTGGTGCAGACACTGTATATCTGCTTGCTGGTGCAGACACTATATATCTCTGCCTGCTAGTGCAGACACTATATATCTCTGCCTGCTGGTGCAGACACTATATCTGCCTGCTGGTGCAGACACTGGATATCTGCTTGCTGGTGCAGACACTATATATCTCTGCCTGCTGGTGCAGACACTATATATCTCTGCCTGCTGGTGCAGACACTATATATCTCTGCATGCTGGTGCTGACACTGTATATCTGCCTGCTGGTGCAGACACTGTATATCTCTGCCTGCTAGTGCAGACACTGTATATCTCTGCTTGCTGGTGCAGACACTGGATATCTCTGCCTGCTGGTGCAGACACTATATATCTCTGCCTGCTGGTGCAGACACTATATATCTCTGCCTGCTGGTGCAGACACTATATATCTCTGCCTGCTGGTGCAGACACTGTATATCTGCTTGTTGGTGTATACACTGTATATCTGCTTGCTGGTGCAGACACTATATATCTCTGCCTGCTGGTGCAGACACTATATATCTCTGCCTGCTGGTGCAGACACTGTATATCTCTGCCTGCTGGTGCAGACACTGTATATCTCTGCCTGCTGGTGCAGACACTGTATATCTCTGCTTGCTGGTGCAGACACTGTATATCTCTGCCTGCTGGTGCAGACACTGTATATCTCTGCCTGCTGGTGCAGACACTATATATCTCTGCCTGCTGGTGCAGACACTGTATATCTCTGCTTGCTGGTGCAGACACTGTATATCTCTGCTTGCTGGTGCAGACACTGTATATCTGCTTGCTGGTGCAGACACAATATATCTCTGCCTGCTGGTGCAGACACTGTATGTCTGCCTGCTGGTGCAGACACTGTATATCCCTGCTTGCTGGTGCAGACACTGTATATCTCTGCTTGCTTGTGCAGACACTGTATATCTGCTTGCTGGTGCAGACACTATATATCTCTGCCTGCTGGTGCAGACACTGTATGTCTGCCTGCTGGTGCAGACACTGTATATCTCTGCCTGCTGGTGCAGACACTGTATGTCTGCCTGCTGGTGCAGACACTGTATATCTCTGCCTGCTGGTGCAGACACTGTATGTCTGCCTGCTGGTGCAGACACTGTATGTCTGCCTGCTGGTGCAGACACTGTATTTCTCTGCCGTTAGTGTACAACATGTATGACATAAATGTTGGCCTTACACATTGAGGTAGAAGTAGTGTAGCATTACCAGGTCGATGTAGGTCTCACCGGAATGTGGTATGTTCACAGGAGCGGCCTTATATTGACATGGAGAAACTCAATTTACACTCCAAGAGGGACGACAAAAACAGAAATTCCAAGAAAACGAAGCCATGGCGTGGGTCTGACCCTGTGCCAAAGGACACATGGAGATACAATGTGTTGGAGAATGATGACGTGGTGCAGGATGTCGGTCAGATGTGAGTAGCTGATACACCTAGAGCACACCTGGCAGGTGCTAATGCACCTAGAAAATCAAAGATTGATCAATGGCAGCAGCAACAAGTAGCAATAAGTAAAGTTTCAGTGTCGATTGTCATGAAAGAAGGATTCCCGGTGTGTTAGAAGCTGGGAGTAGTTTCCAGAGAGACAACCTGTCCGATCGAGCCTTCTAGAAACTGTAACAAAACTTCTTGAACGATATACAGTAATGTTTGTTAACAACCAAGGCAGGTAACCAAGGAAGGCACACTTCCTGTTCACGTGTTTGCTGCTACTGACAGTTACCACAAATATACCTACAACAATCTCTACTACCACATACAACACCCTACTTGTTAGAGCGATCCAGGAACTGACAACAATCTCCACTGTCTGTAGCTTGCATGGAAGTTCTGCATCGTATGTGTGTAAGCAGTTGTGAATGATTGCCTTTCCAGGAGGAAGAAGAAGAGGTACCCCGGAGATGACAGCATGAAGAACGCCAAGAGTAAACTGAACACACACCAGAGTCTTTCCCTCACGAGGAGATCCCAGTCCATGTCCGTAAGTTACCATGGTAACCAGGATGCTACTTTAACAGATCCCCACTACCTGGTCTGTTGCATCTGATCCCCACTACCCCGGTCTGTAATAGATCCCAAGTTCCCCGGTCTGTAACAGGTCCCCACTACCCTTGTCTGTTGCATCTGATCCCCACTACCCCAGTCTGTAACGGATCCCCACTACCCCAGTCTGTAACGGATCCCCGCTACCCAAGTCTGTAACGCATCCCCACTACCCCAGCCTGTAACAGATCCCCACTACCTTGTCTGTTGCATCTGATCCCCACTACCCCGGTCTGTTGCATCTGATCCCCACTACCCCGGTCTGTTGCATCTGATCCCCACTACCCCAGTCTGTTGCATCTGATCCCCACTACCCCAGTCTGTAACGAATCCCCACTTGCCGGTCTGTTGCATCTGATTGCGACAACCCCAGTCTGTAAGGGATCCCCACTTCCCCAGCCTGTAACGAATCCCCACTACCCAAGTCTGTAAGGGATCCCCACTTCCCAAGTCTGTAACGGATCCCCACTACCCCAGTCTGTAAGGGATCTCCACTTCCCCAGCCTGTTACGGATCCCCACTACACAAGTCTGTAAGGGATCCCTACTACCCAAGTCTGTAAGGGATCCTCACTTCCCCAGTCTGTAAGGGATCCCCACTTCCCCAGCCTGTAACGGATCCCCACTACCCAAGTCTGTAAGGGATCCCCACTTCCCCACTCTGTAACAGATCCCCACTACCCAAGTCTGTAACAGATCCCAACTACCCCAATCTGTAAGGGATCCCCACTTCCCCAATCTGTAACGGATTCCCACTACCCCAGTTTGTAACGGATCCCCACTACCCCAGCCTGTAACGGATCCTAACTACCCGGTCTGTTGCATCTGATCCCCACTACCCCATGATTTCCGAGTCTCCAAACCTCTGTGACCTCATGATTTCTGAGACTCCAAACCTCTGTGACCTCATGATTTCTGAGACTCCAAACCTCTGTGACCTCATGATTTCCGAGACTCCAAACCTGTGACCTCATGATTTCAGAGACTCCAAACCTCTGTGACCTCATGATTTCAGAGACTCTACACCGCTGTGACCTCATGATTTCAGAGACACCATACCTCTATGCCCTCCCATGATTTCAGAGTCTCCATACGTCTTTGACCTCCCATGATTTCAGAGAATCCATACCTCTGTGACCTCATGATTTCAGAGACTCCATACCTCTATCCCCTCCAATGATTTCAGAGACTCCATACCTCTCTGACCTCCCATGATTTCAGAGAATCCATACCTCTGTGACCTCATGATTTCAGAGACACCATACCTCTATCCCCTCCCATGATTTCAGAGTCTCAATACCTCTCTGACCTCCCATGATTTCAGAGAATCCATACCTCTGTGACCTCATGATTTCAGAGACTCCATACCTCTATCCCCTCCCATGATTTCAGAGTCTCCATACGTCTTTGACCTCCCATGATTTCAGAGAATCCATACCTCTGTGACCTCATGATTTCAGAGACTCCATACCTCACTGACCTCCCATGATTTCAGAGAATCCATACCTCTGTGACCTCATGATTTCAGAGACTCCATACCTCTATCCCCTCCTATGATTTCAGAGACTCCATACCTGTGTGACCTCATGATTTCAGAGACTCCATATATGTTTGACCTCCCATGATTTCAGAGACTCCATACCTCTGTGACCTCATGATTTCAGAGACTCCATACCTCACTGACCTCATGATTTCAGAGACTCCATACCTCTATCCCCTCCCATGATATCAGAGACTCCATACCTCTGTGACCTCATGATTTCAGAGACTCCATACCTCTGTGACCTCCATGACGTCCCCGGATCGGCCAAAGTGGGCAGTGCACACAACAGGTGCCCCACTGATGAACCGAGATTCCACTTTGCATAATGGGGTTGCATCGACAATTTCCAGGCCACAGCCAGTTGGAGGTCAGCCCAAGACCCCGAAATCCTTCCGCCCGATCAGGTCTGAGAGAGACCCACCAAGTGAGTCGAAGGATTTCTCTTCAGCTGATTATCATGAAAAATCAATAAACATAATATCATTGTATGTTGATTACCAAAAGTGGAAAGATCAATGGCAGTTTGAACCTTTGCAGCCATAAGAAATCGTTCGTCTCTAGTTCAGATCACAGCTGAAGAGGGGCGGTCGGGTGGCCTAGTGGTTTAAGCGTTGGCTGAAGACGCAGGTTTAAACCCTGACATGGGCACAATGTGTGAAGCCCATTTCTGATGTCCCCAACCATGATATTGCTGGAAAATTGCTAAAAGCGGCGTAAAACCATACTCACTCTCTCACTCACAGTTGAAGATTATATTTTGCTTCAGTCACTTTTCAATGAAAGGTGAGATAACTGTTGTCCAAACAATGTATATTTCACCGGATCCACTGTTATTTAAGGAATGTAACAACTTTTGAATGAACTCACAAGGAGAAGAAATAAATGTAAATGCAATCATCGGTTTTATTTCAGGTTCTGATTTGTTTCCCAGCAAACCGTGGAAGCTGCTAGATGGGAACCTCTCCGATGAGAACTGAGAGCTGTCAGTCTCCATTTGTATAGGGTCACTCATTCCAGGAGAGAGTGAATAGTGTGTCCTGTACACTAACACGTCCGGTCAGTTGATGTGCTGAACTACTGCTTGGAGACTAACTACGATCAGTGCTTGTTCCAGAAGCCCCAGATTGTAACACATTGATATGAATACAAGCCAAGTTGTGTACTTTGTGTGCAAACTTATTGAAATATTAAGTAAGGAATATTTATAAGGTTGCAAGAGAGATGAAATAAATATGACCTGCCCCAAATAGATACAATACTTTGTGTTGTCAACACGGGTCCATTCCTCGTCCATCGTGGCAAGGACGCATGTTGTGTTGACATCTAGTATTCAGTATCTGTCAGTAGGACACACAGAACAGGGGTCGATTTAACTGCTGGCCTGTGGTTCCGTGGCCAGTGAAAATTACAAAGGGCTCGCTGAAACATAAAGATGACCTGTCTGGCTAGTCAAAATTTCACCCCTTCTCTGTGTAAGTCTTAGATTTTTAATTGGATCATCTCAGTAGAATGACAACCGGCCGCCATTTTGTAATACTGTGTGCAACAATTTCTTAATTTACTCATAATTCACCTTGCAATGAGGCTAATAGAAGCCAAGATTTAATCTCAGAGTGCGGGAAAAAACATTTTAGGGCCGAGGCGTTCTAAAACTTTCGGAACCCTGCTAGGTGGTTTATCTACCTCAGGTTCAATTGGCTAGCTGGCTGGTGCAGTGATGGAGTGTGGGGTTGATGCTGCACTGGCTGGTGCAGTGATGCAGTGTGGGGTTGATGCTGCACTGGCTGGTGCAGTGATGCAGTGTAGGGTTGATGCTGCACTGGCTGGTGCAGTGATGGAGTGTGGGGTTGATGCTGCACTGGCTGGTGCAGTGATGCAGTGTAGGGTTGATGCTGCACTGGCTGGTGCAGTGATGCAGTGTAGGGTTGATGCTGCACTGGCTGGTGCAGTGATGGAGTGTAGGGTTGTTGCTGCACTGACTGGTGCAGTGATGGAGTGTGGGGTTGATGCTGCACTGGCTGGTGCAGTGATGGAGTGTGGGGTTGATGCTGCACTGGCTGGTGCAGTGATGGAGTGTAGGGTTGATGCTGCACTGGCTGGTGCAGTGATGGAGTGTAGGGTTGATGCTGCACTGGCTGGTGCAGTGATGGAGTGTAGGGTTGATGCTGCACTGGCTGGTGCAGTGATGGAGTGTAGGGTTGATGCTGCACTGGCTGGTGCAGTGATGGAGTGTGGGGTTGATGCTGCACTGGCTGGTGCAGTGATGCAGTGTGTAGGGTTGATGCTGCACTGGCTGGTGCAGTGATGGAGTGTGGGGTTGATGCTGCACTGGCTGGTGCAGTGATGGAGTGTGTAGGGTTGATGCTGCACTGGCTGGTGCAGTGATGCAGTGTAGGGTTGATGCTGCACTGGCTGGTGCAGTGATGCAGTGTGGGGTTGATGCTGCACTGGCTGGTGCAGTGATGCAGTGTAGGGTTGATGCTGCACTGGCTGGTGCAGTGATGGAGTGTGGGGTTGATGCTGCACTGGCTGGTGCAGTGATGGAGTGTAGGGTTGATGCTGCACTGGCTGGTGCAGTGATGGAGTGTGGGGTTGATGCTGCACTGGCTGGTGCAGTGATGGAGTGTGGGGTTGATGCTGCACTGGCTGGTGCAGTGATGGAGTGTGTAGGATTGATGCTGCACTGGCTGGTGCAGTGATGGAGTGTAGGGTTGATGCTGCACTGGCTGGTGCAGTGATGGAGTGTGTAGGGTTGATGCTGCGCTGGCTGGTGCAGTGATGCAGTGTGTAGGGTTGATGCTGCACTGGCTGGTGCAGTGATGGAGTGTAGGGTTGTTGCTGCACTGGCTGGTGCAGTGATGGAGTGTAGGGTTGTTGCTGCACTGGCTGGTGCAGTGATGGAGTGTAGGGTTGATGCTGCACTGGCTGGTGCAGTGATGGAGTGTAGGGTTGTTGCTGCACTGGCTGGTGCAGTGATGGAGTGTGTGGGGTTGTTGCTGCACTGGCTGGTGCAGTGATGGAGTGTGTAGGGTTGATGCTGCACTGGCTGGTGCAGTGATGCAGTGTGTAGGGTTGATGCTGCACTGGCTGGTGCAGTGATGGAGTGTGGGGTTGTTGCTGCACTGGCTGGTGCAGTGATGGAGTGTGTGGGGTTGTTGCTGCACTGGCTGGTGCAGTGATGGAGTGTGTAGGGTTGATGCTGCACTGGCTGGTGCAGTGATGCAGTGTGTAGGGTTGATGCTGAACTGGCTGGTGCAGTGATGGAGTGTAGGGTTGTTGCTGCACTGGCTGGTGCAGTGATGGAGTGTAGGGTTGATGCTGCACTGGCTGGTGCAGTGATGCAGTGTGTAGGGTTGATGCTGCACTGGCTGGTGCAGTGATGGAGTGTAGGGTTGTTGCTGCACTGGCTGGTGCAGTGATGGAGTGTGTGGGGTTGTTGCTGCACTGGCTGGTGCAGTGATGGAGTGTAGGGTTGTTGCTGCACTGGCTGGTGCAGTGATGGAGTGTGTAGGGTTGATGCTGCACTGGCTGGTGCAGTGATGGAGTGTAGGGTTGTTGCCGCACTGGCTGGTGCAGTGATGGAGTGTGTGGGGTTGTTGCTGCACTGGCTGGTGCAGTGATGGAGTGTGTAGGGTTGATGCTGCACTGGCTGGTGCAGTGATGCAGTGTGTAGGGTTGATGCTGAACTGGCTGGTGCAGTGATGGAGTGTAGGGTTGATGCTGCACTGGCCGGTGCAGTGATGGAGTGTGGGGTTGATGCTGCACTGGCTGGTGCAGTGATGGAGTGTGTGGGGTTGATGCTGCACTGGCTGGTGCAGTGATGGAGTGTAGGGTTGATGCTGAACTGGCTGGTGCAGTGATGGAGTGTGGGGTTGATGCTGCACTGGCTGGTGCAGTGATGGAGTGTGGGGTTGATGCTGCACTGGCTGGTGCAGTGATGGAGTGTGTGGGGTTGATGCTGCACTGGCTGGTGCAGTGATGGAGTGTAGGGTTGATGCTGCACTGGCTGGTGCAGTGATGGAGTGTGGGGTTGATGCTGCACTGGCTGGTGCAGTGATGGAGTGTGGGGTTGATGCTGCACTGGCTGGTGCAGTGATGGAGTGTGTGGGGTTGATGCTGCACTGGCTGGTGCAGTGATGGAGTGTAGGGTTGATGCTGCACTGGCTGGTGCAGTGATGGAGTGTAGGGTTGATGCTGCACTGGCTGGTGCAGTGATGGAGTGTAGGGTTGATGCTGCACTGGCCGGTGCAGTGATGCAGTGTGGGGTTGATGCTGCGCTGGCTGGTGCAGTGATGGAGTGTGGGGTTGATGCTGCACTGGCTGGTGCAGTGATGGAGTGTAGGGTTGATGCTGAACTGGCTGGTGCAGTGATGGAGTGTGGGGTTGATGCTGCACTGGCTGGTGCAGTGATGGAGTGTGGGGTTGATGCTGCACTGGCTGGTGCAGTGATGGAGTGTGGGGTTGATGCTGCACTGGCTGGTGCAGTGATGGAGTGTGTAGGGTTGATGCTGCACTGGCTGGTGCAGTGATGCAGTGTGTAGGGTTGATGCTGCACTGGCTAGTGCAGTGATGGAGTGTGGGGTTGATGCTGCACTGGCTGGTGCAGTGATGCAGTGTGTAGGGTTGATGCTGCGTTAGATTGTACAGCTTCAACTCAATGTCGTAGTGGTGAATCTGTACCTGTGATGTTGTCACTTGAAGATCAGGATATAAAATATGTTTATTTATTTTTATCATTGTACATTTTCTATATGTTTACATACTTTGTAATAGTTTTTGTCAAATATTTCATGACATATATTAAGTTCTATGGATATATTACATTCCTACATATTTTAACTTATGTACTTGCTTACTTAGGTCAATTTAGCATATTAAATTTGTAACTTAGAGCTGTCAGCACATTAGGAGTTACCAAAGTTTGTGATGGTCATCTTGGACATTGCCATACTGTACTGCTCCATGTCCTGTTGCCGTTGTGTTGCACTGTGTGATATCAGTTATATTGCACTTTATGATATCAGTGGTATTCATCTTGACTATGATATAAGTGGTACTGCTCTATGATATCCATGGTATTGCACTGTATGGTATCAGCGATATTGCATGGTATGAGATCAGTAGTATTGCATGGAATGCTATCAGCGGTATTGCATTGTAATATATCATTGGAATTGCACGGAATGTCAGTGGTATTGTGCTGTATGGTATCAGTGGTATTGCATGGTATAATATCAATATTATTGCACTGAATGATATCAGTGGTATTGTGTGGTATGATATCATTGGTGTTGCGCCATATGATATCAGCGGTATTGCACTGTATATTATCAGCGGTATTACATGGTATAATGTCATTGGTATTGCACGGAACCATATCAGCGGTATTGCACGGAAAGTTATCAGCAGTATTTCTCGGTATGTCGGTGGTATTGCATTGTTTGATATCAGTGGTATTCCACTGTCGGATATCAGTAGTATTTACACTGTGACTGTGATACAAGTTTGTTATGCTGTGATGACGGTCATGTGACAGAGAGATTCTCAAACAAAATGTGCCTTTGTAAAATCAAGCATCAAGCATCAAGATCAACAACAGCAATAATGTAATAAAGTGCATTTATGTGAGTGTGTCGTTCTGTTGTAACTGTACAATACCTTCACTGAAAATCTCAAGAAGTGTTTCGCCATACACTTTGATCAAATGAAATGCTTTAAACATTCAGTTGGGCAACTGTGTACGTATGTGTGTCCACCCTGAACTACGTATATGTGTCCACCCCAAACAGTGAGGCAACTATGTATATGTGTCCATCCTGAACAGCGAGGCAACTACGTATATGTGTCCACCCTGAACAGCGAGACAACTACGTATGTGTGTCCACCCTGAACAGCGAGACAACTACGTATTTGTGTCCACCCTGAACAGCGAGACAACTACGTATGTGTGTCCACCCTGAACAGCGAGACAACTATGTATATGTGTCCACCCTGAACAGCGAGACAACTACGTATGTTTGTACACCCTGAACAGCAAGGCAACTACGTATATGTGTCCACCCTGAACAGCGAGACAACTACGTATGTTTGTACACCCTGAACAGCGAGGTAACAGTGAGACAACTACGTATGTGTTCACCCTGAACAGCGAGGCAACTACGTATATGTGTCCACCCTGAACAGCGAGGCAACTACGTATATGTGTCCACCCTGAACAGCGAGGCAACTACGTATATGTGTTCACCCTGAACAGCGAGGCAACTACGTATGTGTGTTCACCCTGAACAGCGAGGCAACTACGTATATGTGTCCACCCTGAACAGCAAGGCAACTATGTATGTGTGTCCACCCCAAACAGCGAGGCAACTATGTATTTGTGTCCACCCTGAACAGCGAGACAACTACGTATATGTGTCCACCCTGAATAGCGAGGCAACTATGTATATATTTCCACCCTGAACAGCGAGGCAACTACGTATGTGTGTCCACCCTGAACAGCGAGGCAACTCTGTATATGTGTCCACCCTGAACAGCGAGGCAACTATGTATATGTATCCACCCTGAACAGAGAGGAAACTACGTATGTGTGTACACCCTGAACAGCGAGACAACTACGTATGTGTCCACCCTGAACATCGAGGCAACGTATGTGTCCACCCCGAACAGCGAGGCAACTACGTATATGTGTCCACCCAGAACTACGTATATGTGTTCACCCTGAACAGGGAGGCAACTACGTATGTGTGTTCACCCTGAACAGCGAGGCAACTATGTATATGTGTCCACCCCGAACAGCAAGGCAACTATGTATGTGTGTCCACCCAGAACAGCGAGGCACCAATGTATTTGTGTCCACCCTGAACAGCGAGACAACTACGTCTATGTGTCCACCCTGAACAGCGAGGCAACTATGTATATATTTCCACCCTGAACAGCGAGGCAACTACGTATGTGTGTCCACCCTGAACAGCGAGGCAACTATGTATATGTGTCCACCCTGAACAGCGAGGCAACTTTGTATATGTGTCCACCCTGAACAGCGAGGCAACTATGTATATGTGTCCACCCTGAACAGCGAGGCAACTATGTATATGTATCCACCCTGAACAGCGAGGCAACTACGTATGTGTGTCCACCCTGAACAGTGAGACAACTACGTATGTGTGTCCACCCTGAACAGCAAGGCAACTATGTATGTGTGTCCACCCAGAACAGCGAGGCAACTATGTATATGTGTCCACCCTGAACAGCGAGACAACTACGTATATGTGTCCACCCTGAACATCGAGGCAACTATGTATATGTGTTCACCCTGAACAGCGAGGCAACTACATATGTGTGTCCACCCTGAACAGCAAGGCAACTATGTATATGTGTTCACCCTGAACAGCGAGGCAACTACATATGTGTGTCCACCCTGAACAGTGAGACAACTACGTATGTGTGTCCACCCTGAACAGCAAGGCAACTATGTATGTGTGTCCACCCAGAACAGCGAGGCAACTATGTATTTGTGTCCACCCTGAACAGCGAGACAACTACGTATATGTGTCCACCCTGAACAGCGAGACAACTACGTATATGTATCCACCCTGAACAGCGAGGCAACTATGTATATGTGTTCACCCTGAACAGCGAGGCAACTACATATGTGTGTCCACCCTGAACAGCGAGGCAACTATGTATGTTTGTCCACCCTGAACAGCGAGGCAACTACGTATGTGTGTCCACCCTGAACAGCGAGGCAACTATGTATATGTGTTCACCCCAAACAGCGAGGCAACTACGTATGTGTGTCCACCCTGAACATCGAGGCAACTATGTATATGTGTTCACCCCAAACAGTGAGGCAACTACGTATATGTGTCCAACCTGAACAGCGAGGCAACTATGTATATGTGTCCACCCTGAACAGCGAGGCAACTTTGTATATGTGTCCACCCCAAACAGCGAAACAACTATGTATGTGTATCCACCCTGAACAGCGAGGCAACTATGTATGTGTTTCCACCCTGAACAGCGAGGCAACTACGTATGTGTGTACACCCTGAACAGCGAGGCAACTACGTATATGTGTCCACCCAGAACAGCGAGGCAACTATGTATATGTGTACACCCAGAACAGCGAGGTCCACATGGTCCCCAGTGTGGTGATCTACCTTCAGTTGTTGGTGATCTATAGCCCGTGTTCCGATTGTGTTGTAGAATGTTAATTTATTTTTACATGCACTCCAACTAGTTTTACGTAAATCTGTGATATCTAGTTCTTATACTGTCCTTCGACGACATAATTTTTACTGTTAAAAAATAATATTGATAATGTCAATTTTGTCTCACTCACTCACTCACTCACTCACTCACACTCACTCACTCACTCACTCTCACTCTCACTCTCACTCTCACTCACTCACTCACTCACTCACTCACTCAAACCAGTCAGAACAAACATCAACTTTCGTGAGAAGATGACAATAGAATCCGTTGTCCATACCGCAAACCTGAAGCAAGTGCCCGTAAAATCTCCAATGTCACCCGCTAGGCATGTTTTACTGTGTACTTCTGGGTTGGAACAATCACGACTGTCTTGATCTGGGGTCTACAGTGGTGTCAAACATGTGTTCTATCTTTACCATCTTGCTGTGTCCTATCTGAAACATCAATCACATGCCTGTCGGAGAGATCGCATCACATTTCCTCCTCTCCCAGATCTTGTGTCTCTTTAATATTGTCTCGCTTCCCTGGGCAGAGACACACCGCAAGGCTGGACAGGACCGTCTTCCGCAAACATCGGTAAACAACGGCAGATGTCCGATTGAGGTGTGTACACAATGGCATTAGCAATAAACGTTTTGTTTTTATTTTCTACAACGGAAACACAACAACGGTTCGTGTATATTTTGTATTGTAAGCTTTAAACAAAGTGGAGAAATGAATACGGGAGTGAGTGTAGGTTGTTTTACGCCAATACACCAGCTACATCTATGTCACATTCATCTCCAGCTTTGTTTAGCTATATGACAGCGGCCTGTTTGTTTGTTTGTTGTTAAACGCCGCACGCAACAATATTCCAGCTTCATAACGGCGGTCGGCAAATAATCGAGTCTGGACCAGACAATCCAGTGATTGACATCAAGAGCATCAATCCACTCAACTGGGATCGATGAGATGCATCAACCAAGTCAGCGAGCCTGACCACCCGATCCCGATAGTCGCCTTTGAGGGCAAGCATTGTTGCTGAAGACCTATTCTACCCCGGATCTTCACCGGAAGACAGCGGCCTCTAAATAATTGTGCTTGACTAGACGGTTCCCACCTGGAGTGTCCAACATTGATAAAACAACAGCAAGCAGTGGACAGTAGAACAATAGGGCGATTAGTTATAGTCAGTTTCTTGTGACGGCGCTCACCGTGATCGCACGCACTAATTAAAGAGCTGAAATCATAATCATGTGAAAGTTGTAGAACGAATATAAATTAAACTTAATAAAAAAAGAGAGCACCCGATCATATATGCTATACGGGGAACTTGGCAGAAAGTCTCTTATATCCCGAAATATGCACGTATGGTGTCAGGAAAAGCAACTTAATTCTCTAATGTATCGCACAAACTGTTATTAGATGATAAGCATGCTGAACGTAATACAAATAAGTGGTTATTGTTAATTGAATCAATTTTTATTTAGACTGGTTTCATGCTTCAACCACCAGGCTACCCGGCCGCCCCAACATAGATTACAAGATCAGTGTTTAGGATACATGTTCATCTGAAATGAACTATTGGGTGAAGGTTTCTGTTGCTGTGAGTCTGAACTATTGGGTGGAGGTCACTGTTGCTGTTTGTCTGAACTATTGGGTGAAGGTCACTTGCTGTGAGTCTGAACTATTGGGTGGAGGTCACTGTTGCTGTTTGTCTGAACTATTGGGTGAAGGTCACTGTTGCTGTGAGTCTGAACTATTGGGTGAAGGTCACTTGCTGTGAGTCTGAACTATTGGGTGGAGGTCACTGTTGCTGTTTGTCTGAACTATTGGGTGAAGGTCACTGTTGCTGTGAGTCTGAACTATTGGGTGGAGGTCACTGTTGCTGTTTGTCTGAACTACTGGGTGAAGGTCACTGTTGCTGTGAGTCTGAACTATTGGGTGAAGGTCACTTGCTGTGAGTCTGAACTATTGGGTGAAGGTCACTGTTGCTGTTTGTCTGAACTATTGGGTGAAGGTCACTGTTGCTGTGAGTCTGAACTATTGGGTGAAGGTCACTTGCTGTGAGACTGAACTATTGGGTGGAGGTCACTGTTGCTGTTTGTCTGAACTATTGGGTGAAGGTCACTGTTGCTGTGAGTCTGAACTATTGAGTGAAGGTCACTTGCTGTGGGTCTGAACTATTGGGTGAAGGTCACTGTTGCTGTTTGTCTGAACTATTGGGTGAAGGTCACTGTTGCTGTGAGTCTGAACTATTGGGTGGAGGTCACTGTTGCTGTTTGTCTGAACTATTGGGTGAAGGTCACTGTTGCTGTGAGTCTGAACTATTGGGTGAAGGTCACTTGCTGTGAGTCTGAACTATTGGGTGAAGGTCACTTGCTGTGAGTCTGAACTATTGGGTGAAGGTCACTTGCTGTGAGTCTGAACTATTGGGTGAAGGTCACTGTTGCTGTGAGTCAGGGAAAAGTGAGTGCACGATGATTCCAATACCGGGGTAACAGTACTGTAGCGTCATGGGCGTTTACTTGGTGAATGGAACCGGACGTTTTATAAATGAAATTCTTCTTGCTGAAATGAAGACGGATCTGTTTTAACCAATCAGATGGCTGTAAGTGGGCAGGTCAGCGCTCTCCCTATTTCAGTGTATTACGTAAAAACGTTGATGTTATGGATGATATACAATTGCTGGTGCGGCATGTAGTACTATTCATTCATGATTCATTGTAATATTGACAACAGTTTATAATGACACCCCATGTGCTGCTGCATCCCGTGTAACCGCTAACAGTTTATAATGACACCCCATGTGCTGCTGCATCCCGTGTAACCGCTAACAGTTTATAATGACACCCCATGTGCTGCTGCATCCCGTGTAACCGTTAACAGTGTATAATGACACCCCATGTGCTGCTGCATCCCGTGTAACCGCTAACAGTGTATAATGACACCCGATGTGCTGCTGCATCCCGTGTAACCGCTAACAGTGTATAATGACACCCCATGTGCTGCTGCATCCCGTGTAACCGCTAACAGTGTATAATGACACCCCATGTGCTGCTGCATCCCGTGTAACCGCTAACAGAGTTAAGCCATGGCCACCTGCAGCAACGGCACATCGCTTGACGAGCAAGGGTGTCAGTGAACAAAGCAGCTTGTCATTTCTTGGTACTATAGTTGCACCAGGTAGCAGACACGTGTTCGTGCCTCGCATATAATGTACGTTGATGCTGACATGGTTTGGGGGGATATTTTAGGAACACATGTACATGGTTTACAGAGATCACGTCCTCGCTCTCACAAACATGGTGCTCATATACAATGTAACAGATTTACAATGTGGGAATTACACGTCAAATGTTAACAAATATATTCACAATCCAAATCAGAGCTTGAGGGTATGTGTGTGTGAAATGTAAATTTCGATCACAATTATTCCACAAATTAGCACGTGTTCCTCCTCCTTGCCTAGTCATATCTATTCATGCCATGACCAGCAGATCGTTCACCCCCACCTGCCTCCCCGCGGGGACGTTGTGACGCCATCCATTCCGTGTACTCCATACTCCAGTGGTACCAAGGAACGCTCGTGTGTTTTTCCGGGTACAGAATTATGCACGTGCTGATGAGTCCTGGATAACGCGGAGGGATAAAAAGGAGTGAAGTGGTCGCGAAGACATATTGGACGACCATTTGAGAGTTTGTCGGCACTCTTTTGTGAGCGACATCACCGAGGTACGTTTTTCTTCTTGTGATTGCGATATTTCTTTGAGATAAAAATATGCTACACATGTTATCATTTACAACTGAAGGATTTTTATTCAGCTAGCTTGTTCAGTAATAACTCACAAGAGAGATTTTGTTTGAAAGAAGCATTATTCTAAGGGCGTCAAGTGTTCACCATAGAATTAATGTAAGGAGTTCGATGTTCACCACAGTATTACTGTAACGGAGTCCGGTGTTCACCACAGTATTACTGTAACGGAGTCCGGTGTTCACCACAGTATTACTGTAAGGGAGTCGGGTGTTCACCACAGTATTACTGTAAAGGCGTCTAGTGTTCACATAGTATCAATGTAAGGGCGTCTAGTGTTCACCACAATATTACTGTAAGGGAGTCCGGTGTTCACCACAGTATTACTGTAAGGGAGACCGGTGTTCACCACAGTATTACTGTAAGGGAGTCCGGTGTTCACCACAGTATTACTGTAAGGGAGACCGGTGTTCACCACAGTATTACTGTAAGGGAGTCCGGTGTTCACCACAGTATTAATGTAAGGGAGTCCGGTGTTCATCATAGTATTAATGTAAGGGCCTCAGTGTTCACCATAGTATTACTGTAAAGGCGTCTAGTGTTCACATAGTATCAATGTAAGGGCGTCTAGTGTTCATCATATTATTACTGTAAGGGCGTCCGGTGTTCACCAGAATTTACTGTAAGGGCGACCGGTGTTCACCAGAGTATTATTGTAAGGGCGTCCGGTATTCACCGGAGTATTATTGTAAGGGCGTCCGGTGTTCACCATAGTATTATTGTAAGGGTGTCCGGTATTAACCAGAGTATTATTGTAAGGGCGTCCGGTATTCACCAGAGTTTTATTGTAAGGGCGACCGGTATTCACCAGAGTATTATTGTAAGGGCGACCGGTATTCACCAGAGTATTATTGTAAGGGCGACCGGTGTTCACCAGTGTATTATTGTAAGGGAGTCCGGTGTTCACCATAGTATTATTGTAAGGGCGACCGGTGTTCACCACAGTATTACTGTAAGGGAGTCCGGTGTTCACCACAGTATTACTGTAAGGGAGTCAGTGTTCACCACAGTATTACTGTAAGGGAGTCCGGTGTTCACCACAGTATTACTGTAAGGGAGTCAGTGTTCACCACAGTATTACTGTAAGGGAGTCTGGTGTTCACCACAGTATTACTGTAAGGGAGACCGGTGTTCACCACAGTATTATTGTAAGGGTGTCCGGTATTCACCAGAGTATTATTGTAAGGGCGTCCGGTATTCACCAGAGTTTTATTGTAAGGGCGACCGGTATTCACCAGAGTATTATTGTAAGGGCGACCGGTATTCACCAGAGTATTATTGTAAGGGCGTCAGGTATTCACCAGAGTTTTATTGTAAGGGCGACCGGTATTCACCAGAGTATTATTGTAAGGGCGACCGGTATTCACCAGAGTATTATTGTAAGGGCGTCCGGTATTCACCAGAGTATTATTGTAAGGGCGACCGGTATTCACCAGAGTATTATTGTAAGGGCGTCCGGTATTCACCAGAGTATTATTGTAAGGGCGACCGGTATTCACCAGAGTATTATTGTAAGGGCGACCGGTGTTCACCATAGTATTATTGTAAGGGCGACCGGTGTTCACCTCAGTATTGACATGTGTTAATGATGCGCGCGTGTGTGATGTATGTTTCATGTTTAAAGTCAAGTCATTTGTTTAAACAATTTTAAAGGATATATAGTTGTTTGTAAGCTTTAATTTGTTCCATCTATGAAACACTTGAGTGTCATCAGCGTATTGACCTAACGCGCGTTCACAATTATTTAGTGTAATTCCTATAATATATATTTTGGTTCTAATCGTAAGTCCTAAAGATTCAGCTGCCACACTAGATAAGTGTGGCGAAATGGTGTCTTCCTGTCTAGAACCCCGTTCCTTGTAAACAAATTCAGAAAGATGGCCATTTTGTATAACACATGAGGCAGCATTTCTCATAAGAATATTTATCCTTTTCACCAAACATACGATGACTTTGCTTTATTGTATCAATCTGTTCCCCTTACCACCAACCTGATTTAATGCCATATTTTTTCCAGTAGGAGATACGCCTTATACCAGGTTGTACTGTAATTAAGAAGTAGGTTTTACTGTGTGTGAGTGTGAGTGTATGTGTTAGTGTTAGTGTTAGTGTTAGTGGGTGTCTGTTAGTGTGTGTGTGTGTGTGTTAGTGTGTATGTGTTAGTGTGTGTGTGTGTTAATCTGTATGTGTGTGTGTGTGTGTGTGTGTGTGTGTGTGTGTGTGTGTGTGTGTGTGTGTGGTGTGTGTATGTATGTATGTGTGATGTGTGTTTGTGAGTGTGTGATGTGTGTATGTGTGTGTGATGTGATTCTAATGTGTGTGATGTCTGAGACATTTGTGAGTGTGTGTGATGTGTGAATGTGTATGTTTGATGTGTGTATGTATGTGTGTGATGTGTGTTTGTGAATCTAAAGTGTGTGATGTCTGTCTAATCACTTTACATCTAACATATACAGACTATCTCTATCTAGGCGACACTTAGGGCACACTGATACACTCCAGTTCCCATCACCAGCTGCTGTCGCTCGCTGACGCCCTGTTTACGTTTGATGTTTGCAGGTCACCATGAGGGCAGTTATCGCTCTTTCCCTCCTCTTCGTCGTCGTTGTAGTCGTGCGCGACGTTGACGGCACCTTCTTTCGGCGACGTTTTGGTTTCAGGCGTTTCAGGCGCCCGACTGCCTACAGGCCTCACATCATACAACGCCCGTATCATCCCAAAACCCTGAAACCTCCGCAGCCAACTCCGAAACCGCATCCCCCGCCGACAAAACCAGCACCGACAACCTCAAAACCCCATCCACCACCCACACGGAAACCCCACCCACCACCCACAATAAAACCTAAATTGACTGATATCCCCACTTTTCCCCTCCCACCAAAACAACCTCCCTATCCCCCCTATCCATACCCTCCTTACTATCCTCCCCCACCTTACTATTACCCCCCACAGCAGCCGTACCCCCCACAGCAGCCTTACCCCCCACAGCAGCCGTACCCCCCACAGCAGCCTTACCCCCCACAGCAGCCGTACCCTCAATGTAAGTACAGTGTGGACGATGTATCCTACTCAATGTCTGCTAGGGATTCCAGCATACGTCACTTCATGTATAGCATGTAAGGTATACTCTCATTAACCTCTATATTCCGGGTAAGAATGTAAGTCCCCAGCAACCTATGCGACTAAATAGGCGACTAAATAGGTCGGGTGGTCAGCCTCGGTGACTACGGCGATTGCGTTCTCTGTGTCTCAATTGCGTGGATCGATGCTCATGATATCAATCACTCGATCTGTGTGTTTGTTTGTTGTTTAACGCCGCACTCAACAATCTTCCAGGTATATGACGGCGGTCTGTAAATAATCGAATCTGGACCAGGCAATCCAGTGATTGACATCATGAGCGTCGATCTACGCAATTGGGATATGGTGACATGCATCAACCAAGTCATTCCGTTTTTTACGCTTTTTACGGCAAGCATGGGTTGCTGAAGACCTGTTCTCTACCCGGATGTTCGCGGGTCTCGGGTGAAGGTACCGATCGCGGGTTCGAACCTGACTCCTTTGTCCGTCAGCACCTCGTGTTGGAGGGTTTCACCGAAGCTGTAAATGTACACCTACATTAAACTGATACGCCGTGACAACTCTTACCATTCAATGAGGCGGAAACTCAACTCACTCACTCACTCACTCACTCATTGTCCGTTAGCCTCCTTCTGCTACATTTGCATCCTCGTCAAGTAGTTGTGTGTTTTTTGCAGCGACTGTGACTGTCCGCGACTGCGTCACTGACGGCTGTGACAACACCTGCTCGCGCAAGACCTACCTCAGCGGCGTCAAGTACTGCTGCCCCGGATGTTCCGCTGACGTCTCCATGACGACGGGAACCAACGACAAAGGCGACTTCTGCTTGTGCAGCTATCAGGGGCCCGTCCCGGGGTCAATAAAGTACTGAGTGTGAAGACATCACTAGTGCGAATGTGACGACATCACCGCGACTGTAGTGCGAATGTGACGACATCACTACGACTGGTGTGCGATTTTGTGTTCATGGACTGATCACTCTTCCTACTTTTATAACTTGGACATTCCAATAAATTGTCTTGTTTTGGTCGAATGTTTGTTATTGAACTGAGCCATACAGATTAATGTTCTTGTATCGTAACACGAGTGTGTATGTGTGTGTCTCTGTGTGCGTGCGTGCGTTCGGGTGTGTGTGGTAGTCTCTTAATATTATTATGTTGATAACCATTCTTGTTTTTTCACAATATGCTACTTTGTTATGAGACACAGTTAAATATTTAAAATTAAAACAAAAATAGGTCAGAATTCCTAAGGTCCAGGGATGCTGAGACACAAGACAATAATTGCTAACATCCAGTGGTTGCATGGTGTTCCAAACAACGCATCGGAATCTCGTGTAACCCGGGCAACGGGATAGGTGAGTGGTTACTGCCGTCGCCCGCCGCACCAATTACATGCAACCAGTGCCCCACCACAATCGCAAGTTCAAATGAGAATCGGCAAGTCCCACTGTGTAACCTAGGTGTCATCGTGCCCTGTTGGCGTCGACCTTTGCTCATGCTATCAACCACTAGGTCGGCTGGGGTTCTGGGGCAGCAGGCTAGGAACATCAAGCACGTGTAATTGTCCCAGTGCATGTGTGCCGCTGGGATGTACAGTGATAACATATCCAATTTTATTATGATAAATATGTTTATTATTTATGTTCAACAATAATATATAATTTGTCTGTACAATATTTACATGTCGATGAGACGCTATACATACATGATGTGATGATGAAATGAGCGGGAAGGGTTACACGCATTTATTCAGCGATGGCAAGTAAATAATGTTTGAATAAAACAATAAATCTTTTCAGAAAAATGGAATAATAAAATAATTTAAAACTATCAAATGATACATCGGATATGATTGACTAACAGCAAGAGTTAAATATTTTCCTATAACACTTCTAATGAACGTTTGACAATGGCGTGTTATACGTGACAGGTAATGATATTACTGGTCATACCTGACAGGTACTCACGATATGACTGGTCATACCTGACAGGTAATGATATGACTGGTCATACCTGACAGGAACTCACGATATGACTGGTCATACCTGACAGGTACTCATGATATGACTGGCCATACCTGACAGGTAATGATATGACAGGTCATACCTGACAGGCTTGTTCTACCTGAACAGATACAACGTGCACACCAGAGAATCACCAGTCGCTATTACCCCGTCTTCCCCCAGGGAAACAGATTCCATTGGGCGTAAATGGCAAATTATGGGTTCTAAAAATGGATCACTGACAATCAGTGATGACACCAGAATATCCTGCCCTACCGGTAGCACACGCCATTCAATTATTTTCATAAAACACGTGATTGTGTGATACCTGACGCCGGACAGCAATGCTACTGTCATGTTTTTCATGATATGACTGGTCATACCTGACAGGTACTCACGATATTACTGGTCAAACCTGACAGGTAATGATATGACTGGTCAAACCTGACAGGTACTCATGATATGACTGGTCATACCTGACAGGTACTCATGATATGACTGGTCATACCTGACAGGTACTCACGATATGACTAGACATACCTGACAGGTACTCATGATATGACTGGTCATACCTTACATGTAATGATATGACTGGTCATACCTGACAGTTACTCATGATATGACTAGTCATACTTGACAGGTAATGATATGACTGGTCATACCTGACAGGTAATGATATGACTGGTCATACCTGACAGGTACTCACGATATGACTGGTCAAACCTGACAGGTAATGATATGACTGGTCAAACCTGACAGGTAATGATATGACCGGTCATACCTGACAGGTACTCACGATATGACTGGTCAAACCTGACAGGTAATGATATGACTGGTCATACCTGACAGGTACTCACGATATGACTTGTCATACCTGACAGGTACTCACGATATGACTGGTCATACCTGACAGGTAATGATATGACTGGTCATACCTGACAGGTACTCATGATATGACTGGTCATACCTGACAGGTACTCATGATATGACTGGTCATACCTGACAGGTAATGCTATGACCGGTCATACCTGACAGGTACTCATGATATGACTGGTCATACCTGACAGGTACTCACGATATGACTAGACATACCTGACAGGTACTCATGATATGACTGGTCATACCTTACATGTAATGATATGACTGGTCATACCTGACAGTTACTCATGATATGACTAGTCATACTTGACAGGTAATGATATGACTGGTCATACCTGACAGGTAATGATATGACTGGTCATACCTGACAGGTACTTACGATATGACTGGTCATACTTGACAGGTAACGATATGATTGGTCATACCTGACAGGTACTCACGATATGACTGGTCATACCTGACAGGTACGATTTGACCGGTCATACCTGACAAGTAATGATATGACTGGTCATACCTGACAAGTAATGATATGGCTGGTCATACCTGACAGGTACTCATGATATGACTGGTCAACCTGACAGGTACTCACGATATGACTGGTCATACCTGACAGGTACTCATCATACTGGTGGCAGACTGCATGTTTGTTACTGAAGGAAGAAAAACAACAGGAGATAGGCCAGATGTTGAGCTTAATAATTTTAACTTGTCGACAGTTTGCATAAGCAGGCGCCGTTCGTGGACACAGAGCCACCAAACAGTTTCCCAACACCTGTTTCATGAAAGCCAACTTGTCAGTCGAGGGTAGTTCCCTGCTTTGATGGCTGGTTCAACTCCAGAACGATGAAAGGAGCAGGTTACTCCTTGGGTATGATAAAGTTATTTATGTAAAATGCGCTTTCGTTGTCACTCTATGTACAACTATCACCCGTTCAACTGAGGTCACTCGGTGCTCACACACCCTTACGCATGCGCAAACATGCATCTATTTCCGGTTCCGTCTCAACCATTTGCTCTTCCAGCTTGTCCATTGTTCTGAAACAGGTATGACATGAAAATGAAATAAAACTGAAAAGTGAGGAGGCTTCATTTAAAATATACTCCAGAATATTCTGTCAGTGTCGTTATCAACATTCAATAACATGTTGCCAATATGATTTTTCTAAATTTAAGAAAGTGTTAGAACTGCTAAATGTTTGACATTCAATGGCAAATTTATCGCTGAATGACGTTAGATGGCACTGTGTATTGTTCTGTATACGACAGTCATAGGCATCGAGATATTCCTTAGTCGGGCGGATCCAGCATTTCTAAAAGGGAGTGGTCCAAAACATTAAAATCCTCTTTCAGTCAATTCTACTGCCTACAATATACTCCATTTGGTTTTCAAAAGGGAGGGGGGATGTCCGGCCCATTGACCCCCACCCCCATCTGGATCCACCCATGCCTTAAAGAGGGGCACGACTCCGCGGGCCCTATCTAGTCACACGTGTGGAGCCATTATCTCCGTGTGATTAGGCGAATATGTTAAGGTAGACAGTATAACGTCAGCTGACGAGTAAAGACCTGATTGAACCTTGCTAGGACTGGAGTTTGGCCGTGCCTAGCCCCTCTTTAAGACAGTTCTCTTTCCTACTTTCCGGTTCAACTCTGAAACGAACAGTTAGTCACTGAAGAAACCAAGTTATGTTTCCACGAACAATGTAACGCGAGTATAGAATAACTCAGTCCACGTTTACACTAAAGTCTTTTCTCAGAACGTGCGAGGATATGTTTAGTTGGCATGCTATACTTTGAATTGTTACAGGTTTCATTATTTATACGACCCTGGCTGTAATATACATACACATCTATAGCGCCATGTCTAACAGTAATACAAGAGTAACTGAACTGACAAACGCATACACATATATACACATCATAACACCATATGGAGCCTTAGAAAATCGTTTTGGTCATAACTAGACCCAAGGACGATTGAAAACCTTACTTCACTCGTTGTCAGAGTTTGTAGCTGGTCCTTCTTGAACCAGACAAAACCGTTTACCATTTTCTGTCAGTTTTATTCAGTTCCCGTGTGTATCAAAATTGAAACACTGAGAACTGGTTGAGAATTATGAATTACAACCCTCGATGCTGATCGTTTATGAGGACAACCAACATTGAATTTTTACTTGTCCTCAAAAGAATTTAGTGGTCTCGGGCTAGCGGACGAGCGTGAATGTCGAAGGATGCATATGTACAATGAGCACTGATGGTGCTATCTGATGTATGGTCACTGATGGTGCAATCTATGACTATAAATTGAAACACAACGCTTGAAGAACATGTCAAACAACAATACCTGTCGTTTCCGGTGTCGTCTCCACCACAAGCTGACGTAACAGGTGCAGAAGCAAAAACGGGTGCAGTGTCGTGCAGCAAATAACAGAGATTGTTCGGTGAATGACAATGCAGTAATTGTTCGGTGAATGACTATGCAGTAATTGTTCGGTGAATGACAATGCAGTAATTGTTTGGTGAATGACAATGCACTTTAACAGTTTACAATACACACATTGTCTGTTGTCGGCAAATAAATAAAGCGTTCCACATGTACAAAGCTGAATAATCAGTACAAAGACGTACACTATATGTAACAGATATACCAGTTAACTGACTTCAATACAACTACACAGTTTCAAATATACATCATGCACGTAGACGTGTATACGATAAGTAAGTATTGCATAGATTCAATGGACATAGTGCACAATATGCAGAAAAAACTGTTACAACAAAAATGATAGAATTAGCAAAACAACAAAGTGGATCATAACACTGAACATGATACGGATTTGTACATACAGAAACTATCAGTCATAATAAAAATAATAATAATAATGGTAATAATGATATGAGTCAAACGATAACAAGGCTATAGTACGACCACGAGCATGCGCAGAACGGTATCAAACGCAGGTATTCAACAAACGAATTTTCTTCGAATGGTGTAAAATCTATCAGTTCATATACAAACACTCATTCAAAGAAAATGCCGACAAAGCTTGAAGCAAATCACAAGAAACGTTGACATGGAAACAGAGTGAAAGCGAGCACAAGTAACAGCGCCACAGTGCACCAAAGGGGGATAACTCGGGCACCTGAAGAAGGACAAGGGATTCCATATCCGGGGACGTCCTTGCACACACGACAACGAGGCTGCCCCATGCCTATATAAATATGACGAACAAATTCGTCGTTTTCGGACAGCATCCATGTTGCTCCGACCAGTTTGAGGCCGTGTGTTTTTACCAGAGAATTTAGAGAATATCGGCACCTGCAATGTAAGAAAACAACACGTGAAGGAGCGATAGCTAATGGGGGGTCGACCATGTACATTTTATTAAATAATCATGGAAAGTATCACCTGGCATAATATCTTTGCTAAAAGGGAAAGTGTGTTGTCATGTCAGCACACGACCAGTGGTTGTCATCGTGAATATGGCAGCCACCCAGGAAGCTGGTAACAGAATCCCAGCGCAATAGTTCCTTGTAAATAACTTACCTCCTCGGGTCGCGATATTCGTTGCAACATGATATTCATTGCGCAGCTCGTGGAGTGTTAGTGAATAACATGTTGATCTTTATAACACGATTTGCAATGTTAGCCTAAACACAATTCCAACAACCGTAGTAAAGTCCCTTTAAAGCAACACTCTGGTCTATAGTTAACATTGTAAGGCACATATCACTAAAACAGTTGACGATAACGGAGGCAATATTTGACTCCTTGCAGTTATTACATTGTCCAGGACTAGGCAGGACAGGGTTATTGACCCCTTTTTCAAGTTGGCCGATAACATGGCGATGTTGGGTTGATCCCTCATGTCAGGAAACACCGACACCTCCCAGGAACCTAGACACATGCCCGTCATGCCTGCTTTGTTAATAAACGATGACCTGTGAAGACCCGGGTTAGAATTATAGCTCGCTGACTTTGTTGATGTCGTATCCCAATAGCGTAGATGATATCAATCACTGGATTGTCTGGTCTAGACTCGATTATTTACAGACCGCCGTCATATAGCTGGAATATTGTTGAGTGCGACGTGAAATAACAAACAAACAAACAATAAAACAAAGAAACAATCAAAGCCAATAAACGGCGAAGTCAGGGTGACAGTCCCTGTTCCTGGACATACCTGCCCCTGAACATCTGGGAACAGTTGGCCGCCGCGTAGGACGAGACCTCTGACGGCTCCAGCTCGTAGGACTGCTCGAACACGAGGAAGTAGTAGTTGTGGGGCTTCTTGTCCGGGGGAGCCGGGCCGATGTAACTCTGGACCACCTCGCCGTTATCCACCTGACCGTCACAGATATTCACAACCAACCAATGAACGAACGGGATTTCTTTGTTGCCGAATTCCGGAAGTGGAACATCGGGGTCAACCACGATCAGTGTGAGGAGTTTGTCTGAAACAAAGTGAGTGAGTATGGTTTTACGCCACTTTTAGCAATATTCCAGCAATATCACTGCGGGGGACACCAGAAATGGGCTTCACACATTGTACCCATGTCGGGAATCGAACCCGGGTCTTCGGCGTGACGAGCGAACGCTCTAACCACTAGGCTACCCGACGCCACTCTGAAACAAAGTGGTGGACGTGTTGGAGTATATCAACAACACCATTACTGCAGAACAATGTCACAACCGTCCATTCGCAATCAACAAACAGCGACTGACGTAGAAAGGGGTTCAGAGCAGAATGAGTGCATTGCCCACAGGGTTCAAGTCGTTTAGTTGTAACGAAAGTGGCAGATTTCAGCCAATGAGCCAAGCGGGGATTGATGAATTGTTTCCAGAATGAAAAAAGAGTAGAAGCGTGATTGTACCCTACCTCTGAAGTCCCGCGTGGCGCTGGGGAACGCAGTTGCCATGGAGAGTTCAACTTTCGGAATAACTTCTTGTCGTGCGTACGCAGCCTTTACTTTAGCATTTCCAATTGGATTGAGAGTGATCGTTTTTTGTCTGCAAAACAAGGGGAGATAATGGACCAGTGTCATCGGCCAGTGTGGAAACTGACATCATAAATCAAATGTACACGACTAAGTCTCCCCACACTCCGGCACACCCAGCACATCACGACAACATGAACAACGGACAGAGTACCAACTGGATGTCCTCTAACCAGAAAATGAACCAAGGCCTTATGTGGATTGGCAAAACACATTACCACTATAACACCATCCGTTGACAGTTCCCTGCAATAATTGTTAATATTAGATTATATTTTTCAAAATCAAACCTAATACTTTAAGCGATGTCACGTACAGGTTCACATACCATGTGAAAGTTAACCCATCTTGCCCGTCATGTCGTCGTCGTTACTTACGGCAATGTGAAGAAGGAGCAGCAGGAGTTGAAGTTGACGGCGGGAGACTGGAAGGTGACATTGACGTAGACGTTCAGGTCAGGGCGGTATTTCTTGTCGCGGGGGATGAACGGTGTCTCCTTCGTCTTGAACGCTGCAATGACACGTGACCATCTCTGGATATTTTGTGGATACATATTACTTTGGTGTGTGTGTGTGTGTGTGTGTGTGTGTGTGTGTGTGTGTGTGTGTGTGTGTGTGTGTGTGTGTGTGTGTGTGTGTGTGTGTGTGTGTGTGTGTGTGTGTGTGTGTGTGTTAATGTGTGTGTTAGTGTGCGTTACTGTGTCTGTCTGTGTGTGTGTCTGTGTCTGTGTGTATCTGTGTTTGCGTGTGTCTGTGCGCGTGCGCGCGCATGTGTGTGTGTGTGTCCGAGGCTGACCACCCAATCCACTAAATCGACTAGAATCTGTACTTTACTAAGAAAGTGTTATCCTAAATATAACATTTGTTACATTTGACCACTTTCTAAATGGAGCCTTGACAATTTACACTTGTCAGAGGGGTACACAAAGTACGTGATATAGACTACCAGTTGTCGGACTTTCATTTTTGTGGAAGCCAACTGACTTACCATCGGCAATAAACTGTGGGTATGTGCTCAACTGACTTACCATCAGCAATAAACTGCAGGTATGTGCTCAACTGACTTACCATCGACAATAAACTGCGGGCATGTGCTCAACTGACTAGCCATCGGCAATAAACTGTGGGTATGTGCTCAACTGACTTACCATCGACAATAAACTGCGGATATGTGCTCAACTGACTTATTATCGGCAATAAACTGCAGGCATGTGCTCAACTGACTTACCATCGGCAATAAACTGCAGGCATGTGCTCAACTGACTTACCATAGGCAATAAACTGCAGGCATGTGCTCAACTGACTTACCATCGGCAATAAACTGCAGGCATGTGCTCAACTGACTTACCATCGGCAATAAACTGCAGGCATGTGCTCAACTGACTTACCATCGGCAATAAACTGCGGGCATGTGCTCAACTGACTTACCATCGGCAATAAACTGCGGGCAAGTGTTCATGTAGCCCTTTTTCTTCATGATGTCTGCAGCATAGGGATCTCCAACCACCCGCACCCACGACATCGCCACGGGACCTACAACGGAGGACAGGACTCATAGACACAAACAGGGACCTCCATGGCATTACCTGGGAGGGTTCATTTTACCTGTTAGTGGGGTATTACCTGTGAGAGTTCATTTTACCTGTGAAGGGGTATTACCTGACGCGGGATATTACCTGTGAGTGGGGTATTACCTGTGACGGGGTATTACCTGTGAGGGGGTATTACCTGTGAGTGGGGTATTACCTGTGAGGGGGTATTACCTGTGAGGGGGTATTACCTGTGAAGGGGTATTACCTGTGACGGGATATTACCTGTGAGGGGGTATTACCTGTGAGGGTTCATTTTACCTGTGAGTGGGGTATTACCTGTGACGGGGTATTACCTGTGAGGGTTCATTTTACCTGTGAAGGGGTATTACCTGACGCGGGATATTACCTGTGAGTGGGGTATTACCTGTGACGGGGTATTACCTGTGAGGGGGTATTACCTGTGAGTGGGGTATTACCTGTGAGGGGGTATTACCTGTGAGGGGGTATTACCTGTGAAGGGGTATTACCTGTGACGGGATATTACCTGTGAGGGGGTATTACCTGTGAGGGTTCATTTTACCTGTGAGTGGGGTATTACCTGTGACGGGGTATTACCTGTGAGGGGGAATTACCTGTGAAGGGGTATTACCTGTGACGGGATATTACCTGTGAGGGGGTATTACCTGTGAGGGGGGTATTACCTGTGAGTGGGGTATTACCTGTGAGGGGGTATTACCTGTGAGGGTGTATTACCTGTGAGGGGGGTATCACCTGTGAGGGAGTATTACCTGTGAGGGTGTATTACCTGTGAGGGGGGTATTACCTGTGAGGGGGGTATTACCTGTGAGGGGGTATCACCTGTGAGGGGGTATCACCTGTGAGGGGAGTATTACCTGTGAGGGAGTATTACCTGTGAGGGGTGTATTACTTGTGAGGGGTTATCACCTGTGAGGGGAGTATTACCTGTGAGGGGAGTATTACCTGTGAGGGGGTATCACCTGTGAGGGGAATATTACCTGTGAGGGTGTATTACCTGTGAGGGGGGTATTACCTGTGAGGGGGTATCACCTGTGAGGGGAGTATCACCTGTGAGGGGAGTATTACCTGTGAGGGTGTATTACCTGTGAGGGGGGTATTACCTGTGAGGGGAGTATTACCTGTGAGGGGGTATCACCTGTGAGGGGAGTATTACCTGTGAGGGGGGTATTACCTGTGAGGGGAGTATTACCTGTGAGGGTGTATTACCTGTGAGGGGGTATCACCTGTGAGGGGAGTATTACCTGATTACCTGTGAGGGGAGTATTACCTGTGAGGGGAGTATTACCTGTGAGGGGGGTATTACCTGTGAGGGGGTATTACCTGTGAGGGGAGTATTTCCTGTGAGGGGGGTATTACCTGTGAGGGGGGTACTACCTGTGAGGGGGTATCACCTGTGAGGGTGTATTACCTGTGAGGGGAGTATTACCTGTGAGGTTGTATTACCTGTGAGGGTGTATTACCTGTGAGGGGAGTATTCACCTGTTAGGGTGTATTACCTGTGAGGAGAGTATTACCTGTGAGGGGGGTATTACCTGTGAGGGGAGTATTACCTGTGAAGGTGTATTACCTGTGAGGGAGTATCACCTGTGAGGGGAGTATTACCTGTGAGGAGAGTATTACCTGTGAGGGGAGTATTACCTGTGAGGGGGGTATTACCTGTGAGGGGAGTATTACCTGTGAGGGGGGTATTACCTGTCAGGGGGTATCACCTGTGAGGGTGTATTGCCTGTGAGGGGAGTATTACCTGTGAGGGTGTATTACCTGTGAGGGTGTAATACCTGTGAGGGTGTATTACCTGTGAGGAGAGTTTTACCTGTGAGGGAGGTAATTACCTGTGAGGGTGTATTACCTGTGAGGGGAGTATTACCTGTGAGGGGGTATTACCTGTGAGGAGAGTATTACCTGTGAGGGAGGTAATTACCTGTGAGGGTGTATTACCTGTGAGGGGAGTATTACCTGTGAGGGGGTATCACCTGTGAGGGGGATATTACATGTGTGTGTGTGTGTGTGTGTATGTGGGTGGATTGGGTGGGGGTGGGGGGTGGGAAGGGCCGGGGGGTGGGGGTATAACCTGTTAGGGAAGTATTCATCTGTGAGGGGTATTACCTGTTAGAGAGAATTGCTGCTTCAGCTCCGTGAAGTCCATGGGGCTGGACCTGTAGAAGAATTTCTGCCTCCAGATGACCGGCATCTTGATGTAGTCCTTCTGCTTGAACACCAGGAACACGTAGGGGTTGACGTTCTTCGTGGGGTTCTGTGGTCCTTCATACACCTGGATTGCCTGCACGTATACACATGGAGACACTTGACACCTGGACTACTGCACACCTTGATGAGTTATACACTTGGATAAGTACACACCTTGATAAGTTATGACCTGGATTACAGAACACCTGGATTAATTATATAATCCTACACCTGGATTTTCAGTTTACTCAAGTAACAAGCAACACAGGACCCTGTTTGTCCTCCTTCCATTGCGTACCTTGTGTCTACATAGCTAGCACACGCGATACTAGCCACACGGTGTAGGTACAACGCTTGGCCCTTGTGACGGTAGCCTGTAGCACAATGTCTGACCCTCGAATGATGACAGTAGCCTGGGCAAGGACAACAGTGACCCTTGTATGATGACAGTAGCCTGTGTAGGGACAACGTGTGACCCTTGTATGGTGACAGTAGCCTGTGTGGGGACAACGTGTGACCCTTGTATGATGACAGTAGCCTGTGTGGGGACAACGTGTGACCCTTGTGTGATGACAGTAGCCTGTGTAGGGACAACGTGTGACCCTTGTATGGTGACAGTAGCCTGTGTGGGGACAACGTGTGACCCTTGTGTGATGACAATAGCCTGTGTAGGGACAACGTGTGACCCTTGTATGATGACAGTAGCCTGTGTAGGGACAACGTGTGACCCTTGTGTGATGACAGTAGCCTGTGTGGGGACAACGTGTGACCCTTGTGTGATGACAGTAGCCTGTGTGGGGACAACGTGTGACCCTTGTGTGATGACAGTAGCCTGTGTGGGGACAACGTGTGACCCTTGTGTGATGACAGTAGCCTGTGTGGGGACAACGTGTGACCCTTGTGTGATGACAGTAGCCTGTGTAGGGACAACGTGTGACCCTTGTGTGATGACAGTAGCCTGTGTGGGGACAACGTGTGACCCTTGTTTCATGCCAGTAGCCTGTGTAGGGACAACGTGTGACCCTTGTGTGATGACAGTAGCCTGTGTAGGGACAACGTGTGACCCTTGCTTCATGCCAGTAGCCTCTGTAGGGACAACGTGTGACCCTTGTGTGATGACAGTAGCCTGTGTAGGGACAACGTGTGACCCTTGTTTCATGCCAGTAGCCTGTGTGGGGACAACGTGTGACCCTTGTGTGATGACAGTAGCCTGTGTAGGGACAACGTGTGACCCTTGTGTGATGACAGTAGCCTGTGTAGGGACAACGTGTGACCCTTGTGTGATGACAGTAGCCTGTGTAGGGACAACGTGTGACCCTTGTTTCATGCCAGTAGCCTGTGTGGGGACAACGTGTGACCCTTGTGTGATGACAATAGCCTGTGTAGGGACAACGTGTGACCCTTGTATGATGACAGTAGCCTGTGTGGGGACAACGTGTGACCCTTGTGTGATGACAGTAGCCTGTGTAGGGACAACGTGTGACCCTTGTTTGATGACAGTAGCCTGTGTGGGGACAACGTGTGACCCTTGTGTGATGACAGTAGCCTGTGTAGGGACAACGTGTGACCCTTGTTTCATGCCAGTAGCCTGTGTGGGGACAACGTGTGACCCTTGTGTGATGACAGTAGTCTGTGTAGGAACAACGTGTGACCCTTGTGTCAGTGAGTGAGACTTGTTGCAGTGTTGCAGTTATATCCCGGCGTGTGAGTGAGTGAGTGAGACTTGTTGCAGTGTTGCAGTTATGCCCCGGCGTGTCAGCGAGTGAGTGAGACTTGTTGCAGTGTTGCAGTTATGTCCCGGCGTGTGAGTGAGTGAAACTTGTTCCAGTGTTGCAGTTATGTCCAGGCGTGTGAGTGAGTGAGACTTGTTCCAGTGTTGCAGTTATGTCCCGGCGTGTCAGCGAATGAGTGAGACTTGTTGCAGTGTTGCAGTTATGTCCTGGCGTGTCAGCGAATGAGTGAGACTTGTTGCAATTATGTCCCGGCGTGTGAGTGAGTGAGTGAGACTTGTTGCAGTGTTGCAGTTATGTCCCGGCGTGTGAGTGAGTGAGATTTGTTGCAGTGTTGCAGTTATGTCCCGGCGTGTGAGTGAGTGAGATTTGTTGCAGTGTTGCAGTTATGTCCCGACGTGTGAGTGGGTATGTGAGACATGTTGCAGTGTTGCAGTTATATCCCGGCGTGTGAGTGAGTGAGTGAGACATGTTGCAGTGTTGCAGTTATGTCCCGGCGTGTGAGTGAGTGAGTGAGACTTGTTGCAGTGTTGCAGTTATGTCCCGGCGTGTGAGTGAGTGAGTGAGACTTGTTGCAGTGTTGCAGTTATGTCCCGGCGTGTGAGTGAGTGAGTGAGACTTGTTGCAGTGTTGCAGTTATGTCCCGGCGTGTGAGTGAGTGAGTGAGTGAGACTTGTTGCAGTTATGTCCCGGCATGTGAGTGAGTGAGTGAGACTTGTTGCAGTGTTGCAGTTATATCCCGGCGTGTGAGTGAGTGAGTGAGACATGTTGCAGTGTTGTAGTTATGTCCCGGCGTGTGAGTGAGTGAGTGAGACTTGTTGCAGTGTTGCAGTTATGTCCCGGCGTGTGAGTGAGTGAGTGAGTAAGACTTGTTGCAGTGTTGCAGTTATGCCCCGGCGTGTGAGTGAGTGAGTGAGTGAGACCTGTTGCAGTGTTGCAGTTATGTCCCGGCGTGTGAGTTAGTGAGTGAAACTTGTTGCAGTGTTGCAGTTATATCCCGGCGTGTGAAGGGTGAGGCTTGTTGCAGTGTTGCAGTTATATCCCGGCGTTTGAATGAGTGAGACTTGTTGCAGTGTTGCAGTTATATCCCGGCGTGTGAGTCAGTGAGTGAGTGAGATTTGTTGCAGTGTTGCAGTTATATCCCGGCTTGTGAGTGAGTGAGTGAGTGAGTGAGACTTGTTGCAGTGTTGCAGTTATATCACGGCGTGTGAGTGAGTTTGTGAGACTTGTTGCAGTGTTGCAGTTATATCCCGGCGTTTGAATGAGTGAGACTTGTTGAAGTGTTGCAGTTATATCACGGCGTGTGAGTGAGTGAGACTTGTTCCAGTGTTGCAGTTATATCCCGGTGTGTCAGTGAGTGAGACTTGTTGCAGTGTTGCAGTTATATCCCGGCTTGTGAGTGAGTGAGTGAGACTTGTTGCAGTGTTGCAGTTATATCACGGCGTGTGAGTGAGTGAGTGAGACTTGTTGCAGTGTTGCAGTTATATCCCGGTGTGTCAGTGAGTGAGACTTGTTGCAGTGTTGCAGTTATATCCCGGCTTGTGAGTGAGTGAGTGAGACTTGTTGCAGTGTTGCAGTTATATCCCGGTGTATTAGTTCGATGTGGGAGGAAAGACTGAAGTGATGCAGGACGTATTCAACTTTGGTGAAACCCAGGAGCGCGGATGTGATGTGCAGTGTTGCAGTTATGTCCCGGCGTGTCAGCGAGTGAGTGAGACTCGTTGCAGTGTTGCAGTTATATCCCGGCGTGTGAGTGAGTGAGTGAGTGAGTGAGTGAGTGAGATTTGTTGCAGTGTTGCAGTTATATCCCGGCTTGTGAGTGAGTGAGTGAGTGAGTGAGTGAGTGAGTGAGACTTGTTGCAGTGTTGCAGTTATATCACGGCGTGTGAGTGAGTTTGTGAGACTTGTTGCAGTGTTGCAGTTATATCCCGGATCAGGGTCAATGTGCGCTCAAGAATCTATCTCAGCTCCTTGGGGATAGAAGGTTAACAACCACCATCTCATCCTACCGGGTACCCATTCACTGCTTGGTTAACTTCCCCTAATGTGCGCTGTGCATAGGACCAGATGAGAGCACCCACCTCTCCCGTCGTGACGTTGGAGCCTCTGATGTTGATGTAGAAGCCCTTGATGTTGAGGTAGCCGGGGTCGTAGATGACGAGGGAGAACATATCCTTCTCCTCCGACTCCCACCAGAAGTAGGGCATGTCTTTCAGCTGGTAGGGGGTATGGACCTGGTCGGACAGAGGGTCGACGGCTATCAGCTGGGAGTGCTGCGAGCTGTACACGTTGCCGCAGGCCTCGTACTTCCCTGCACAAATAACAACGTGTTTGATGTTAAATTTGTGCATTCTGTTGTAAAACTACACTCGAGGTGAGACATTACAAAGTAAATTTGGAAGTGTTTGATTTTGTAATATGGCATCATTTCCTAAACACGTTGTGCCAAAATAATCCTGTAGCTTTTGTCCCTGCAATGTATTCGTTTGCGCCATTTATGTTGTATTAATTAAAATAACCACAGGGGAAAATGTTACCAAGGAAGTTGAGCATTTTCTTGTGTGAGAATTGCCAACGCTCGCTGATTAACATAACGCCAGTTTAATCTGTACCTAACTGCCTAACTATAGTCATCACGTGGTCTGGCTGCACGGACCCAGAAGTACGACAGATAGGCAGATGCCAACGCAATGAGTCATCTGAACTCCATTTGTTCTCGCTCAAATTCTTCCTACAACACAAAGCTATTCTCCTCCGTTTTATTTGGTACATTTCAAATAAACCCTTTCGATGATAATATACAGATTTTCGAGACCCGTGTTTCATTCCATGTCACTGTTGGAACCGTCATGGAGTCAGCTGATAGAAGTCAATAAATCGGCACAGCTACAGTACCAACATTTCTCAGAGAGCAATCATTGCTTTATTTGTATTTCCTGTTAGCATTTTAGTGGCAGCTTCTTATCTTTTGTATATGTAGCGACCCGTGAAGATCCGGGTTAGAAAAGGTTTTCAGCAACCCATGCTTGCCGCAAAAGGTGACTATGCTTGTTGTAGGAGGCGACTAACGGGATCGGGTGGTCAGGCTCGCTGACTTGGTTGTTGCATGCTATCGTATCCCAATTGCGTGGATCGATGCTCATGCTATCAATCACTGGATTGACTGGTCCAGATTCGACTATTTACAGACCGCCGTCTTTATAGCTGGAATATTGCTGAGTGCGGCGTTGAAAAACAAACGAACAAACAAACATTCTGTGTAGCTTTAGTCTCAGACAGATGTGTCGACATGCCCATGACCGTTTCTGCCACAGATAAACTAAGGCCCGTTTTATTTAAGTGAACTTTTGATTTCTATTGTGAAAAATAGACGTGGGATGAAGTCAATGTTTTCGCGGAACCATTGTTAGATCAATGAAACGTTGATCGCATCCATACATTCTGGATACACTATGGTATCATCTCCCACACAAACAATGCTGCAGAATGTTACTGAACTTCGAGACTAGGAGAGAGTCTTAGACCCAAGGTCTCGACACAATATTCACATAACTTTTATGCATAACAGTCGATCTAATATTGTGACAGATATTTTAATGTGTGAGAAATCTCCCCTTTATGCCATGTTTCTGTTGTCTGAACCACGCCCGTGCTGAATCGACGGCTCTCGTGAAGACTCCACTAACACAGTACAGTTGTGTTCTTGACACATTCAATATTTGCATCCAGGTATGTGTTACAGACAGGCTGTTGCAACGAACTTTATTAAGCTATTGTTCAATACTCGTGTAAATAGTTAATATGCAAAATACCTTGGTATAGCACATGTGTCCGCTATACCTGGCTGTGTGATGAATGTATGAGACCACTTTCACTGGTTCGGCGATGAATATATTTATATATAAGACCACCCTAGCTGGCTGAGCGATGAATGTATGAGACCACTTTCACTGGTTCGGCGATGAATATATTTATATATAAGACCACCCTAGCTGGCTGAGCGATGAATGTATGAGACCACTTTCACTGGTTCGGCGATGAATATATTCATATATAAGACCACCCTACCTGGCTGAGCGATGAATGTGATCTCCATGAACCTGTCCAGGTTCTTCTTGTCGTAGTCGCCGCGCTGGAAGATCCTGGAGACGACGCTGTCCTCGGAGTAGGGTTTGGGGTTGTAGCAGTCGGCGCTGAACTCGGACTTGTCTCCGCACTTGGACACATACTCGGACCCGAACCAGAACAGCTTGTTGTTCTCTGCACGGCGACGTATGGCGCCCAGACAGGAGGAAAGATCCCATGTTCTCCTGCTCTCGGAACACACCGTGTTGTCACTCTTGTCTGAAAAAAACCCACATCAATTACACAAAAGATACTTACATACAATTACATTTGTTTACTAGTTTTGGTCTGAGACAAGTTATATTTTCGGTCAGTGCTTCCAAAAAATGAAAATAAATTATCTGAAAGGAGATTGAATTTTCTTTCCTTTTCACAACACGATATCCAGGATGTCTAGCAAAATTGTTTTTCTTTGTCCAGAGACAAAATAGCTTTCCAGGAGTTTAACCATGGATATTGTCCGAATCTACAAGAAGCCCATTAAAGACGTTTTAACAACATTGAACAAAGTAATTGAAGAACTCCATGCACTGTGCTCGCGTTCGTTTTCAAAAACATAGATGACTCTGGGGAAAGCCGCATTGATCAGTCCACTCCAAGCTGACCTTGACTGACCAGTGTCAGCCCATGTTAACTTCCGCTGACCAAGTTAACCCCTGGGGTGCGTACTCTGGTTAGCAGCCTCCAAGTGACGTCATCGATAAAGCTAATTAGTTTAATGTATTGATTCCATTATGAATATAAGCATGTCAATAAACATAATTAACTAGGAATCGATAGTATATATGTATTCTCATATGCGTCAGGGAAATACAATAAACTGATTTATAATATAAATACTTTAAAAAAAATAATGCAACTTCTTTATTTTGCATCTCTGGTATTCTACGTATTTAATAATAATAATTTAATAATTTTATTTCAGGAACTGTCCAAAGTCATGCTTGGATAACACTCAGGTTGAATCAAGTCAAATGTCTGGAAACATCTGGCTATGAAATGCATGTTCCAGGACAAGTATACAGCGTCAATGATCAGTTGACAGTTCCAAATTGTGAACACCCGCAGTGTATCGTGAACACCCGCAGTGTATCGTGAACACCCGCAGTGTATCGTGAACAAAGCACTTTGTAGACAGGCCGTTCCTCGTCAGCTGACGTGTGCTGTTGTGCCATGACGTGTTGTGATGTGTGTTGTTGTGCCATGACGTGTTGTGATGTGTGTTGCTGTGCCATGATGTGTTGTGATGTGTGTTGCTGTGCCATGATGTGTTGTGATGTGTGTTGCTGTGCTATGACGTGTTGTGATGTGTGTTGTTGTGCCATGACGTGTTGTGATATGTGTTGCTGTGCCATGACGTGTTGTGATATGTGTTGCTGTGCCATGACGTGTTGTGATGTGTGTTGTTGTGCCATGACGTGTTGTGATATGTGTTGCTGTGCCATGACGTGTTGTGATGTGTGTTGTTGTGCCGTGATGTGCTGTGATGTGTGTTGCTGTGCCATGACGTGTTGTGATGTGTGTTGTTGTGCCATGACGTGTTGTGATGTGTGTTGCTGTGCCATGATGTGTTGTGATGTGTGTTGCTGTGCTATGACGTGTTGTGATGTGTGTTGCTGTGCCATGACGTGTTGTGATGTGTGTTGTTGTGCCATGACGTGTTGTGATATGTGTTGCTGTGCCATGATGTGTTGTGATGTGTGTTGCTGTGCTATGACGTGTTGTGATGTGTGTTGCTGTGCCATGATGTGCTGTGATATGTGTTGTTGTGCTATGACGTGTTGTGATATGTGTTGCTGTGCCATGACGTGTTGTGATGTGTGTTGTTGTGCCGTGATGTGCTGTGATGTGTGTTGCTGTGCCATGACGTGTTGTGATGTGTGTTGTTGTGCCATGATGTGTTGTGATGTGTGTTGCTGTGCTATGACGTGTTGTGATGTGTGTTGCTGTGCCATGATGTGCTGTGATATGTGTTGTTGTGCCATGATGTGTTGTGATGTGTGTTGCTGTGCCATGACGTGTTGTGATGTGTGTTGCTGTGCCATGATGTGCTGTGATAATGTGTCATGTCCCCCATCTTCAGTACACTTCCTTTTGATTTAATACGTTTTAATGTGTTCCAGTCTTGACACCAATGTTCGGTATGCCTACATATTGATGACAGTGCCGTTTGAATGTCCCCATCCTTGTAACGTTTCAATGTGTCCACGTCTACCAATCTGCCATTCCCCCTGCCGTCCACGTCTTCCACGCTGACATTACCCTGCCGTCCACGTCAACTACGTTGCCATTACCCTGTCGTCCACGTCAACCACGCTGCCATTACCCTGCCGTCCACGTCAACCACGCTGACATTGCCCCTCTGCCGTCCACGTCTACCACACTGACATTGCCCCTCTGCCGTCCACGTCAACCACGCTGACATTGCCCCTCTGCCGTCCACGTCTACCACGCTGACAATGCCCCCCTGCCGTCCACGTCTACCACGCTGACATTGCCCCCCTGCCGTCCACGTCTACCACGCTGACAATGCGCCCCTGCCGTCGATGTCGATACGGTCGGCAATGCCGAGAAGTGCACATCCTGCGGATCCTTGAAGATCCGGGTTAGAATCGGTCTTCAGCAATCCATGCTTACCGTAAAAAGCGACTATGCTTGTCGCAAGAGGCGACTGACGGGATCGGGTGGTCAGGTTGATGCGTGTCACCCTGTCCAAAGGGCGTAGATCGATGTTCATGATGTCAATCACTGGATTGCCTGGTCCATACTGGATTATGTATACAGACCGCCGTCATATAGGTGGAATATTACTGAGAACGACGTTAAACAACAAACAAACAAAAGAAACAAACACCCCGCGGACCTTCATTGATGGAGTGCAGGTCAGGTATCACACGCGCTGTGGTGAGGCTGACGCGGTAATCTGCAGGCTGCACTACAAGACACTGTCAGCACCTATCCCATTGACTGAGTGCACTGTCGACAACACCGGCATCTCCGGCACTGCTGCGACATCACGGACGGCTGGCGGAAGGAATGCAGCTCGGTGTTTGTTCCGCTGATCTACATACAGCTTCCCGTTGCTACTGACGTCAGTCAGACTTCATTCATATCCTCACAAAACAGATTAATGGCTGTTTTTTAAATATAAAATATCCTTATGAACTGTTGGAAAGTACGTGATTATTTTCGGGTGCAATAACAATATCACTGTTTATCCAAATAATGAAATAGTAATAACACCAGACACTTGATGAATAATTGATGTTCACTAAACACGTTCATTTAATACTGGAATATATTGGCATGAATACGCCATTCCGATGACCATATATTTTAACAGAATGCTTAGAGTGTCTAGAAATACGTTAATATATCATTCCTACATTGGCAGGTGCCAATCTAGACTCACATCTGGTTTCAGAAATGAGCATATTTCCCTCAAAAGAAACAGTTATCAAATTATAGTTAAAGGATATAAAAAAAAGGAACATAGAGACTGTCTTCATTTTCAGATACTGCAGTATCTAGACTTGCCACACATTATAGACTTGCATGGGCTGTATTGGATATATTTGTTTCAGGCTCTGTATGACAAAGTAGTGCCAGTCCTATGGTCCTCACTCAAAACAGCTTAAAGCTTACGCGCTGTTATTCAACTGAATACTATTTCAATGGAAATGGCATTAAACCCATGTCATTCACTCATTCACTACAGGTGTTTCATGCCAACGTTTATGAAATGAACATTGCGTTGTTTGTTTACTTGCATGATCCCATTATAACTCCTACTAGTGCCATCTTCCCGAGGCAAGGGAATTAACTGACTATAAACGTCCAGTTTCCACCTTTGTCGAACTAGGCTGGAAATATGGAGCTATATTTTGGCTGGACTAACCAGTCTATGTATCGTCCAATCAAAATCGCGTAACGAAATCGACATCCGGTTCGTAAACTGACGTGCAGATTTCGGTCGATTGCAGGATATGCAAAGCATGTGTACCGCCAACTCAGCATCAACAGATATTTGCCAAATCTTTTCATGTTTTAAATCAAGGTGCTCACGTGATTTGAGCAAGACCCGTTTTGTTACAATATAGATGCTAATTATTGATCAGATCGTCTTGACTGGGCACCGCCAATTTGTTTGAAGCAAATGCAAGTGACGTGAGAGGTGGAATCTGATTGGTCAATAGGAGGGACATAGAAGGGACATAAATCGAAGTCACTGGTGGAGCTAGGATCGAGCCACGAAATTCGAGCCTAGTTCGACAAGGGTGGAAACTGGACTTTTATAGTCAGTTAATTCCCTTACCAAGGGAAGATGGATTAGTGTAGTGCTAGTAATCGACAGCTCTAACCCAAAAGAAATGGCGATTAACACGCGGTTTTTTCTTTGAAGGTGATCGGATCGCTTCAATAGATTATCAAACAAACACCAACATCAAATCACGCCTGTCCTCTCGTTTGCATAACGTGAACAGAGCGCGAACTTTGACATATGGTAACATCTCGTGAACTCTTAACACTTCTCCTCTGATCTCGTTCAAGTCACATTTACCGGACCTCCCTCCCAGGGAGCGTTACCCAGGCGGTCGGGACGGGGATAAGGAGCGCTCGTCACGCGCAAACATTGACTTTAATTTACGGTCTTTAAGTGACGCAGATTCCTGACAGAATGACCTTGTTAGCTACTGTTGAAGTAATTATCTTGTTTTCGTATGAGATGCCAGGGCACACCACGGCCATATACTCGAGGTTTGTATCGTACCATGAATCACTCGGAAACCATTTCAAGGAGTGAATAGTTAAAAATGTAGGAGTGTTATTAGTTACGAGCAGACATGATGCAGAGTGTGTGTTGAAATACTACGTGAGTCATGTGACCACGCCGTGGACCCATCACTGTACACCCAGCGTCAAAGTAACGACATGTACAACAGCTACACCAACACACCGGGCTTCCACGAAGCCATCCCGGGCCTTTCATTCTGGCAGGGAGGCAGTCCACATACTGAGTAGTAGCAGCAGCATTGGTGGTTGTGGTAGTAGCAGCATTGGTAGTTGTGGTAGTAGCAGCATTGGTGGTTGTGATAGTAGCAGCATTGGTAGTTGTGGTAGTAGCAGCATTGGTAGTTGTGGTAGTAGCGGCATTGGTGGTTGTGGCAGTAGCAGCATTGGTAGTTGTGGTAGTAGCGGCATTGGTGGTTGTGGCAGTA